TCATCCACATGCTCGCGGTTTTCCAGCCTTGGCATGCCAAGTGTGACGAGGACACAGGTCAGCTACTTCAGGTTGAAAAGCCATGATTTTCGTTCGGGAAAATCTTTCGATGCGATCAGACTCTCCCATTTTGTGATCCTGCGAGTATTAGATCTGTTCATAGGGTTCTTTCTGCGCCATTTGATACGTTTGGATGGGATCAAGAACTCTCGGACCCCAAAATACACCCATTTTTTTGTCGTTGAGGTCTTCATCATGTGCCCAAAGTGCCAAGACACATTCGTGCTGCCAGCTTCAGCAAATCAGCCTGCCGATGGATATAATTGGTGAATTGCAACCACTGGCACTCAATGGGTGTAAATCGCCGATGAAAAGCTTGGAACATCAGCAGTGCTTTATCCTAGTTATGTAGTAGATATGTCATGTACTGACATATAGTCTATAGTTCTATAATGTTCTCTGTCTATAAAAGAAAGAATGTATAATCATATATATATATATGTGTGTTGAACAATTTTGAAATAGGCATATACATACTTGAAGGCACATCTAATCATACAGTAAACATGCTGTGTATCTATGTGTCTGAAAGAAACAGTAAATGCGTAGAGCATGCACTATTATGCAATATCTAAAAATACATGAGGATATTATGGTGCAATATATATATGTATATTATATGTATATATATATAAAGATTAAATATATATGTTAAATAAATATATATTGTATATAGATATTGTATGTGTCTGTCAAGCCTGAGGAAACATCATACTACTCTGAAAAGAAAACCTAGCCAAAGTCAGACCCAGGCAGCCTTCCGCAACAACCCTGGTGAGCAGTGTTTAAAGCCCTGATCCCTGGTTGATTGATTACGGGGGTTTCCATAAATGGTGGTACCCCAAAATGAATGGTTTATTTCACGGAAAATCCATTTATAAATGAATGAGAACTGGGGGTACCTCCATTTTAGGACACCTCCATATAGGGGACCATAATACCATATAAATCCATATCATACCTCTACCAAAACACATATTGCGGAATCATCCAATCTATTCTGCTGGTCATCCCGGACCTATGGCCGATGAGTTAGGCATGAACCAACCTGCATGGCTTAATCATGTTCACCAACCATTCCCATATTCCCCAGATTGATATCTTGATGATTGATCTATATTCCAGGTATCGAAAATGATGAAAGAACACAGCGACCCACTTGTGCAGTTGCGATGCATTTTCGTGGCTATTCTAAGCCCCATGTTTGTTGAGATATGGTGCCCTCGTAACTGTATTGAAATAATCCCTTACCCAAAATAAATGAACCATCAAACCACAAAACATGGTTTAGAATGGGATTTACAAATATGTGGGACAAATTTTGTGACCCTTTATCATGGGGCTGTTGTATGAAGGGGGATGGGATATGATGGGATTCCATAGATTAGAGACATATTAAGTATACCTGGGTTAAAATCACAATGATTCACGAATGTGAAAAGTTCCTTTTTTTTTGGGATGATTTCCCCAAACCTAACCATGATTCCAGGCTTCGGTCACAGTTCACTTTCCAATCAATGGATCCCAAAAAGGGATGCACATTACCAGTACTACCGCACAAGGCGGTAGCGGAAGTTTCAAAAATAGGAAACCTATAGGAGAGATTGGTTGTTGTAAATCACGGATGGCAGAGCAAAGCCACTGATGGACCGACAAGTGGTTATCTATCTATCTATCTATCTATCTACCTACCTACCTATCTAATCTATCTATCTAGCTATCTATCTGTTTAATCTGTTCTATCCTATCCTATCTATCCTATCTATCTATCTAGCTATCTAGCTATCTAGCTATCTATCTATCTAATCCTATCTATCCTATCTATCCTATCTATCTATCTATCTATCTATCTATCTATCTATCTATCTTTCTATCCACCTATCTACCTATCTATCTATCTATCTCTCTCTGTCTGTCTCTCTGTCTATCTATTACCTGTCTATCTGCAAGCTTGAAAACGAAGCTATTCTGCGAGACTTCCTCAGGTATTGAACTTGACAACGTCAAAAACGCAGCAATTCTGCGAGACTTCCTCAATGTTTGAACTTGACAACGTCAAAAACGAAGCAATTCTGCGAGACTTTGTCATTTTTCAAAGTTGACAACATCAAAAACGAAGCAATTCTGCGAGACTTCCTCAATATTTCAACTTGACAACGTCAAAAACGAAGCTATTCTGCGAGACTTCCTCTTTTTTCGAAGTTGACAACATCAAAAACGAGACTTCCTTCAAAAATGGAAAGTTGCGTGCAGAGCTGACGGCCTCGTACCAATACGTTTTGCGATTTTCCAGTCATCTGTCTAAACTACTGTGCCTGCCACGAAAAAGTGATGCCAGGTCATACGAAATGCTGCACCTGTCACGCAAAATCATCTCAGCAAACCTGAAGATCTGATGCTCCAAAATGCAACCCCTCTCAGGAAATCACCGCCCGGACCTCCTAACAGCTCTGATGAAAATGTCTCTTGTACTGTGCCTGCCACGGAAAATGCATCTTTGCAGATCCTCTTCAAATGTCCCACGCCTGCCATCGTTTTGGGACATGCTACAAAACCCTCACGTTTTGCTCACTTTTGAGAAGGTGCACAATCCCTTGCGCCTGCCACGCGAAAGCACATCTGAACCTCCAAAAGTGGCGCGACATGTCGTGCTATGTACATTTTGACTTCGAAATGTGCTTCGCGCCACAAAGGCGTGCACTTTTTCGACATCTCAACTTCCAAAAGTGGTCCGAGCATGGTGTGTTTTGTACATTTTGACTTCGAAATGTGCTTCGCGCCACAAAGGCGTGCACTTTTTCGAAATCTCAACTTCCAAAAGTGGTCCGACCATGTGGTGTTTTGTACATTTTGACTTCGAAATGTGCTTCGCGCCACAACAGCGTGCACTTTTTCGACATCTCAACTTCCAAAAGTGGTCCGAGCATGGTGTGCTTTGTACATTTTGACTTCGAAATGTGCTTCGCGCCACAACGGCGTGCACTTTTTCGACATCTCAACTTCCAAAAGTGGTCCGAACATGTGGTGTTTTGTACATTTTGACTTCGAAACGTGCTTCGCGCCACAACGGCGTGCACTTTTACGACATCTCAACTTCCAAAAGTGGTCCGAAGCTGGTGTGCTTTGTACATTTTGACTTCGAAATGTGCTTCGCGCCACAACGGCGTGAATTTTTCATCTCTCATCTGCCCAGCGGTCTCCGCACCCGCCGCTTTAGCGAGCCTACTTTTTGACCCTCCGGAGCCACAAATCATTTGAAAAACATGGTGTTTCGCGACTTTCCTACCTTTTCGCGCACATTGATCTTCTTTCTTCTGACTCTTTCTCTTCTCTGATCTTCTCTGTTCTACTCTTCTCTTCTCTCTGACTCTTCCCATCTCTGCTTTTCATCTGTCCATATTGTCGGAAGTTTGACTTCTAAACTTCCTTCGATCATGGACCCTCTGGAAAATATGAAATTCAATTGGGATGATTATTCCCAATATATGGGAATAAAAAAAAGGTTCCAAGCCACCAACCATCTATTATGTCAAAAAACTGGATGATTTTTGGGGATTTGACACTCATCTAAATCATGGATCCATTGTCTAATAATTGTTGGCCACTATTAATTAATTGGAAAACCCATGATCTAGTTAGGAAATCTTCATCAACATACCATGGCCATCCATGACTCACTGGCTCCGGGCCAGCTGGGTCGGCATCTCGTCCGCAGCTCCGGAAGGGCCAAGACGTTTTTTCACCTCGAAAAACGCAGGGATTTACCAAACAAAATGGAGTCTTATGTTATCTAAAAACAAGTTGGAGTTGTTGATAGTTGTTGCTACTTGCCGATAGTTGTTGCTAGTTGGAGTCGGAGATTTGACACCCCAAAAAGAGACATATAAGTTTAACATAGCTTCACCAGACCAATGAAATCTGCTGCAAACATTGACGACCTGAGTTTCACCATGAGGATTCATGCAGGAGTGCGGTGTATGACCTTCTGAATAAACAAAGGTGGTGTCTGCTAGCTGCTAGTGTCATCGACCCTGTAGTCGTGAAAGCTTCATATAAACAGTGTGGCGCGCGTAGGCTTACTGCAAACACACCCAAGGACTTAGTCCTGCAAATTCGATGACTTTGAAAACTACACTATCTGATGCCCTAGAGCCCACCTAGACCCACTGCGACCCAAGCGGAAACAAAGAAAACACTGGCCATGACACCAAACCCAACTCTTTGATCTGCATTTGTCGCCATGACCACCACTAGCCATTCATGCTATGCCGCAGCTAGGATGCTCCTACATCTGCTAGACTTTCCCATGTTTTCATCAACCTTGGAGCACCAGTTACGAAGCGAGGATCCTTCAAGTACCCACCCGTGGGCTGCGCTTTTAGTCGCCATGTCAGCCATAAAGCGGTGGTTCTCCATCACTCGCAAAACATGATTTTACTGAGAAATCAAAGATCTTGTCTTGGATAGAAATGGATAAACATCGTACATATCAGAAATCCGAAAACTGGTCACAATTCTGATAAAATTACAAGTTACATGGGAAATCGGAGACCCACCTTGTCAGCATTAAAATGGCAAAAACAACATGAACGAGTTTATGATCCAACGAGTGCCCCCATCCGCAAATCCCTCTCTAGTTGAAGAGAGGATTCGACGCCTTGGCAACAAGTCGAAAGCTAATCCTAACATCCTAACCACCTAACAGGGCATGAGGCTTTACCTCGCCCTGAATAAGAGTTGGCGTTGCTCCCTCAATCAGGGATATCCAACCGCAGGGTCTGGGTCAAAAATTTGGTACTCAGAGTGTGTTGTCCTTCAGAAAATATGGATGACAAATTGATCAACAGCCAACATGCCCCAAGAATCGGCTGGCAGCTTGGTTTCAAATTCTGACCCACACCCACTGAAAGACGATCTAACAATGATTTGCCTGTCCAACGTTATCGAACGACTTGAGTAATTCCTCATGTGCCAGCAAATAAATGCCAACAAGCAGGACCCAACAAAAGGATACACGAAGCATGAACAGTCTCAAACAATGTAAAAGGATGTTGTCAGGAAGGTCGCGATCTTTCACATGAACCAAGTAACCATAATTTGGAATTGGCATTGGGATTGGCTTCCCCAACATCTCTCCGACCCTGGATGGGTTGCCGGCCCAAAAAATTACAATAATGCACAATGCGTCAGCATGACTGGGAATCTTCTGACCTCAACTCCTATCCTTGCCCCCAAGAAAGACGTGGCCTTCAAAGTTCTTGATGTTTGACTTCCCAAACTTGGCCCCGCTAGGCAAACCCAGGATCTTTAAAGAACATCACTTCTCAAATGATCCTTGGGGCAATTGTGGAACCCTGCGTTTAGGTTCAAAGATGTTCAAAGGTTCAACCTCCTGTTCAAACTTCACCAAGATGCGCGAGGGATGCAATGGTCGCAAATTCACTGCTTGGAGGGCTGGAATCGTAGGAGCAATGCTTGGCAGTGTTGCCTGCGGAGCTATACTGACTGATCAAGCGCAAATCAAACAATTGCCAATGAATATGTATATATATACACTGATTGTAGCAACCCCCAAAATGACAGCAAAGTACTATCCTCCTAGTCTGGCGATTTCACATCCCACCTGCAACGTAGCCGCCACGGCCGTTGTCGGCATACTTCGGTACGGCTGATAGGAGTCGTACTTGGCATCTGGGCAGCTCCACGGCACCAGCTGCTGAGACAAGGACGCCTCGGTTCACAGCTGCCCAGGGAGCTGGTGAAGAAGGCCTAACATCCTTGGTGGCTCATCCTACGAATCGTGGGTTAGTTCACCCCAGTTATGGGAAAAGTAGGGTTAAATCCACTTATAACTGGGGTGAACTAACCCAAATCAACGATTCGTAGGATGAGACGCTTAGTTTTGTTGTGGCTGGTTAATAGCCTTGCACCTCGGGGGAGATCTCCGAGGTATGCTTGGATCGGCAAGGGGCGATTCTTGGATGGCAGTTTGAATCTTGACTCGAATGGACCTGTCACTAGTCACCAGAATGGATGGCTAATTTGGAAGATCAACATTTCCAAATTGTTTCTCTGCCCACTTCGGGAGGGCTTAGTTCTGACCCAGCCAGCCACAGCCCAGCCGCGTTCTTGCTTGTGCTCAAGCTGCTACTATCCTGATTCCTTGTTTGTTGTCACTACTTTTAATCCAGCCAATCCTTGTTCTCCCCTCCCCCATTTTTTCGGAACCTCTCTAGCCTCCATTGTCATCAAACGTGGCTTACTGCAAAAATCCCCCATTTGGTTTGATGATCTTCCCAGCTATAGCCTCCATTGCGTTCGGGGCCATGTTGGATTGCCGAAGGGTATCCCCCGTTTTCTTGGAACCTCCCCTACCCTTTGTAATCCAAAATAACTATGGTAAATGGCCCAATGAATATTCGTATCTATATGCTAGTTACCTTGTAAACATGCTAATTTTCCATAGCTATCATCGCTTGACTTGCCAGAGGCTAGCTACATAAAGTGACTTCGATATCACTAAAAAGAAGGCTACAGGTTAATCTAACGAACTGTCAGGGTTGCTCCCAACACCCCAGCTAGCTTGAATACAGATGTTAACAATAGGTTGGAGCAACCCACAAAACATCATCAATTCAACACCAAGGCTCAACTGTTGGGTAGGCCATCGGGCTCACTGAGACGTAGCCGCACCTGAGGATAAAGCCAACGAGGTTTTTATTTGGATATCTTTATTGAGGGTATCAAAAACTCTTTACACATCAATCATCTTCATACTTATCTTCATCTACTTTATTTTATGAGATATCTTTATGAGGATATTTCATGAGGATCTAAGTAAGAGCAAGCAAAATAGTTGCTCTGCTGGCTCATGTTTGCTTCCATTTGAATAAAACCTCTTTACCTGCCCTGCAGTCTATTGTCCAGTAACTCAACAGATTTGTGCGGTGAACCGCTAGCTATATAACCCCCCTATAAATTCAATCGTTCTTGAAATATGGCACCCCCAAAAGTTTGGTTGTTTAGAACATCATGTCCACCAAAAAAGAAGGATCTCCGTATGGTTGATTTCAGACAATTTTGTGACCACTAGTTGGGAAAATGGTAACCATTGGTTACGTGTATATATATATATATATTGATATTTATATATATATAAATATATATATAATGATATATATATATATATAAATATTCTTCAATTAATCATATATATAATGATATATATATAATGATATATATATATATATATATATTAATATATATATATAGATATAATGACATATATAAAATGATATGTATATAAATATATATAATGACATATATAAAATGATATGTATATAAATATATATATAATGACATATATATATAATGGCATATATATATAATGATATATATATATATAATGATATATAAATAAATATAATGACATATATATATAATGATATATATATAGATATAATGACATATATATATAATGACATATATATAATGACATATACATATAATGATATATATATAATGATGTATATATATATATATATTGACATATATATATATATATAATGACATATAAATAAATATAATGACATATAAATAATGATATACATATAAATATATATAATGGCATATATATATAATGATATATACAAATATATAATGACACACATATATATATATAATGACATATATATATAATGACATATATATATAATGACATATATATAATGATGTATATATATTTAATGACACATATATATATATAATGACATAAAAAATAAATATAATGACATATATATATATAATGATTTACATATATATATATACATATACATATATACATATATATATACGTATATACACATCGCTGCATACTTTTGTGACTACATGACCACCATCATACTTAATATACCCACACATGTTTTGTTACAACAGAGTATAATACTGTATGTATGACTACATCCTGAATGTGTCCCCATTGTATTCCTACTATGCAAATCTCCAATGGAATTATTAGATATCCCAATTGTGTCATGGAGATTCCAAGTTAAACAGTTTTCATGGATTGGCCATATCTGGGAAAATTGATGAATCTTTCCCTAACCAGATTAGTTTGGCCATTTGGGGATGATTTCCCTAACTATCGTCCATAGCGAGGTCAATTTACCAATGCATCATAATCATAAGGTACTCCTAAATCCCGCAGGTTCATTCATTGATCAGTTTTCAATTTTCCCAAGTACATATATATATATATGTATGCGCATGTATATATATATATATGTATGACTATATAGAATTATATATATATATATTAGAGATAATCCAAATGGTAACCATGTTGCAAGGCTTTTTTTTTGCTTCAACCCCAGTGATCCCCATGGTTTTCAACGAAGGGCACCAGAGGTAAAGCGCCCGACTGAGCGCGGTTGCATAGGCGTCGCTGGCCAGGTGTAAGCGCTCACGGGCCTGCTGGGGGGTTGGGTTATCATGGGTAACCTAAGATAAACAAAAAATACATATGATAATCCCATTGTAGTCTTAATGATAACTGGAATGGGTACATGATAATTATAATCCCATTGTAGTCCTAATATGTCCTAATGTTTCATAGTAACCCAAGAGCTACCAACTGGTGGATTTCACAACCATCCACAGGATCTTTGGATATTGTCTTGGTAGTGTTCGTTTTTTTTTGCAGAAAAGTGATCATTTTGAGCCAAACTCACACCAACATTGATCAACTGATAAATCATGATCAATAAAATGGAGCAGTCCTGTCCGGCTAATAGGCCCCAAAAACTATTAGATCCAATAATAATACTAAACCACCGGATACCACGGGTTTCTAGGTGGTGTTTCATATCATGAGGAAGGGATGATGAAGGGCTTCTCCAATCACTTTTCATCACGGTCTGCACAAACATGTGTCTGCTTTCTGGCAATTCAAGCATACACAATTATCGACACTGGGAAGATTCACCATTAAAGATTTGGATTTAGCGAGATAAACATGTGGATTCAGACTGATCGCCCGATGAAGCATGGGATCAAAATTGCACACGGCCATGATCCTAAAACGACTTTGTAGCGGGGCAAACCACAGTCCTGAGTAGGTTAAACCTGCTATGTTCGGTTTAACCGCTTAATCCCATACTCTTGCTGCATCAAAGCCAGATGTTTCTTGTTTAAACCACCATTTTGGACCAGTCAAAACTTAGAAGCTCCAGAAGCATACACTGCCTGTCGCCTGTTTCCAGGGAAATTCGGGGGCTCTTCCCCTTTTTCACCATCCACAGCAAAAGTTGGTGCTGACACTAGTAACAGGAACAGGCATCAAACCGTCCATAACATGGAAACAACTGGATAGTTTAAGCTCCTACACAAAACGAGCCTTTTGTCGGTCCATTGGTATCCCAATGTGTTCCCAATGTTGAGCCATAACCATATATAAGACATAATATATATATATGTATATATGTATATATATATATATGTATATATATATATTTATATGTATATATATATATAGTTACATTAATATATATATACACCCTGGTTAAAACAAACACATGTAAAACCAACGAAACCGTAACAACAAATAAACCATACACAATGATAAAAGAAACCGTAAAACAAAAATACAGCAAACACAACAAACGCACCAAACAAAACAACAAAGGAACAAAGGAACGAAACAACAATAACAACAACGACAACAACAAGCGTCGCACCTGTTCCTCCGGCAGACAGCCCCCGACGGGCGCTTCCCAGGCACCATGGTGGACGCAGGCGAAAATGACGTTGCTTCCAAGGTCCTCCCCGATGTGAAGAACCAAAAAAACAGACCAGTTATACATGGAATATTTCCTACATATGTAGACATGAAATATGCGTATATAAATATATATATATATATATATTAAATATGTATGTATATGTATGTATATGTATGTATACGTATGTATATGTATGTAAATGTATGTATGCGTATGTATATGTATGTATATGTATGTATATGTATATATGTACACGTGTGTATATATATCTATGTATATATATATATATGTAAATATATATATATATGTATTTGTGAATATATATATATATAAAAGTATATATGTATATATGTATATATGTATATATGCATATGTGTATATGTATATATATATATATGTATATATAAAAATATATGTATATATGTATATATGTATATATGTATATGTATATATATAAATATATATGTATATATATGTATATATAAATATATATGTATATGTATATATATATGTATGTGTATAAATATACATATATACATATGTATATATGTGAATATATGTAAATATATATGTATATATGTATATATGTATTTTTTTTTATATCTGTATATATGTATGTATGTATATATGTATATATGTATAGATGTATATATGTATATATGTATATATGTATATATGTATATATGTATATGTGTATATATGTATATATGTATATATGTAAATACGTATATATATATATATATGTATGTAAATAAAATTATAGATATATTTATATGTATGTATATAAATATACTTATATATATGTATATATGTGTATATATGTATATATACATATGTATATATGTGTATATATGTATATATATATATATATATGAATATATATGTATATATGTAAATATGTTTATATGTATATGTGTATATATGTATATATGTAAATATGTATATATGTATATATGTATATGTGTATATATGTATATATGTTTATATGTATATATGTATATATGTATATGTATATATGTATATATATATATATATATACATATGTATATATGTATATATGTATGTATGTATGTATGTATAATATATATTTATGGATCAACAATGGGGCAGTCACCCATGCTGCTTTTAGAATGGGCACATGATCCTTTACACCTTCTTGTAAATGTTTAAGCTCATGGGCATGTAAGGACGTAACAATGGTATTCCAAAAGGACATGATTGAAATATGAAGATGCGTTCATGAGTGTATGTATATATAAACATATAAATGGCTCAGCCTTTCCGCAGAGTTCTTGTTAAAACAAATAAATATGTACACACTAGACACGCATGAATGGTAGATACGAAAGGATGCCAACTGCTTAATGACAAGAACGGCATGGAATATACAGAGATATCAAACACAAAACTCAAAAAACATCAACAAATCAGCAAAAGGTAACGATGCGAGTTAAACATAATCTGAATGTCCTCCCAACAAACAAGTTTCAGTGTCGAAGTTCCCTTCCACGCAACTCCAGTTGATATCTGTTGATTGCATCAGTCCAAAACTTGCGACTAAAATCACCTCTGGTCGGGTTAGCCACTATTTATTGAACCCCCCAAAAAAGAGATCATATTTATATGTTCAACCCTCGTGATACTCGATTTGGACCTCGGCTCACAGGTCCGGCCCGCCTGTGTCCGAACTTCACGTTCGCTGTCCTGCCGGATCAAACTTTTGAATTTTGGTTTGTCCCAAACGGGCGATAAGGGTCCCCCAGAAAAGCAACAATGCATCAGATTGTGGGTTACTTACTTTTGTCATACACACCCAAATGTATACATATACATACATATATACATATACATACATATATATATATATATCTATACATATACATATATAGAAATATGTATATGTATAAATGTATGCATGTATGTTACATATATATATATACATACATATACATATATGTATATGTATAAATGTATGCATGTATGTATATATATATGTATGTATATTATATATATATATATGTACATATTACTATACATATATATATATATGTATGTATGTAAATATTATAAATACATATGTATATATATACATATATGTATGTACGTATGTATGTATGCATGTATGTACGTACGTATGTACGTATGTATGTATGTATGTATGTATGTACGTATGTATGTATGTAGGCAGGTAGGTAGGTATGTATGTATGTATTTATGCAATTATGTATGTATGTATTTTTGTATGTATGCATGGACGTACGTATGTATGTATGTATGTATGTATGTATGTATGTGTGTATGTATGTATATTTGTATTTGAATATATATATATATGTATATATAATTATATGTCTATGTATATATATAAATAAATATATATATATATATATAACTATATGCATATATAATTAAATATAATTATATATGATCAAATTTGATTATATATGATCAAATATGATTATATATGACTATATATGATTATATATGATTATATATGATTATATACCCAGTGGATCGAATGTCTGAAATTATTCCTTACATTCAACGATGTCAGAAATATTTGCTACATTGCCCTGCGTATAGCCTGAGAAACGACATTCATTTATGACTTTTGTCTGGTGCCCATTTATGGGTTTCCCCCCTTCTCACAACTCACCAATCCCAATTCCAAATCTTCATTTTTCACACTTTTCGGCTTCCGCCGGTAAGCACCAAGGCGAATCATCCATCTGCCTAGGACTCTCAACTCCAGCATCCTTCGATGTACACGTCGACAGAGCCCTTTTATAAAGCCTATGCAATCCTTATCCACAAAGCAATGGTACTTGCGGCAATTGTACCGCTCCCATCGCATGAACCAGGCCAGCTCCTGGAACGCCTGAGATGTTTTAAGACTCAAAGAAGGTCATTATTCCAGAGAAGACCCTTCAAAAAATCACCCTTTCAGGTAGCTGAAAAGAAGAAAGATGCCACTAGTTCAAAGCAAATCCAGGGCACATGGTGCTTCGGCTTGAACGGCCATCGAAGGGAACCCATACGTTGATGATTCTGTGCCAGAACAGTGTAGGCTAGATGTTGATTTGCTGTAACTTGGATAGCCACAACAAAAATGAATAGAGTCAGAACACAGGATCATTTTCATCCAGCCCCCTTGGAACATCTTCATTAAAAACTGTTAAAGCCACATATATATATATATATACAAAAACACGTACAGAAACACTTTACCAGGTCACTTCATACTGCAAGCCCAAATTTCATCCGCTTGCTGTTGACTCAGATAGAGCATTCATAGCCTAAGAAGGCATGGTGCAGAAGGCTGACAACTTCAAACACGACAATCGAAGCAATTTGCTAGTGTTTTCTGACAGAAACAGTGGTCTACAACTTCCTGAAAGAGCTGTGGCAATGGCCATGCAAATATCTACTGGCTGCTTCAGCCTAGAAACACCCAGCAGAGCATCCTCTTCAAGGGAATCAGCTGGCAATGAAGCCATCAGCGGTAGATTGGGATCAACTAAGCCCAGCTTGCAAGCATAAGGATATCAATTCACGCTAATTCACGCTAATTCACGCCAAAACCCAAAGTCATAAATGAATGTCTGTTCTGAGAGCTGACATTGGGCACAATGTATGGTCTCATATATGACATTCATAAATGGTTTTCACGCTAATTCACGCTAATTCACGCTATGAGATCCCCAGAAATCCCATGAGGGGTCATTTATATGGGGATTTCTGGGCGTGAATTAGCGTGAAAACCATTTATAATGTCATATATGAGACCATACATTGGGCCCAATGTCAGCTCTCAGAACAGACATTCATTTATGACTTTGGGGTTTGGCGTGAATTAGCGTGAATTAGCGTGAATTGATATCCTTATGCTTGAAATCGAGGCATTTGGCCGTAGGAAGGGGGTGCAAGCTGGGCTTAGTTGATCCCAATCTACCGCTGATGGCTTCATTGCCAGCTGATTCCCTTGAAGAGGATGCTCCGCTGGGTGTTTCTAGGCTGAAGCAGCCAGTAGATATTTGCATGGCCATTGCCACAGCTCTTTCAGGAAGTTGTAGACCACTGTTTCTGTCAGAAAACACTAGCAAATTGCTTCGATTGTCGTGTTTGAAGTTGTCAGCCTTCTGCACCATGCCTTCTTAGGCTATGAATGCTGCTATCTCTGGTGCTGCCCGGCGCAATCATCAGCCATCCCAGTCGTTCCCAGTCACCCTATGATAATATTAATATATATATATACACATAACATATAATATGTATATATATATATATATATATATATTATAATATAATACAATAATATAATGCATATCTGCTGGCATGGGCTTGGGGGGGTGATGGCACCTTCTGAAGCTTCAACGGAAACACCACAAAAGGTGTCAAAGCGACATGTTGCAGTTGCTCGCTGCATTCAGAGATGGAAAAACTGCAGGTTTTTTGGTCATGATGGATCATTGATTGGATACAACAGGTTTATCGATGGATCTCATGAACATATCATGTTGATCATGACAGTTGAAAGATCTGAGCATGATGATATGAGTTCAATTCTAGTAATATCACGTGAATAATCCATGAATCTCACATAAAATTCCATTTATGACTTTTTTGGGGTAGTCATTAATGAACGTCTGTTCTGAGAGCTGACATGCTGAATGTAGCGCCTCAGGTGCGACATTGGCCATGTAGTGAATAATGTGCTACAGGGATCTATATGATTATATATGACTATATACATATATGCATATATATGTACATGCATATGTATATATATATATATATATGTACCATCAACTTAAGCTAGCAAAGTGGACAAATACAGTGCAACCAACAACACTTGGGATCTGTTTGACAAATTGGGTATGGTATGGCCGGCATGGCTCAAAACGACCACCCATAGCAGCACTGTGGTTGGATGGGCTGGATGCTGCTCCTGCATGTCAATCAAAACCAACAGGAGAACACGGCCAACTGCTGCAAAACGCGCGTGAAGTGCTGAATACAAATCTGGAATCTGTGCCACTTCTTGTGTGCCATTGACCTCAGGTGTCGGGCCGCAAATATCTGCGCATGCACGAAACTCCTGTGTGAGGGCGTCGAAGTGTGTGCCTCCTAGCTGAACCCATTTTCAAAGATGGCAAACTTCGGATGCCCCTTAGAAAACAGTTTCTTTAAAGTCTGGTATTTTGTCTCCCTCCAACAACATGGCTCAAAGTCCAAGGATCAACATGGATCAATCCTTTAATCATTGATCTAAAGCTAAAACCAAGTTGCCACTCGGATAAAGAGAAGGTTTTCCTCGAAACCGGGGCCGGTGGTAGTTGACAGATCGTATACTGGGACCCCTTCTTCAGGGGTGGTGAATTCATGGAGGTTTTCCTCCGCCGGCCTGCTGGCGTGTCACACGTGGATCTTTCGTTTGCGCTGGGCTCAACTCTGCCCACGTTTCGCCCCCCGCTTGGGAACACGTTTGCTTTTTCCATGTGTTTTTGTTGCTGTGTTTTCCATGGGTTTGCTCCGTCGTTCTGAAAAATCCAATCCCTGAGATATAGGTGGCATGTCCATCCACTGGTTTTTATGCAGAACACCTTTTACACGTGCAACCTTTCCATATATATATATATACATATATATATAATACTAAATGGCCTTTTCCAAAACCGTGGTTTACACACAGGCTTAGGTTTGAACTTAAGCTGCTAGGCATTGATCAAATAGTACACAGATGTATACAGCATGGGTTGGTTAGAACACTCAAATGTTTTTTCCTTCACCCGAAAATGAACCGCTTTTCTTTGTACAATGCGATCGTCTCACCCAGCATTGGTTTGGTTTCCACATCCCAACTATCTCAGGTACATTGTACCTATTAATTTCATACATTAATGTCAACTATAGTTGGTTCATGTTGGTTATATGTTGGTTATATCATGTTATATCTGGTACCAACCATCTTCAACTTCTGACTATCCTTGGGCCTTCAGGGTCGTGGAATCGTGGTTCGGCCACCGGTTTTTCATAGCCCTGACCACAAAAAATAAGAGTCCGACACAGTGACCTAGGATTTTCTCACCCAAGACATACGAAATTTGGGAAGTGAAATCTCACAATCTCCATTAGCAATGTGATTTCCCAGTGACATCTGAACGATGGAACCCCGCAGGACGCGCCCGTATACAGAAACCCTGCTTTGCATAAAATATTCACAAAACAACATGTTTCACACAAAACGCTGTTCTACACAAAAACTGTGTTTTACACACACAGTATGGTTTTACACAAAAACAATGTTATTGCTTGGCCTGCGCAAGCGCTGCGGCTTGCAGGATCGCTCTTTCCATGGTGACCGGCCGAACACGCCGAAGGCGGTTAAATAGGACATTCATCTATAAATGGTAGATTTTCCATTACCACGTGTGATTACTGGAGGGTACATATACATGCACTGAGAGCCATCATATCCTAGTTGCAGTGGAGTATAGTTGAGTCATGGCCGACTTCCCAACCATTGATGGGTTTGCCGAGCAAGATATGGGAGTATTGAGAAAACTGACCAACCAAAATGGAGATAGAACCAACCAAAACAAGGGTATGACAGGGTATAGTATGATATATTAAATACAATACTATGATATACTATGATATAATATGATATAATATGATATAATATGATATAATATGATATAATATGATATACTATGATATACTATGGTATAAAATGATATAATATGATATAATATGAATTAAAATGATATAATATGATATAATATGATATAGTATGATATAATATGATATAATATGATATACTATGATATAATATGATATAATATGATATAATATGAAATAAAATGATATAAAATGATGTAATATGATATAATATGATATGATATGATATACTATGATATACTATGATATAATATGATATAATATGATATACCATGATATACTATGATATAAAATGATATAATATGATATAATATGATATACTATGATATACTATGATATAATGTGATATACTATGATATAATATGATATAGTATGATATAATATGATATAATCATACGAAACCAAGATCGGTTTCTTGAACTGCCCTTGACATAGGGATACCCCGTGTTGGCCAACAGAATGACGAAATCCCGGCATCCTGCGCCATGGAGGTAGCCAAGCAGCATTCCGCATCTGCAGAAATCGCTGCTTCCGCCGGTCGAAGGTCTGTCGCACCTGACCCCATGTAGGAAACACTGGTGAAATCAGAAAACATATGGAGATAAACATCGGAAAACAAGACAAACCACTATGAAACCATAGTACTGTAAACCATGTCAAATGATATTAGCTACTGTACTCATTTGATTTGATGCGGAAGGCTATCTTGTTGTTAGTTTTGCGATCGCATATTTAATATAGTTTCCTCAGCCTAAAAAAACAACGGGCCTCTCTGCATTGGAGGTGGTAAGTCACATCTTTCTTCAGAGCTGTCCGGAGTACCTTTTCCTCCTTAATGGGAATCCTCCTCCCATTCGGATGGAAAACAAAACAAAGAGGTCAAAACACAAAACAAATCATCATTGGCCATATATTCAATGAAATCCCCATTTTACATATTTTAGGCGGTTGAATCCCGAAACAATCTTGGGGCATTCCACCTTTTTTAGTCCACCCCCCTGGGGCACGGCCTGAGGGTCGCTAATGTCATGGTGCCAAAAAGAGCCACCCCAGGTGGTTGGAAAGACCTGCAGACCGGCCACATCATGAACTCGTTCTTCCCAATCCAGGAAGTCCTGAGCTTTGCCAATCAGGAGTTCCACTGAGTTCCGCCTTTTTTTGTCATGCTGAATCACTGGATTGGTTTACCATTTTTTTGGCACTGTTTACAAGCAGAAGTACTGCAAGCCATTGTTGCAAGCCATAGTTGTTGCAGTGATTTGATGGGATTTGTGCGGCTTTTCCTGCGACATGTTCACTTAAACATCTTAAACCACCCACGGGACTGGTTTCCGGGACCAGCCCAGCTGTTTTTCCGACCCCTCCTGGAAGCCGTTCCGCAGCAAATGCGTCACACCCTGCCCATTGAAGCGGATCCAATCGAAGGGCCCTGCCGCCTCGCGGAGACCCAACTTCTGGATCATATTCGCCACAGCACCTTGCAAGGGCCCAAAATGATGAAAATACTCAGATTTACTGACCGGCTCAGTTTTGGAGGGTTTACTGAACCCATGAAGATAGTAGGAATGGTGTATTACTGGGTCTAACACATTATAGCAAATGCTAGTTCAAAAGACTGCAACCATGTAAATGGTTGATTTAGACCTGAATGGATATAAATGGTAGTTCAAGGGATCAACTATTTGACCGGCTGATTCCCTGGATTGAGTTCTGGGGGAAAAATGTAGGACACCATGCTCAAATATAGGGGTTTGATGCTTGGAGTGCTGTGCCAAGCCTGGGGATTCCAAGCTAATCTTTAGCGGTAGAATTTCTATCTGGGACATCTCCCAGTATCATTCCCACTTAGAATGGACGCAAAGGGTTGCTAATCAGGATATGTAAACATATGTATCGATGTAATCTATATATATATATAGTATGTGTATATATATATACAGTATATATAGTATATATATATTATATAGTATATATATATATACAGTATATATATATACTATATATATATACATATTAGCAAATACTATGTATATATATACACATACACAGTATATACGGTTCAGCATAGAGTATACATTCCCAATTTTCAGAAAAGCATGGTCCTCCCAGAGTTTCACTCGCGAGCGAGGGGCAATAGGACCCCAAGCTGACCAGACTGGTCTTGGACAGGAAATGCTTCACCCCGGGCAGCTCCATCCCCAACTGTTGCCTGGAAATGTTGGACCAAAAGACCAAGGGTATAGATATATATATATATATATATATGTAAATATATATATATATATACACACACACTCTGTATGTATATATATATATATACATGTATATATATATGTATGTATATACATATATTTATTGCGTATATATTTATTGCGTATGTGTGTATATATATATATATGAGTGGATTATAATCATAATATTTCACTAACCTGAAATAAGGCTATTTGGGGATAATTCCCCTTACTAACCATGATTCCAGTGAGGTCGCAATGAGGTCGTTATAATTTACCCAGATATATGTATATGTATATATATATATGAGCGATTGTGAAAACCCTAGGTTCACGGAAAGGACATCCACAAATTTGGGAAGGTCCCATCGCTTACCACACGTTTGTACAATAATGATATATGGTAAACTTGGGGGGTATCGCTTGCAGGAAACTGCTGCATTTATATATATATATATGTGATGAACTATGAATAATATGCGATATTTGGGTATCGCTAATGTGGATATTAAAGAAATATGATGACATAACCTTGAAAAGGGGTATCGCTAATTTGGGAAGGTCCCATCGCTTACCTCGTGTTTTTAACAATTTCCATCAATTCCCAGAAACCAATGTCCGTCGAATACATATTTAGTATTGCCGGGGTTTTTACGGTTGCTCATATATATACATACATATACATACATACTGAGTGGAAGTCAATGGGAGCTGATGAGGGGTTAAGCAAAGTCTAGACGGGTCGGTATATGGTATACAATAAACAAGACATGAAGATACGCGTATTTTCAGGTGATGCCAACAGAACTTTGGGGATGATTCCAGAATCCGGATCATTATCTATGGATGATTCTCATGATATACTTGCCATCAGTTCTACTGACGTGTCGGTCTGATATAACTCGCGGAGGATGCATGCTTTCATGGCAAATCAACGTGTGAAACTTCAACATTAACAACCTGACTCGGATCATGGTGAAACTCTCTGAAGGTAATCAGCCTCTGTCTGTATCCTTCGACTGTAAACGTTTCTGCGTGTTCAAGTTTGGCACGTACTGGCTGCACAAATCTGCAAGCATGGAATCTCTTAAAGAAACATGTGTGCTATGCCTTATAACTGGTAGCAAAAAAAGTAAAACTAGCGTATAGATGCGTATAGCATCATCCATCAGCATTCCATTGAAATGCTGAGTATGCCTGAATCTATCTGGAATCTATCTGAGTATCTGACCACCAACATTTCAAATATATCCTTCTGGAGACATACTTTGTATACGTACGACCATCTTTCCGAACCCAAATGCTCCATGTATCTCCATGTAATTATGGAATATTTACCAACATCTACCCTAAACATGACCCAGTCATTTACAGTAGGTAGATATGGGTTTGTCTGAAAATGGGGTACGCTATATTTAGTTCATCATCATGTGTTAACAATTTTTCAGTGCCAGCAATCCGGGGTGGATGCCAAGCATTTTCAGGTAGACCCGTACGCAGTACCATCTTATTGGAGAATATCGCCAATATCAGTCCCATCAAATTGTTGAACTTCACCACCCATCCGTTGGCCCATCAGGTTCAGGCCCAAATCATATTAAGGTGGTGTATCACATGAAATATTCCATGAAATATCTAGCAATGAACCTAATGAACCATTCATTTAGGTATTGATCCATTATTCACGAGTGAAATCCACATTTCTCATGGTGAAGTCCCTGTGATGGCCCGAATCGGCCTCCTCCTACCTTGAAGTGCCGTCGCAAACTCAGGATCTTGCTTCAGCAGCTCCTCGAAATCCTAGGGGGAAGCAGTCGTGATGTCTCCAAAGGTTACAGGAAGGCATTGGATTTTCTGAATATAAAGGGAAACCGGAACCCTGTCAATTTTCCTTGACAAAATGTCGAACATGTCTATTGGCCAATTTTTTGGGGGGATTTCTGTAGGAGACTGTGAAGATCCCTAATATATTGGGCAGTATAACCACCCTATAACATTTTACAATAAATACTTATCAACCAACGGTGGTTTTGAACACTGCTCGTATTTTGTTGAGAGATGCTCCCTAAGATATTAGCCTTACAGTCCTTATACTGCCTTATACCTTTTATGTCAACCATACCCTGCAGCATTTGCAAAACGCTTTATAGAGAAAATAGCTGCTATAAAATGCGTAACCAAACATATTTTCTCTATAAAATGTATAGCCAAGGTTTTATATGAAATGACCCTGCTTTATAATAAGGACCAAACATGGCCTATATTGGCTCACCAAAAGTGGTGGACTATACAATGGGATCCCAAACTTCCTTGTCATCCAATCGTTTTGATTTTGTACAGTGAGCAGCGTCTATGAAATGACAATGTAAATATATATTGGCTCTATGAAATGATCACAGTTCTGTATGAAATGGATACTGTTTCCTAATGTTGAGACGTATCTTCAAACCTTCTCACTACGAAATGGGCAGGTGCCCCAAAAATAGATACACACTACACACATCTTCCAGCATTTAGCCCTCTATTGAATGACCTTAAAAAGGTACCAAAAAACGCATTTCATGGAGACAGACAAAGGCTAGCATTTCGTAGGCTCACATTAACGGGGTTTCCTTTTAGATGCACACCTCCAAGTAGGTAACTGAAATGTTCCCTTGGTGGATGATTCGTGGCTTACACTTTGGAGATTGTAGGAATGGCGGGAATGGGAGCCAACACATCAAACAGGCCTGGTGAAGTTGAATAGTTGGGCTTAAGGGAAAAATCACAAAAAAGTTGCTACCCTCAAAGATTGGAGGTTCCTCTAGGTGTAGCCAATTCTAGGGGAACTGCAACCTTGAAACACATCGCCCGACTGTTGGAGAGACTCCCACTGAGTTCAAACCCCATTTCAATCTTAGCAGCGGCATCCCCCTTTCAAACAGATTCAGGACCAATGGGTATGGGTCAAAACTTTAGACCTCAAGACCCCCCAAAAAAGGGACATTCTTATTCAAGATTGACGCTTCAAACTTTGGGCAATGACCCCCGAATTTTGGGTCCCTGTCAAACAATCGTGGCAACGGAACATTGACGGATTTTGAAAAGAGGATTCACCTCTTGGATTTTGGTGAACTTCCACATGATTTCAACACATTTGAACACATATCCATATCATCATAGAGAAATTGAACATTGTACCTTCATTTACACTGTACGATGGTACTTGGATGTGCATCGTAGTGAGTAAACGGTTTCGTACACCATGTATTGCATACAACGTCTTCATCTCCCTGAAGAAGTTCCATACAGCCAGGCACTGGCGTTTCGGTGAGCTTTCCTGGCAGTGTGGCCACTGGGGTGCTGGGAACGGCCAAATGTGGCACGTCTTCCACCACAAATGGTGGGACAAGGGAAGCTCCTCCAAGAGAAATCAGCGGCTTTGCACAGATCGGTTTTTTGAAGCAATGGATAATGGGATATGGTGGGATAAGAAAACATCTATGGGGATATATGGGGATATTTCATGAGTATATTTCATAGGTATATTGACAAATTGCATGATGATATTATATTAACTTATATAGGTGTGTCATGGTGTGTGAGAAAATGTTTTGAGTTTTGAATGTGTACAACACATTTCTGGCCATATGAAGAGGGATAATCATGATTGACCGGTGGATTTGGTGGGGGTACCATATTTTCGCTATTTTCAAACCATGCCAAATGTTGCTTGGAGAATCTGTGAATTCCTGACAATGAAGTTTTCTTTTCTTCCATCAATTCCTGGTTGAAGGATGTTGAACGCCTCTACAGGGATTGAACGATGATCTTCCCAGTCACTTTTTAAATGTTTTCAAAGCGATGCTGCTCTTTTCAGGTCATCCACAAGATGAAATTCAATCGGATCATCATCTCAAGTATGCATACAATGTGGTGCCCTCCAGAGATCAGTTAGTTTCTTTCCGTCCTGCTTCTCTTTCACCGCCCCTTTCCGGGAAAGGGGCCCCTATGTATAGGAGGGTTTTTTCTGTTGCAGCCCTTGGCTTACAATCCCATCTAATTATACGAGCATCGTCAAAGACCTGGTTTTGAATGGGTTCTGTTAGTTAATTAGTTAAAAGGCATTCCCATAATGGATTGTAATTACAATAATCTCCATCACCCCCTCCCAGTAGAACCCCCATTCATTCTACTTAAGCAATTGGTCATATAGATATATGATATATCCGCCATAAATCTTAATGTGGTAGCCCAATTTCATAAATAATCCCCAAATCATGACAGGTTTATGACATTTGGTTTCCCACATTAGTTGATAACTAGCCAAACTACGTTGATAATCCCATCATTATCCCACTATTGTCCGTATGGTAGTTTCCTGAAATGGGGGTACCCCTAAATCATCCGTTGTAATAGGCTTTTGCATTATAAATCAACCATTTTGGGGTACCTCCATTTGTGGAAACCTCCATGTTGATATATCAGCCCATGTGTCATAATCAATATTATCACATTACTTAAAAACCAACTTAGCTAGGCACCTTCTAAGCATCTCCTGACGCCCAAAAACCTAGCTCCTTGAAACGGCCACGGCGAGTGGTACGTGGGCGGCGGCAACGGGACACTCCACATGGCGACAAAAGTGCAGACACGGATAGGTTTATGGTGAATGTCTTCAGTTGGATATATATATATAGAGTGGATCCACATTGAATAAAAAACATTTGGGGAATACAACAATTCACAACAACAATACTAGGCATTTGGTTTTGTCTGAAAATTGGGTACCCCCAAATCCATCATTGTCACCAATCGCTGTACACGTGCATCGATAAAACCTACACTTGGGTAGCCTTGGCTGACCTAAAATGTTCAGCATTGTTCAGCTGTCTATCAAGCAAGCAACCCTCTATTCATAGCTGAAAAAAAAACATGTTATTGCCTCCGTCCATCAATCTTGTGACCATTTTTTGCCGCTCAAATGGCTGGTGATCGCACGGGGTTATTCTGAAGGCTCATAGCATGAGTGATCATGATACATATTATTACTATTGCAGTACATTACAGCCTTATCATTCTCATTATTACTAGGGAACTGTCATGACTGTTATCTTTTTACCGTCCTCATCATTATCATCATTCTTGTCATTATTTCATTAAAGAACCCTGGGCTACTCCTAACAGGGCTACTTCTAAAAGTTGCTATCCTGTCACAAAGGTTATCAACATAACAAAAACAAAACAAAAAACAACTCAAAAAAACTCAAAGTTAAAGATTCAAAAAAAAACGAATCACCAATCCAACAATTTCAAAGCAATCTCGAAAACAAACAAACTTAAAACTAAAAATAAAGATAAGGAACTATTTATACGTGTATATATATATAACTAACAAACATAAAACACAATAATAAAAAACTTTCCAAACAAATCCAAACTGCTCCCCCAAAAAAAACGAACAATCCAAAACAATCCACAAAAAAACAACGAATACAAAAAACTCAAAACGTTTTAAAACGAATCTTTAATAATCTAAAATAACAAAATGTATCAATGAACTATTTGGAATGAAACATAATTATTTAGAATAAAATTGAATAAACTGGAATCATTTGGACTGACACTGAATTATTTGGAGTTAAAACAAATGAAAGAATGAAAGGAGTGTTCAGGGGGTGTCCCCTCCATAGACGAGATTATTGCTATGATCGATATCATTATCAGTATTATGTCCATATACAATTCGAAAACCACACACACGAATCCCATCCCCAGTTCAACAAAAACAACCCCGTTTTAGGGTCCCAATCATATGTGTTTCGGTTCCCGATCCATAACCTTTTTGTGACTCCACGTCACCATTCCACCCATCTCTGCCATCTCGGGAAAGTGCAGGTAGTCCATGATTCCCTGAGATGGTCAAAACAGCAAGCGGAACGGCTGGACTTTGCCAAAGATTGTGCCGAGGGAAGTGAAATCCACAATGAACATTCACAAAAAACATGAATATCTACCACTATCTACCGATATGTTCTTATCAATCTACCTGTTTAAATATTTATTTATCTATATAGAACCTAAATCACCGGCAAACTGATGCAACATGTAGTGAACACTAGAATTGATGTCGCACTTCTACTGTTCCATCAGCAGGATGACTTCATCACCGTGGTTGAACCACCCTTCATCCCCCATCTACGTAACTTGAGATGGTGAGTGGGATATATTGGGATCAACCAACAGCAGAAACATGAAAGTATTGAAGAAACTTTCACCATCCGATCCCTTTCTCCGAAACTCCAGTCTCAGGAGTCGAGTAAAATACCTGGCGATTGAAATCCCCATGTTTTGTGGCCTAAACATCCAAACTTGCTACCTAGCACAGACGAAGTTCAAATTGTTTCTCCCCAAATTTCGAATGTCGACAAAAACAAAACAAGGGGGATGGACATATATATATATATGTGTATATGTGTATTTATGTGTATATATGTGTATATATGTGTATATATGTGTATATATGTGTATATATGTATATATGTATATTTTAAACTCCCTCTCTCTCTATATATATAATTATATATATTATAAAATCATATAAATTTATCTATCAATCTCTATCTACGCCAGAAATGGGTATGAATGGATACTCATGCAACCAATGCAGAATCCAGCCCAGCAGGCCAGCACTCTGAAACTCTGGTTTGTTGAAAAACCAAACTCAACTGGGAGATAGTGAGATATGGCTACAGTTTCCAACAGTCATTTCATTTGAATCATTGCATCATTCGATTCTCTGGATTCGTTTGAGCGAAAATCTCAATGAACATACAACATATATACAGTTGAAGGATGTTAAAACCATGGAACATCGGCAAAAAATGGAACATACATACGCTCACCAACCATATTTTCGATGATCTTCCATTATTTTTCCAGAATGCTCCATCTTTTCCATAGGTGTCCGTAGATTTCCCATTATTTTACATGATTTTAACGAATTTCAAAACTCCATAACTGTCGGCCTTGGGATACAGCTGCTCATCGCCACCCCAAAGCTGCAGGACCTCCTCGACGAGACGCTCCCGTTCCTGGGGAGTTAAGCGAAATTTACCGCCAGAAATAGTGATTTAACCATGGGCCTGCCAGCGTGTCTGATTGGAAGGTGCTGTTCCTGTTCTGTTCTTGGTTTGTACTTTGTACTTGTTCCTTTGTTCTCTTGCTACGCGTTTTTTCTTCGTCTGAATACTACTACTACTACTACTACTCCTCCTCCTCCTCCTACTCCTGCTGCCAGTGCCACTGCCACTGCGCTGCTCCTGCTGCTCCTGCTACTACTACTATTGGTGCTACCCCTACTGCTGTACTCCTTCCTTCTTCCACAAGTACTAAACCCTACAGCACTACAGTCGTCTACCGGTGCCAGTAATACCGCACAAGGCGGTGGCGGGAGTTTCGAAGATAGGACGCTATAGAAGAGGTAAGTTGTTGCGATGCATGGAGGGCAGAGCGAATCCACTGATGGACAGAAAGGTGGTTGGAGCTGTGTTTTTCGCTGTGGTTGCAATGGTTGCAGTGGTCACCTCACCCACAACTGCTGGATGTAGTGTGGTGTAGCGCAGCTGTAGTTGTAGTTGTAGTGTAGTGGAGTTGTAGTTGTAGTGTAGTGTAATTAGCGTGGTGCAGTTGCAGTTGTAGTTGTGGTGTGGTGTAATGAGTGTAGCGCAATGTAATGTGGTGCAGAGCAGTGTGCTGTAGTGTAGTGTGCTGTAGTGTTGCGTGCTGTAGTGTTGCGTGCTGTAGTGTTGCGTGCTAGAATTAGGTCTAGTGTAGTCTAGTGTAGTGTGCTGTGGTGCGGTGTAGTGTGGTGTAGTGTGGTGTGGTGTAGTGTAGTGTGGTGTAATTAGAGTAGTGTAGAGTGGTGTAATTAGTGTAGTGTAGTGTGGTGTAGTGTTATGTAATGAGTTGTAGTTGTAGCTGTAGTTAGTGTAGTGGAGTGGAGTGGAGTGTAATGTAATTGGTCTAGTCTGGTGTAGTGTAATGTAGTGTAGTTGTAGTTGCAACTAGTGATGTAATGTAATGTAGCTGTAGCTGTGGTTAGTGTAATTAGTGTGCTTAGTGTAGTTAGTGTAATGTTAGTGTAATTAGTGTAGTTAGTGTAGTGTGGTGTCGTGTAGTGTAGTGTAGTGTAATTGAGTGCAGTGTAGCGTAGTGAAGTGTAATTAGCGTAGCGTAGTGTAGTGTAACGTAATGTAGTTGTAGTTGTAGTTGTAGTGTAGTTTAATGTAGTGGACTGGAATGTAATTAGTGTAATGTAGTGGTGGTTGTAGTTGAAACTGCAACAAACCCTCACGTCTTGCTCATGTTTGACAAGGTGCGCAATCCCTTGCGCCTGCCACACGAAACGATATCTGAACGTCCAAAAGTGCTCCGTACCCGTCAGTTTTTTGCACTCTTGACTTCCAAATGTCCTTCGCGCCCCAACGGCATGCACTTTTTCGACATCTCAACTTCAAAAAGTGTTCCGAACCTGGTGTGTTTTGCAATCCCTTCCTCCTACTACTAAACCCCCCCAAATAAGAAAAACTAGGGTCCATCTCTAATTTTGGAAAAAATTCAGGTTGGCCAATTTGACTTTTAATTGATCCCCTTTAGAAAACAATTTGAAATAAAGCTACCATTTGTGGGTTTCGCCCCCTAATAATAAAAACTAGTTAACCCCGGGGTGTTTATTATTAGGGTCCGTGAAAACTTTAATTTTTTATATTAGGATTTTTAATTTAATATTCGGGGGAAGCTTCGAAATCGAATTTTCGGCAATATCGTAATTGGGTATAAAAGAAGGAAATTTAAGTGACTTTGAAATCGAAAAAAACATATGAAGGTTTTAAATTTATTCATAGGGCCCGCTTCGAAATCCAATTTTTGGCAATAGTTTAATTGCGTTATAAAAAGGAAATATTTAACAATATTTTATTTTAACTGCGTTATAAAAGGAAATTTAATTAATTTTGAAATCGAAAAACATAGTTTTTCATTCAGGCTTTAAATTTATTAATAGGGTCAGCTTCGAAATCCAAATTTTGGCAATATTTTAATCGCGTTTTTTCGGAAATTGAATTGATTTAGAGATCGAAAAACATAGTTTTTTTAATTAAGGGTTTTAATTTATTATCAGGGTTCCCTAATAATAAATATCCCCCTACCTGAGGTGTTTATTATTTGGGGGGGGCGTTTAGTATTAGGGGAAGGGATTATTTTTTGACTTCGAAATGTGCTTCGCGCCACAGCAGCGTGCACTTTTTCGACATCTCAACTTCAAAAAGTGCTCCGAACCTGGTGTGTTTTGTATTGCTCGGTGCATTTTGACTTCCAATTGTGCTTCGCGCCACAACGGCGTGCACTTTTTCGACATCGCAACTTCAGAAAGTGCTCCGAGCCTGGTGTGTTTTGTACATTTTGGCTTGGAAATCTGCTTCGCGCCACAATGGCGTGCAATTGTTCATCTCTCATCTGGCCACATGGCTCCGCACCCGCCGCTTTAGCGAGCCTACTTTTTGTTCCCCCGGAGCCACAAATCATTGGAAAAACACAGTGAATCGCGACTTTTCTACCTTTTCGATCCTTTTCGCGCACCTGCATCTTCTTTCGTCTCGCTCTCTCTCTTCTCTGTTTTTCTCTCTTCTGCTCTTCTCTTCTCTCACTCTTCCCACCTCTGCTTTTCCATCTGTCCATACTGTCGGAAGGTTGACTTCTAAACTTCCTTCAACTAGTTTCAGGAGGCAAGCGGTACTAAACTGATCGACTGGTACTGATTTGGTATGCTGTCCATAGGTTCAAGCACGCACTTGCTACTCGAGCTGCTTCTGATCTACAGCTCTGTCTTCGTCTCTTCTTCTTCTTCTCCTTCTTCTTCTGCTTCTTCTTTTTCTTCTTCTTCGTCTTCTTCTTCTTGTCTTCTTCTTCTTTTTCATCTTCTCTGTCTTCTTCGTCTGGTCTTCTGCTTCTCTCTCAGGCTTCCACCTAGCGTGCACATCAACCTCCCTTGGGGCAACCTCTCTCCGCTTCCACTCTCTCCCTTCCATGCAGCGGTCTGCTGTCAAGCCAGAGGCTCATATATAGAGAGGGATATATATATATAGTACCTGGCGCTACTTTGCCGGGGGCGGTACTCATTTGGCATATGGTCAACCACCTAGAGTGCACATCAAACTCCCTTGGGGCCACCTCTCTATGGCTATTAATTACTTATATAAGCATCAGAAAATGGTAAGTAAGGAATTGCATCGGATCTGTGAAATTGATTGACATATATTGCAATGGTAGAATTATATAGTGTGTTGGTCACTCATGAATTCGAGTAAGTGATGATTTGATACGTTGGACAACCCACCAATCCATCAGCTGATGGTACCTTCCTGGACCATCTTTTCCAGATGCTGGCCCTTTTCTTGCTCCCTCACTAGCTTTAGACGGGCGTGTCACAGGCGTGCTTATCCCTTCCCCATCTTGTTTGCTGACATATTTGTCTGATTTAACTTATATGGCCCATGTGCATTTTGTTTGGTTGCATACGATGCATACGTGTGTTTCTTATTCATATGCCTATGGTTTGCTGAAATCAATTAGTTCCAAGCCGCTGATGGTCAAGCATGTCCCATTCCACAACAGCTACTTTTACTTTTGCCATTCCTTGAGCAACCGATCTGGAATCCACCAATTAACATTGGAAAGTGACTTTCGTATTAGAAGTTGCCGTAAGTTACGGTTCATGTCAATGTTAAATTTCGGGATGCCTGAGTCACGCGGTTTATCTGAAAATACCAAAATCCAATGAACAGAATCATCATTTCCCCTTTCAAGAAGTCATAACATTATCCCGGCAAGAGACCCCAAACAGTGCGGGGGGAAGTAAAAGTATAATGTAGTAAAATATAGTATGATGTTGATGATGATGCTGCTGCTGCTGACGCTGATGACGATGATGATGCTGATGAGGAGGAGGAAGACCCATCCCAAGACCGGGAAGCAGACTTTCAGCGAGCCTGCGCAGTCGAAATGCACATGGACATTTCACAAGAGCCATTTTGTGTGCCAATTTACAGGGAATTAGCCGGAGACGGATGAGAACACCTCGATTAGACACCGGGCCTTAACTGTTACCGAAGAACCCCTCAGTGTGGCCACACTGTTTGGGGAATATTGGACAGTATTACAAAAACAACAACAAACATCAACAAACCAATCTCAGTTTTTGTCCAGGCCCAGATCTTGATGAGTTGGTGAATATATCTCCAATATCCATCCTCATTATGGTTGGTTTTAACTACAGCGTGGGGGCCCCTAGTTATAAGTTGGTTTATGAGTCCCAGGAATATGTTTTACTTTTTTACCGAAGCATACATTAATATACGATAGCTATTGGAGTGAGTGAACTAACTAAACCAGCTTTGCTATCGAATGGGGGCCGCACATTGTAGTCACCACTAACATCCATGAACTCCCATTACCAACAACTATCAACAACTAAAGTCACCACTATACTAACCACAAAAATCACCACTGTTAACCACTACTGTAAATCACTATAGTCACATTAGTCGCCTCTAATATCTCAACACCCAGTGGTTTTCACGTCATCCACGTGGCTTCTCTTTGAAGAGTCTGCGTCAGGTCTCCTGGAGAAATCCAGCCAAAACACGCCAAACATCCCCGTAAAAAAATTAAAAAAAAATGATTTGGGGGATGGTATGGTATGTGAGAAATTATATATGAATTATAAATGGCTAACATAATTTAACCTATAGAATGGAAAACAGATGTGCAATGACAGCCCAAAGGCGCCCCCCAAAGTTGCCCTACAAAATGCAAAAGCCTAAGGTAAGATCTTCAAGAAACCGGAATTTTGGAAACAACATGGAAGCGCTACAAAATGCCAAACCAGGTGCATTTTTTTGGTCCAAAAAGTATGGCCCAGGAGGACTTTGGCGTACAATTTTTTGGTCCAAACCTGCTTTGTACCAAACCCGGGCTCACGTATTTCGTAGAGGAAATTCAAACCCCGATCCTATAGATATATATAATAAAGAAAGTCATTCTAGTGAAATCCGACTGAAATAGTGATACATTTCTTTTCTATCTTTTTGGGAGATATGATAAATATCTATAAATACTGGTAATCCCTTCTCCCATGATTTTTAAAAATACTCGCTTATAATCAACGTCCGTTTCGTATTGGAACATATCAGCCCGAAAACTGTGAGATCCGGGCTGAAGCCCGGAACAAGTCCAATCTTTCAAGAAACGGACGCTATCCAGAAGAAACACTGTTACATGTCCAATACAACATATAACTACAATATATAATTCACACGATAAAATATCTTCTGGGACTGTCTCAAACTTTGGGTGTACCATAAAGTTCAAGGCTTTGCCAAGCAATTCATGGGGAGAACCAGGGCCAGGGCCATCCATGGCCATCCTATGTGGGTGCGCAGCAACCAGGGTGTTTGACAGCGTTTGGGAAAGCCGCAGGCCGAACACTTGGCCGCTTGCTCCAGGACCATCTGGCAAAGCAGCAGCAGACCTTCCTCAGATGGCTGTGGGTATTGAGTACCCTAACAATTGAATGGTTAATACATGTTTATACATGTTAATACATGTTAATGCATGTTAATACATGTTAATACATGTTAATACATGTTAATACATATTATATAATACTAAAACCTAGACTTAAATCATCTTAAATCTGTGGTCCCACAAGTCATTCATGTTGACCTATAGCGAGATTACAAGTGCTGCTGTGTTCAATAAATCATACCCGAAACGGTGTCATCAAACATGGCTGGGATCCTCTTCGTGCTGGAGGCTGTTTCGAAAGTGGTGCATGAACATTGAGGGAAAAACATAAAACATGGTAAATGCACATAATGGTGAAAGTCCCTAAGTCACTAAGTCTTCAATATACATATTATCATGTGTATGTGTATAGATACACAGCCATTACTTGTGGATGCCAAGGGATGCTGGTCCAGCACAAGTCAACAAAAAATCCACTTAGATCACTGATAATTCTTCCAACGACACATGATATACAGTGAAGGCATTTGATAGCTGCTGATTTTCGAATCTTCTTATACATATACATACAGTGCTCAAAACTTCTAGATGTGAGATTTGGGTTTGCCTGAAAATCGGGTGTCCTCAAATTCCATGGTTGATCATCATGTTGATTCATTTTCACCATTAAATGGCCGCTTACAGCTATCCCCCATGTTCAAACTCACCCATTTGATGTGGAAGAACTACACCCATGATCCTACCCTTGTTCTATCCTGGAGTCGAATTTGGAGTTGGACCTCCTCCCAGGTCCTCCCAGCTACCAAATATAAAATGGATCATAATATGGCATAATTAATGTGGTAACCCCAACAATATACACTGAACATACACTGAACCATATTAACGAACCATGGGGTGGTCATTTACCATATTTATTTTGCATCCCTCTCTCTCTCATCTCTCTTTCTATATATATATATATAGATTATTTATATTGGGGATGGTTCATTTTTGGGATTACCACATCATTAATATTTACTAATGATAATATTATTCACCCAAGATTGCACTTCAATGAGGTTTTCAGGGGGGGTCAGCCTGACAGCCACAACCGTTTGCCGTCTCCGAGGGTCGTATTGCCGACTGCAAGGACTTGGCTCACGTTGCCTGATCAAGAAATCCACTGGGGGATCTGGTGGAAGGCGCTTTTTTGCTGATAGTCTTCAATAATCCCTGGTAATTTCAATCAAAAGATATCAATCAAGTACCATAGTTCGATGTTTTGGGGGCAACATATGCATAGAAACTTAAAACAAAATGCCTCATTCAGAAAAACACCGATTCACTGGTGGTATGTCAACCCTCCTGAAAAAAGGATGCGAACGTCAATGGAGATCCTCATCCCATTTGGATAGAAAATAAAGATATTTCAGCCCACCAACCAGTGCTTTGATGATGCATGATATGTTCCCAGGGCTTGTTGGTTGAAACAAAAAACCGCTTGTTGAGTCCTCGGGCCATATATAGCCACAGGTCGCTCCGATGAATCCAACACAGCCCAGGATGCAGAACTGACTGCTGGAACACCAACTCCACACTGCACCAAGAATCACGTAATCTGTGTGAACAAAAAACTCGCTGGCTAATGCTGGCTATGGCTATTCCTTTTTTCCGCAAATGCACAGGATATGATTGAAACCACCAGCCAGTTTGGTTCTAAGTGATATGTGTATATCTCAATTCTTGCTGTTCTCCCCATTCATTGGTTCATAGGCATTCTATGGCATTCTTAAGCCATATTTGAAACCACCAACCCAACTTCCTCCCCAACCCCAACTTTCCAATTTTTGCTCCTCAAGCCGCTGTTTATGTTGTTTAACCTACCCCCCTGTGTTTGCTAGTTCAAACCTTACACTTCAAAGGGACGGACCAAACATTGGTTATACCCCCAAAGATCCCCCAAAGATCTGCTTTTCGATTGGTTCATGAAAATTTGACTCCGTCAACCGGTCAACCTCCGGTATTTCTGGGGCCAAAAATGAGGCGGGCTGCCCTGTCGAAATTGACCAGCTGGAACTTCGGAAACGTGGGCTTGTCGGGGGCCCTTCGGAAATCAAACGTGGCAATGTATATAAAACCCACCAACCATTGAATACTTTCCCAGCGACTGACATCCTTTTATAGGAGATTTCCCATTGCCTCATTTGATTATCGGAGGGTATCATTTGGGGGTATACCGGATACCAACCATTTTCAGCCCCACACTCACATTTCATATTGTTTGTTATATTATATTATACTGTAATATGTTTTATAATATATCCCCTCAAATATAACTTTTATACCATCATTGTTGTTGCTTACATCCCATTCTGGTGGATTTTAAATACCTAATCTTTAATGGTTAATATCCCTTACTCAGTGAGTTGCCCTCCAAGAGTTTGAACTTTTTTCCGTAGGTTTCCGTGAGTGTACGCCAAAAGAAGCTTATTTTGGTGCAATTGAGGGCGCGCGTGGACCGAAGACAAAAACAATTATATGAACTGTAGCCGCTGGCTGTAAGAATCCCCAACATCCATTCCACTATTCATCGGGGAAATCCCTATTTCTGATGGTTTTTTCTAATATGTTTGATGGCCAAGTCCCCCTATGTTTCGTCACATGAAGTCTTCATTTCCCCACCAAAAAAAAAACATATTCCCATCATGGCCAGCTGGCTTTCCATTTTTTCACTGGTCAATTGGTCAATCTACTGAGTTATCCCCCCGTATTTTTCCCAGATCAACGGACTGTGCTGCGCCTGCAGAAGCTCGAGGTCTCAGCGTGTCGCTTGTGCATGTGAGGCATGCGCTTCAGCAGCGCACCAATGCGTTCCAAGGGAACGCCCAAGGTGAACCTTCACAGTGCCCCACGGTATGGGAATCGAAGCATCAAAACCATGGAGAAAAATCGTTGGATTTCACAATGGAATCAATCAAGATATGGTTTGGTGTCATTGATTGGTACTAAATACCTAAAATGACTACATAGCGGCTCATTAGAGGGATGTATATATATATTACTGTATATATATATATATATATTATATATATATATGTATATTATATAAATAACTATATATAATGAACTGATGTTATGACCAACTTATGACTGCAGAGGGCACATTGTAATTCTGTGTTCTTGCTCCACCTTGCAGGTAAAGGCCCAGGATTCAGATAGAAAATCTGACCCGGAAACTATGGGTTTTTATTCCCCCCCAAAAAGGGGCTGCCTAAATCGTCACTGTAAAAACCCTATAATCTATAGAAGTGGAAGGTTATCCCATATACAGCTGGGTATAATATTATATAGTAATGGTCATTGACATTTATTAACCACATCAAACTGAGAGCCATATCCCTGACGTATGACGGAATAGGTTGATTTGGATTGATCCCTGACAGTCAAACATTGGGCCTGATGAGGGAGGCAACGAATTCAGAAGCAAATGATGGCAGTTCTTGGTGGTCACCAAGGCCCAGTAAATGCCTCATCATTGGTGGATTTCTCCGAAAAAAATGGTATGCCGCTATGCCCCCCAAAAAAATGACGGTTAGTCATCAAGTTGAACATCACATAATTTTGGAGGTATAGGAACTATCCCTATCAACTTGTTGGTGGAAATCCCATGTGTTGGTGCAAAATCTCTATCTTGATGCTTGAAACTTAAACGCCTACGGTATTGATGGTAAAAAATGGTAAAGTCCAATTTTTCAGCGATATTTCATGATAGTTAGTGTTGCTCGAATCCCTACTTTGATGGATAAACAACCATATGTTTGATGGTGAAGTCCCCATTCAATGATAGTTAAAACACCATTTTCAACCACATCCCCATGGTAGTTGGTAGTCCCACAGCTATCGCCATACAGGTCCCGGTGCCCGCCGGTGCCCCCGCTCCCCTTGGGCCCAAACTGGAAGGACTGCTTGTGTACTGAAGCAGGCACCTGACCATGGGCACATATTTGGGGAGCAAGTGTTGGAAGTGTCAAATGTATAGTCGAATCTATGTATCTGTCCATGCATCCATGTATCTAATCTATGCATCTATTATCTATGTATCATTATGTATCTATGTATCTAAGTATCTATGTATCTATGTATCTACCTATCAACGTATGTAGCTACCTACCTTTTTATCTATCTATATAACAATCTATATCCGTCTCAATCTGTATCGCTCTCTATAATACATATATATATATATATTCACGATTATATATGTCTATCTATATCTACAGTAACTATATATGTCTATATCATATCTATATCGATCTATCAATCTATCTAACTATCGATTTATTCATGGATCTATCTATCGATGTATCATATAAAAGAGTGGAATACAATATCCTTAAATATTATTTCGGCGGTATATACATCAAACCCCTGAGCAAGGGTAGTACTATGAGGCGATGCAATCGATTGAAAGACGCAATGCTAGGCTAGGCTATCTTCATGGATTGGGTCTGGCGACGCAATCTTTGCTGCACTGATGACATAACAGCCCCTGGAAGCTCTAGTACACGAAGGAAAAATCTTGAAGCATTGATAAAGCCCATCGGCCTCCATCGGCCAGGAAACTGCGTTCATATGAGCGGTCTAAGATAGGGCCAACTCCAAATCAAGTGTAGATTTACGGGCTTTTAATATGGAACCATTTTCATGGGAGTATCGCCATGGACAAACCCACAGCAACAAATTGCTACAGTCAAACGACAAACTCATGCCTAACTCATGCCTGGGTCAAAACTTGCTAGTAAATCACCATGGAATCGCTGTTTCAAGAAACTCATGCCTAAGTCATGCCCAAATCTTAAAACACCATGGAATCGCGTATGTATATTGCATATCTGCATGAGCAAATTGTATCCTACAGAAATTAACTCGCAAATCAGCAACAAACCCAGTTTGCAGTGGTTTCCTTTACCAACCAGCATTTATGGTGCAACTTGTGTGAGGTCGCTACGATTTGCCCAAACATCGAGAGATATCTCTATCCAAATCCCAGGTATGAGACTGATCTGACCCAAATGAGCCGCCTTCAATTTCTCCAGATATTTCGCCAAATCGGTCGGGAGGGAGCTGTTGAGCACGGTGCGTGGACGCACCACCACCTGTCCAGCAACTGGACGGCATTGCCAACATTGCCAACCACCAACCCTTCACCATTGGATACCAGGCTGGTGAACATGTCACGCTGGCCCTGCCAAGTCACACTGTTGGCTTCTGGCAAACCTTGAAGGACCTGGTGATGTTTTCCACCAATGCCTGGTGACAGCAAAGCAAAGGATCATCACCCCATCTGCCGGGAAGGAAATAAAGGTGAATTGGTTTAAGTTTAACATATGTTAAAGTTAAGATCATATTCAAGTACTGCACATGTTACAAGCAAGCGCGTGTTTGAAGCAGACCTTCAAACATCGCCCTGGGGATGTGTATATCATATACATTTACGGTAATACTATATTCGAGACTTGAGACCACCAGCGAAGTATATGCAACTAACATAGCTATGGAAATCCATGGGTTTCCCTACACAATGATCTACAACTGATGCATGTTCATGGATTTTCCATAATATATTCGCTTGCTGGAGGGTAAAAGATTTGGGATCATCTTTCTAAAATGGCAACAGAAAAATATCATTGTTGCATATTGATCATATTGTTGCTAACACTAAAATTCCCAGGTGAGCAGTGTTCAAAACAAGAAATGTCGTTCCATGACACGCTGGTTGGTTGACAAGGATTCCCAGCGCGTGGATTGGGTTCTCCAGTTTATTTGCCTAGCATAAGCGCATGCAATCATCAACAAAATTGGGTTTTGAACACTGCTCGGATTGCAATTGGATTCTCTTGGAAAACATGGACACAAAATGACAAAACCAAGCATTGGGCTTCTCGAAATTGAGGATCATCTAAAGATATCTAAAGATTGGTTTTGGGGTCTTCAAATACACGATTTTGGATCAGTTGGATGATGTTTGATGAAACTATATGGGGGTTTCTACAAATGGGGATCCCCAAAACCATTGGTTTCAATACTAAATGTGTTTATTCTTTGATGACTTTGGGTACCACCATTTAAGTAAGGAAACTTCCATATAAATACCTGGGCTCACAATGTTGAGAACCTGCAGCTGCTCATTCATATATATATATATATATTATTATATCCCCCTTCAGATTAAGTCATTACCCCATACTCCCCGATTCTATAGGTATAAATTGGGGAGTACGCCCCCCCCCCTCTATAGAATCTATTTTCCTGATCAGAATAGCCCTCTATAGAATGTAAGAGTACGGGGTACTGACTTAATGCTCCATTTTTGTGGAATTCCCCTCTATAGAATCAGAGCTGTCACTTTGTGCATTTCTCAAGGGGGTCACTTATACATATCCCAAATTTGATTAATAGATCCTATAGAGGGGGGTGGTGTACTCCAGCTGAATGGGGTTAAAGCCCAACATGAACACCCGATAACACCTATTCTTCTGATTTTTCTCTGCCGTGTCGACTTTGTCACCTGCATCCTTCGTTGCATCATGATCTGTCATTCTTCAAGCAAACAAGTTTTGCTATGATTGATCAAGTTTGGTGTTGTTTATGAGAAGCTCACCGATCTTTTTGATGGAAAAATAACTTGTTGGTTTCCAAGTACTGCTCTCCCCACTTTTGTTGATGAGTTGAATCCAATGCTTCCTATTTTGTGAAAATGAAACTATACAATGCTATATATAGATATATTGTATCATATTGTTGTTTGTTGTTTTCTATGTTTTTCTGATGTTTCTGGGACATTTGGGGGCTGTATTGAACATCAATAGCAAGTTTTCCCCCTGAATAGCCCCTCCCTCCCCTCTATAAAATCAGAAACCCCAAAAACTCAGCCCTCCCTCCCCTCTATAAAATCAGAAACCACCAAAAATCAGCCCTCCCTCCCCTCTATAAAATCAAAGAATGGATTTGATAAGTCACTTTGGGTATATTTGGGTCATGTAAAAATAGGGTAAATCATTTTAAATCAGGTTAAATTATGGGACATTAAGGATATAATGGGATATATCAAGAGGTCACCACGACCTCCCCCGGCAAAAACCCCCCCCGGAAGCGCTGCCGATAAATCACCATATTTTGAAAACAGGAGGGATCACAACAGGTCACACAACGTGGTAAATGGGGAAGCCTACAACGGGGAGACGCAATGGGAGGGAAACGGCGAGAAAATGAAAAATGTCACATTTATGGTGGGGAAATAAGAAAAAGCTGCTTGCGTAACATATTGAAATTTTGAAATGTTGCATATGTGTTTAAAAATAGTTCGATATTTTTGAGAAACTGATTTCTATCTATAAATTCTGACCACAATCGGCTTTAAAACACTCAGTTGTTCATTTCCAATGTATTGCAATGAATTTTTAAAATATGTTTTCAAAATATGTTTGTGAAAAGTTGTTGGTGACACCAATGTTGAGAGATATACATAGGACCATGTGTTGTAGATTGGTGTTTTGATTATGTTTTTGAATATGCTTTGAATGTATTTTGAATGTGGTATCTAAACCGGTGGAAACAGAAAATGTCAGAGCCAGGAGAAAATAATAGTAAATTGAAGTAAACTCGACTTTTTCAAAGTGCTATCATGTTGAAGTATGTTGTATATGTATGCAATTGTATGCATATGTTTATACATAGTTATACCATTTTAGGCCAATGTTTTTAATGCTTTTTAATTAGTTAAGTTTTTTTAATGCCTCCAATTGGTTTGGCATGTTTTTCATGCTTTTCAAGGTGGCCCAAAGGTTTCTGAAAAAAAAAACTGAAGCGCGGCCGGCAAATACCACTCTGAAAGCACTGGTCCAGGATCAGGGGAAAAAACATTCATATCATCAAGTGCTGTTGACAATATCAAAAAATTAAGGGCCTTGAAAACAGAGATCTTCTTACTTGTTCAATTTGATAACAAAAAAAACACCCTCTACAAAATCGGCCTTTTTAAGTCAGATTCTACCCCTTATAGAATCAGAACCGCCATCTCGATGAGATTTGGTCCAAAACCCTAAAAGAGGCCCTCTAAAGAATCAGAAGCAGGAAATCGAAACTCTATGGAATCTGAATACCAGTTTCCAAGGCAGGCAAAGTGCGTAATAAAATGACAATTTATTTGGAGCACGTGCTCCAAGATTTTGTAGAGGTAATTGGCAGGGGAATATTATTATGTATATTTCTTTTGTATATATAATATAATTTCATCAGCAATAGTTGCTGATCTGTTCATCTTGATAAAGCCCTTCATTCCTTCCTCTTCACAAAAAAAAACAAATAGCCTTTCCGGAACCAAAGAATCTCCCCAATTCGCTTGGTTAAGGATTTCCAATCGAGAGCTTAGGACTTAGGATTACATGCCCGAGGATTCCCCCCAAAAATGGGATGATTCACTACCAAACATAAGATAAACCCCACTTCCATATAGCTTACTCTCCGATTCCTGGATGCAGTTCCTCCATACCATCTAATGGCATGAATCAAGATGAATTATGTCACTGTTTTTTTGCCAGGAAACCCAGCTTTGCACCCCCTGAAGATATCCAAACATCGAGGCCCCGCGAGTTCACCCCCCGCCCGGCCATCCACTTCTACACGCCACCAGGGTGATCCACTGTCAAAGGCTGGACCCAGAGCCTCGATCTGGGAAGGCCATGGGTTGATAAAACAACCAAATTGCAGATGCCACTTTTACCGGGTAAATGATGATTCACAGGACCAAATCATATCCACTGCATGATCACAGTCCTGAGTCCTTTGCTGACTTCCAATCAATATCAATTAATATGGTTTGTCTACCAACCCGGAATCGTGAAATAGGACCCCGCAATAGATTCAAACGATTTTAAAAGTGAGAAAACATCAGAAAAAACGATCGAAACTGATTGATCTCTTGTGGACCCTCATAGACTCGAAAATAATGCCAGGAAAAACCAAGAATACTATCTAACTTGTAAGGGTCAAGCACTGGTTGGGGTAAGTGGGATGTACCCCCCTTTAGAACACACAGATTTCATCGATCAATGACCTGTCAGCTTGCAGCCTGAGCCCGCCTTCGCGAAGTCAGTGCTGCTGATTCCACCCCGCATCAAGAGCAGCTCGGGCGTCATCTTCATATCTCAGCATCGCGATGGAAAAATGGGTCATTCTTCACAGAAACACAGCATTGCTGGATGGTGGTTGACCTACCCCTCTGAAAAATATTAGTCACTTGGGATGATTCTTCCCAATATATGGAAAAAAAATGATCCAAACCACCAACCAGGCATTGGATCGGGAATTTTGGTCAATCATTTGGGGTTGGGCCATAGCAGCATGATCGAAGCTTAAAACAAAATATTCCGGCCCATGTTCCAAGATGTTTCAAGGCCTTCCGAGATTGCCGAACTACGGGCTGGACCCCTTTCTTTTGAGACTTCATCAACTGTAGCATCCTGCCCCCTCAGGACTCCGTACCGTACATGTTCTTGGGCACCTCAAACTCGTACTGAATTGGTATCTCGTGAGGTAGAAGCCTTGAAACCGAGCAGACAAGGACCCAACAGCAGGGAAGACTCATCATATGGGACAAGAATGGACCATACCTATACTATATCACATCACACTTGGGGATGTCCAACTCGTTTCATCCATGATAAAGCTATTCTGATTCTACCAGGGCACTTTTTAGGGGTTTGATCAACAGTCAATCTTGTAAACCCATGCAAACCCACTGTAACACAGAGGTACAAAATCCAGAAGGACCAACTGACCAACCCAACTCATCACCGACTGGTGATCTATGCCTGGGTCCCGGACCCAGGCATGGACCGCACCTGTCCCTTCTGATAGTGGGCAAAGTAGCGCCTGGCTTTCCACGTCCATACACCATGGATTTGGAATAGGTGGCTGTTGAAGAAGTGAATCAAACCTAACCATGCAATAGTAATATCATATATTATCATATAATGTCATGTAATACTATATAATATAATATCATATGAGCTGTTTCCAACAGGTCTTGTTCTTCTGAGGGCGCCAAGGGAATGCTTTCGAGGCTTACGCACACCAGGGTATTGCTCACACGAGGTCCTTATTGCCATCCTCTTACTACAAATGAATAAGGGTGTTTTTGTTGTGACTCACACAATATCATGGTGTATCAAAAAAACATATACACGTACCATGATATTAAAATGATATGGAATATAATATATACTATATAATGTATAATATATACAGTAATATATAATATATAATATATAATATATGATAAATAAAATATAATATATAATATATAATAAATAAAATATAATATATATTATATAATATAAAATATAATATATATAATATATATATAAACATAGCATACGTATATATATAATAAAATGATGCATGTATAGTATAATATATAAAGTATAATTTATAATCTACTGATATAAAACATAAAAATATAATATAATATCACACAATGTAATATCGCATGTCACATAATATATTGTAATATAATATATAATATGAAATATAATATGATATCATAAATATGATATAAGATAATATCAGAGAATAAGATATAATAGCGTATGATATAATGTAGTATCATATCATATGATATTGATATCATACATATATGTATACTATTATATAATCATCAAACAGTGTAAGATATTGGAATATATTGACATAGATTCCAAGATATTGAGGTAGCATGAGATAGCAATCATCTGTCACAAGCATTCCAATAGTTGTCACTCTTAGGATTTTCCGATACATTTATGGAAGAAATCGAGAAAGAGCCCACAAGTTACCCAGTCCAGATGGTGGCTGCCCCAGCAATATGTAGTAAATTTGGGCATCATGATCCCATGTTTAGGGATGACAAAGCACATCAAAGATACCCTATGGATCCCTTTGGTAATTTAACATAGCTATGTAAAACCACCAGGCAATAATCTATAAACGGGCCACCAACCAGCAATTTTGACCCATCCCCATCAAAGTCTTGGACATGTCGGTGCATCATCAGGAAAGCCATTGGAATGATTCAATATTGCCATACAGCCATACAGCCAGCAAGGTATAGGAGCTCTCGTATATCGAATTTTCAGACACATCCAAAATCATTTGATTAATGTCCCCAATAGATAATCAAATAATATATACATATATAAATAGTATTATCGTTGTCTATCTCTATATATATATATATAATGTTGGGTCCTGATTAGTACCTAGGGTCGCTATTGTGGCAAATTTTTTCCAAATTATTCTGAAACTCATGTATTGTTTGGAGGGTTCGCTTTTGTGGCAAAACAAAATTGGGAGAGCCCTTTTTTTTGCAAAAAAAACTGTAATTGCTGAGACGCATTTTTTTCTCAAAAACGCTGTAGCTCAGTCAAGGTAGGTTTGTTTGCTGGGTTCACTATTGCAGCAAGCTGTGCCAGAGCAGCTCCTGGAAGCCTAGAAGGGAAGCAAGCCTTTGCCAAAATTGCCAAATTCAAACCCCAAGCCTTTCCCAAAAGAACCAATCCCTTATTAAACCCTTATTAAAGAACAGCTTTTCCACAATTTTCCAAGGCCCTGGACCAGGAGAGGCTCCATTTCACTTTAGTAGGTTTGTTTGCTGGGTTCACTATTGCAGCAAGCTGTGCCAGAGCAGCCCCTGGAAGCCCAGAAGGGAAGCAAGCCTGTTCCAAAATTGCCAAATTCAAACTCCAAGCCTTTCCCAAAAGAACCAATCCCTTATTAAACCCTTATTCAAGAACAGCTTTTCCAAAATTTTCCAAGGCCCTGGACCAGAAGAGGCTCCATTTCACTTTAGTAGGTTTGTTTGCTGGGTTCACTATTGCAGCAAGCTGTGCCAGAGCAGCCCCTGAAAGCCCAGAAGGGAAGCAAGCCTTTTCCAAAGGCAATTGCCAAATTCAAACTCCAAGCCTTTCCCAAAAGAACCAATCCCTTATTAAACCCTTATTAAAGAACAGCTTTTCCACAATTTTCCAAGGCCCTGGACCAGGAGAGGCTCCATTTCACTTTAGTAGGTTTGTTTGCTGGGTTCACTATTGCAGCAAGCTGTGCCAGAGCAGCCCCTGGAAGCCCAGAAGGGAAGCAAGCCTTTTCCAAAGGCAATTGCCAAATTCAAACTCCAAGCCTTTCCCAAAAGGAAGCCAATCCCTTATTAAACCCTTATTAAAGAACAGCTTTTCCACAATTTTCCAAGGCCCTGGACCAGGAGAGGCTCCATTTCACTTTAGTAGGTTTGTTTGCTGGGTTCACTATTGCAGCAAGCTGTGCCAGAGCAGCCCCTGGAAGCCCAGAAGGGAAGCAAGCCTTTTCCAAAATTGACAAGTTCAAAGTCCAAGCCTTTCCCAAAAGAACCAATCCCTTATTAAACCCTTATTAAAGAACAGCTTTTCCACAATTTTCCAAGGCCCTGGACCAGGAGAGGCTCCATTTCACTTTAGTAGGTTTGTTTGCTGGGTTCACTATTGCAGCAAGCTGTGTCAGAGCAGCCCCTGGAAGCCCAGAAGGGAAGCAAGCCTTTGCCAAAATTGCCAAATTCAAACTCCAAGCCTTTCCCAAAGGAACCAATCCCTTATTAAACCCTTATTCAAGAACAGCTTTTCCACAATTTTCCAAGGCCCTGGACCAGAAGAGGCTCCATTTCACTTTAGTAGGTTTGTTTGCTGGGTTCACTATTGCAGCAAGCTGTGCCAGAGCAGCCCCTGAAGCCCAGAAGGGAAGCAAGCCTTTTCCAAAGGCAATTGCCAAATTCAAACTCCAAGCCTTTCCCAAAAGAACCAATCCCTTATTAAACCCTTATTAAAGAACAGCTTTTCCACAATTTTCCAAGGCCCTGGACCAGGAGAGGCTCCATTTCACTTTAGTAGGTTTGTTTGCTGGGTTCACTATTGCAGCAAGCTGTGCCAGAGCAGCCCCTGGAAGCCCAGAAGGGAAGCAAGCCTTTTCCAAAATTGCCAAATTCAAACTCCAAGCCTTTCCCAAAAGAACCAATCCCTTATTAAACCCTTATTAAAGAACAGCTTTTCCACAATTTTCCAAGGTCCTGGACCAGGAGAGGCTCCATTTCACTTTAGTAGGTTTGTTTGCTGGGTTCACTATTGCAGCAAGCTGTGCCAGAGCAGCCCCTGGAAGCCCAGAAGGGAAGCAAGCCTGTTCCAAAATTGCCAAATTCAAACTCCAAGCCTTTCCCAAAGGATATTGAACCCTTATTAAAGAACAGCTTTTCCACTAGTACTACAAGTACTACAAGTACTACAAGTACTACAAGTACTACAAGGACTACAAGTACTACAAGTACTACAAGTACTACATGTACTACAAGTACTACAAGTACCACAAGTACTACAAGTACTACAAGTACTACAAGTACTACAAGTACTACAAGTACTACAAGTACTACAAGTACTACAAGTACTACAAGTACTACAAGTACTACAAGTACTACAAGTACTACAAGTACTACAAGTACTACATGTACTACAAGTACTACAAGTACTACAGTACTACAAGTACTACATGTACTACAAGTACTACAAGTACTACATGTACTACAAGTACTACAAGTACTACAAGTACTACAAGTACTACAAGTACTACAAGTACTACAAGTACTACAAGTACTACAAGTACTACAAGTACTACAAGTACTAGAAGTACTACAAGTACTACAAGTACTACAAGTACTACAAGTACTACAAGTACTACAAATACCACAACTTCATCGGCAAAAAAAACAATCTTAATTAGATTTCGATTGTAGCCAATTGAAATCCTTACTTAATCGAGGATATGTTTTTCTTTTGGGAAGAATTTTTTTGCTTTTCTACTTTAAAGAGAGTCCAGAAATAGTTTAGGGGAGGGGGGGGGGCACACACTAATCAGGAACCAACATTATATATATATATATAAATGTCATTATTATCAAAAAAAAACTGCTTAGTTCCAGCCCATTTCTGGAGCCTTTCCCACCAAGGCAACCGCCATCGCCTGAAGAGCTCCTGGAAGGCCTCCTTGCGTTCCGCCTCCGCCCCAAGGTCCTGGCCCGGATCATGGGATAGACCGCCGGGAAAAAAAGAGGATAAAAAGGGTATATAATGGGAACATGTTCAAAATTCTCCGAAGATATCTTATAATTATATGACTGGGAGTGTCCTAAAATGGGGGATACCAGTAGTCACCATGGTTGTTTCAATGCTCAAACGTTTTGATGACTTGGATGATTTAGGGATATGGAACAGGAGTTCTTTCAAAACCACAGCACCAGATCCATTTTTTGAATCCAAGTTGCCTTCTGAGGCAGTATTGGGGGGATGATTTTCAGGGTTAAGTACCTTCAGGCCTTCAGGACGAGATTCCCATTTCGGAAAATGTATACTGTAAATTGCAGAAGTTCTTGATGTGAAGCCCTCCCATTTTGACTGTATACTCCCATCATCTCCCATCGGATACATAATGATACATGGAAATCCCTCTATAAATCCTGAAAAATCCTCAATTTCCGTCGCTGAAACATGCTGAAAACTAACCCATTGCGGCAAAAACTGGGGGACCTTTGACATCCTTTGACCCATCAAGGTGCACGAGACCTCTGAACGAAGCTCTCCGTCTGAACGCCACGTTCGTGGCGTTCAGAAAAACCAAACGCACAGTCTGAGATGGTACAAAGATCATCAAAGATCCCGACATGAATATGGCATGCCTTGACCCCTCTCATATTATAGAGGATATGTTCATGGGTATGTACAAAATTGTACAAAGAAATAGAAAAATCACAAAATTGACCCCCAAATCCCTGGACCGAACGGCTCTCCTGCATGGGTCGAACCGCCCCGACCAGTACCAAGCTGGCTAGCCATAAGCACAGCATTCGCAGCCTGGTGATGTTTGGTCATATGGTAAATTCGATGGATTTTGCATGGAATTTAAAAGTATGTATATATATATATATATATTATAATAGGATTTAGCGGGATATACAAGATATACGGGTATGTGTATATATATATATACGTATATGTATGTGTATATATATACATATGGGATTTCATCGGATATACAATCAGCACTATAATAAACAATGTGGTAAGCCCAATGGCCCAATGCCACAAACAACTACAACATCAATCTAGGGATGGTTGGAATCCAAACCATAAAAGTGGTGATGGAATGGGGATGATTTACGGGTGAAAAACTTGGATGACCGGAACACTGGGACGCGTTGAAAATGCTAAGTGTCTTCAGAACCACATGGATGGACATGACATGACATGACCAGCTCACAGCAACGGTACACGATGGCCGTCTATGGATATGATGGCGTAATAGTTCCGAAAACATCCGAAAACTGGTTTTGCTTTGTGTATGATAGGTTCCTGCATGGAGATAGCTGACTATCAAACATATCATCAATTTTATGGTGGGTATTCTGTGGGCCTGATTCAGCAGTGATCGGTGGAAGTGAAGATCATGAACCTTGGATCACGGCCGAGAGTTACCCCTTTGGACTCTGACTGGTGGGTGGTTGAGCTACCCATCCAAAGAAATAGTACATACGGACAATCACACAGTGAAGTTTTGAACACTGCCCCTCGAAAACTCACACATAGCCACATATCCTAAAGAGTCTATATACAATCAAGCATGCAAAATATCGTATGTGTCTGCTGGATTGGAATGTGTCGAGTTGGTGTCCATCAAAATGTATGCATCTCCAAAAAATGATTTTGGCAATTATTTGATAAGTTAAGTTATGTTATAAGTTAAGTTATGTATAATATATATATATATGTATACACACACTACTTAATATATATATATATAATATACATAATACTTAATATATATATATAGAGAGAGAGAGAGACTAAATATCATGAAACATGGCTACATGTTGTGGTCCTGTAGTCCCTGGGCCACTTTGACAAAAGCTCACTGCCGGTTCATCCTGGTTCCAGCTCATACGATCACGCTTTTTCGCGCTGGTCGGATGCTTTTCGATTCATTAGTTTTTTGGGAAAACCTACAGGAAACCATAGGAAAGTCAAGATTTTACCCAACATCACTGAATCCTTTTTGAGGGGTTGCCTACATTCTTTCCCTTCAACATCCTTAAAACAAGCCTAAGAATTTTGCTAGTCATGGGCTTGGGTGTCACATTTTGAAGCATTCATGGGTCTGAAAATGGGCTTTACTAGTACTCCCATTTGCCTGATTAAAACTCATGAATGGGTCTGAAAACGGGCCATGTATACCCAAGATCATTTGCATCAATAAATCTGCAATAAATTGGGGGGGTGCTGATCATGCAGCAAGAAGTCATGAGGGAGTTGCAGCCAAGTTGTGGCTGCACATAGATACAGTGAGGGGGAAACGGGTTACTGTGAGGTAAAAGTTATAAATGTTCATTCCACAAAGTGGCTATCATTCAGTTTAGCTATAGTGGGTTGGAGCAACCCTGTCTATAGATGAGAATATTCCGCGGAAAAATTGGGAGTTGCCATGCCATGTTGATCAAAGAACGGACTCCGCGGCTGCCATCTCAAATCTATGGTCAAGCCTATTCTCCACCAGCCGCCAGGGACATCAATGCCTTAAACTCAACTGGTTTGATGCTGGCCTCCCCTGCTTGCAGGGCCCTTTCACGCGGGTCAAGGAGCACGAAATACCGTGCCAGCGATGCCTGCAGCATCCATTGACCCAGTGCTTCCCAGCGGGCGCATTGGCCCAGGTGCCCCGCTGTCATCCGCCGCTCACCCCAACTGGGCGGGTTGGCCTCAAAAAGCACTTCAAGATCGGGGAACCGTATCTCGAAGAGGGCTTGTCCGTGCGCCACCACACCCGGCCAACGGTGTGGAGAGACCGACACTGAAGACCGTGGGGTGATGTCAGCTCTCTGGGTAAGGTGAAGGAAAGGGAAGGACGCAAACATGATGCAACAGCTCCAAACTTCAAAGGGGCACGCAAAGATTTTCATCCACTCATATTCCGGGCATCCATGCCAAGATTTTCCCCTTCTCACATTTAGGAAGGCCAATGATGCCAAGAAACAAGTTGAGATATTTGCAAAACACGATGTTTTACCAGCCATGCTCAGCCCAAATGGCTATGACAGTTGCTGCGGGTGGATACTGCGGCGTCGACACTGGCATGTTGGGCGCAAGAAATGTAAACAATGTATTAGAAAGGCCACTTTCAGCATTGGCATGACTAATCTTTCCGTAGATTACAGAAAAAGTTAGATTCAGCCCATCAAATTCATTCAAAATTGCCAACATGTACCGGTACTAATATGTTGTAATATGAGTCAACAATGGGGAACGAGATACAGTAACCCACCAAAAGAATGATCTATCTTGGAATTAGACCACTAATTTGACCTATACCCAAACTGGATAACGTGAATGTGGTAAAGCCAAATCCCAAATTGACAGTGGTAAAGTCTCCCCTGATATAACCGTTAGTGTAACCATCATTCAACTCCCCTGAAAATCTCCATGACACCCCCGTTGTTCATGGTGAAATCCCTCCATGGCCACGGTGTCACCAGCTGCAGCTATCGCAGCCACCGCCTCGGATGGCGCCTTTGCCTGCGAAATCGCCTGAAACGTCGCGATTGAGGCCGTTCCCAAAGGCAGGATCATCCCGAGCAAAATGGATAGGTTTGATGTGTCGCAAAGTGGAATTGGGAATTTCGAACTCATCAAAATTCAATTTGTTTTGGGAGCATCATCTCTCCAAGGTCCAAATTTGAAGTGAACATGATTGAACCAACACGCATTTCAGACCAATACAAGATCTATTTTTGTGGGATTGACACCGCCAACAAGTCCTGTAACTGGCCTGTGGGCAAGCCCAACTTTGTTCATAAGGGCATCGTCAAGGCAGTGGGTTAAATCATGTTAAATCCACGTCTTGGACTCTGTACTTGCATTAGTTCAACAGCATTCCTTATATGTCCATAGATAAGCTGCATCAAGATCCCCGTTCATCACACTGTCATGAAAGAACCACCTTACCTCTGCCAAAAAGCTGATGTTTCAATAAATACCCAAGAAGGACACGTAGCTTGGGTTTCATGTGTGAACATCAAAATAGTGATCGCCGAGCGATCCCCCTCACCTGCCAGTGATCGCCCACATCTGCGGGAGTGCAACCACGCACATCCAGAAACCAGCAGGCCCTCGGCTCCAACTTCGCAGTAGGAATCAACATGTCCCTTAAATTTGTGCTTTAAATTATGTCCGCTTACTTGGAAGTGCAGTTCCAGTTATAAGTTATTTTTGTGTATATACTATAACTTTATAAACTTATAGTAGTCATATCCCAACTTATGGGGGTGATCACCATGGTTATAGCCATGTGTTTCACCTCAACTGCACCATCTCACGTAGATTTCAACCAGAGATGATCCCTTAGTGAAGCAGCTGGATGGTGAGGATGGCTGGGTTGGATCCCAATGTATCCCAGCTAGCCGTTTAACCAACATAATATGATATAATGTGTAAAATATATATATATGTATATATATATATGTGCATGATGTATGATATTAATATATAATTTATGATTATATATATATGTATGTATGTACATTATATATATATATATTTATATATACCATTTCTATCCATGAATCACTTGAGTCGGATGATGCCATGGGAGAAGATCAAGCAGAGACTCGACAAGGCGCTCAACAAAAACATTTTTTCCAGGTTTGAATAATGCATCAGAAACGCCAAAATTGAATGTATAATGAATGCATAATGAATGCATAATGATGTATAAATGTATATATATAATTATATATATATATCAAAATTGAATATCAAAATTGTTTGCATGCCAACAAGATGCAGTACGAGGATTAGCAAGTGGATTATGCCCCGTTTTAGTACAAATCCAGATGCCATATATGCCTGTCAAGTTGCATCATCAACTCGTGTCTAATGTGCGACCACTGTAACCACAAACCAAAAACCATCATTGACCATTCTCGGATTATTGACCATGATGATTGACCAATCAAATAATCTTAGATGTTTACATTGCTCGATAATTGTTATTTGCCAAAAGGACACCGAACAATGGGATTTTTAAGTCAAGCAGGAGTCGTATGGTTTTGAGTCCTGAGATCCCATGGCATATTTTGGCGGGAACGAACCAACAAGGTAGCGATGTTTTGTCGGATTGTCTTTCTGAATGACATTCCACCAATTCCAAAGCTTCAAGATGGTTCATATAAAATGATATAAAATGATATAACATATTATAGATGTCTGGTTGTTGCCTTAATAAAAAGGAGTTTCCACCATATTCCAGGGCCTGCCTCTTCGACTTGGCCTCCCGGCACAGAATAGCCCGCAGTGGCCAGAGTCTTCCGAACCTGCTGAGTTTTCACAGAGACCCAACTGGCCATTGGGGTAAACTTTGATGTGGAAAACACATGGAAAACCCATGGAAAACCCATGATTCCCTAGGAACATGATCTACAAATAGAGGATTTTTCACATCTATGTTATATAGTTTATAGGAGGATACATCCAAGAAATGTTGCGGAAAAAAAACATGTCGAACCCAAAGTTGAGGGATAAACCAGCGAAACCTCTCATGGCCATTCATGGCTAACCATAGAATTACCCACTTTGGGTGATTCCCACCACGTATATAGAAGCTTTTGTATATATGTCAACTCATTGTCTGACACATATGTATATATATATACACACAGTATCATGAATCATGACATAAGCAGTATCTTGTTTATTTGTCTTAATTTGTCTGAGATGTATTCTGACATATGTTGTGATATTTCATCTGACATACGTCATGGTCCTGACTTTGTTTTTGAGATTCTCAGAGGTATTCTGACATATACTCTGACTGACAATGTATCCAGAGCTAATTCGCACATAAATAGTATCATCATAGGACTATGTATATCAATATCATCTGTATCATATTTTCACACAAAATTCGACGTGTGTTTAGGCTTCAAGAGGTGTCCTTCAGATTTCTGAAACACTTGCTGTGGGATCTGCAACATCGGCACCCCGGCAGGTGCGGAAAACCGGAAAAAGACCACCTACTAAACGGGATAATCCCACACTCCTACTAAACACCCCCTAAATGGTTCCAAGTATGTTCCAAGCAGTGTGTAAATTCTCACCTAAACCAGGTAACCATGGGGCTGAGATATTCCATGAGCCCATTTACTCAGGAAAAACCATGCGTTGTTTCTCAGATGTTTGATGTCTTTCCACCATTTTCCACCCCCATTTGGCAATTTGGTCAATGTTTTCAACAAACCTGTTAATCCTTTGAATTCGTTCCCACTGTCGATGCCCCAAGATAAATTTCTTCCTGGTTACACACCATTGTGCGAGTTCCAACCCCATATTCTTGTCGGTCAAGTCCCGTTTGTTCAACTCCAGAACTCCCCCGGGTCGACCACGTCACCAGCGCCTCTGCCAGTACGAAGACCAGGTGTGGGGGCGTCCGAACGGTGATGACCTGCCGGGTCATGTATTGATGACCCATGGCCTCTAAATCAAACATGGCTGGACCATTCCCGACTTTAATTGGAGGTTTTAGTGGGAAAATAATCTGTAAATTTTAAATAGGTGATTTTCCGTTGTAATGTAAAATTGATATAAGAACAAATGATATACAGGCGATGTTTGTAGGAAAATTGACAGGAACATGTTATGGGAGACATTATAATTATACAGGATATTAATGGGACATTTATAGAAAGGGACCTTGAACATCAGTGTGGCACGTGTGATATCATACAGTCCGTGAAAGTGGCAATGCATGAAGCCACCAGAACTGACTATAAGCCACCACTCATCACTGGTTGGTGGTTTTAACCATCTTGAAAAATATGAGTTCGTCAATGGGAAGGGTTCTCCCATATATGAAATGGAAAATAATCCAGCCATGTTTGAAACTAGCAACCAGATATATTTTCCTATGGTTTTCCACTGATGATCACCTTCCATAGCTATCCACTGATAGGTTTTCCATCCATCTGTCGCAGCATCCCATCCCCTCAGCCCCACCATTGCTTCGCGCAGGTAATGCAGGTGTTGCTGCTGCAGATTGTTCAGCACTTCAGCCTCGAAGCAACCAACAAATAACAGCGAAGGACGTGGTATAGATAACAAGTTACTGTTACTGGTATTCTATTCATTCTACGTATATTAATAAATTATATATATATATATCCATGATAGGGTATAGATACTCCATAATCTAAATGGTATATAGACTAAGATTATATGGAGAATCCACCATTTATGGATGAAAATAAAGACTGTTTGAAACCACTAGCCAAATAACCAAATGGGGTGAGAAAAGAAGTGGAAAAAATTGGGGGAAAAAAGACAGCGGCGAATAGATTTGCCAGTGGAAGTGGGGTAAAACGTCCGTTGAGAATGGGATAGATCACGAGCGGAAATTGGGACTGTCGATAAAAAAACAACGAAAGAACACACTCTTTTAACACATGTTTGCAATGTTCACACCATTTTTTTAATGATATTGGCATTGGAACTCCGAACATCTTTGGGTCTATATATTCGATCACTCTGTTCATGGCTAGACATTGCGATGTCCCACAATGGGCGAGAGACCGTGAACAAAACTGCCGCAATATCCTTGGACTCTCTCCACAGATTTGTTTTTAAATAACTTCATAACATGTTATAACCATAAAATGTACCAAAACAACTGGTATCTATGGATAACTCATCCCGAAATCAAATGCTCTAAATGCTCAGCCAAGGACGTATCCCATTAAAGGCCACACCAGGACTTACCGCCACGGGGCCAACTTCAGTGGAAGGATCTTGCGCACAAAGGTGCTACCATCGCTGGCCTTGGAGGAACTCACCGGTGACCCGGTCATCACATGTCATCGCCAAAGACTGGTATAAGATATCGTATGAAGATGTCCTAAGATGTGCATCATATTCACCACTCCAAATTCATTCTTATATTATCCAAGAAGTGACTCCTCATCCGGCATCAGTTGTCCACTTCACCTGTGTACTGATTTGACTATGCATAATCTCGTAATCCAACATGTCGGAAAGCTGCAAAATTTCCAGTTGATCCAACTCCTGAACATGTGGATTTCCAGCTGCCATGTTACAGGATGGCAAACCAAATTTTTGAGAAAGACCCTTCCAAATTTAGGTGTGAAAATCAATGAGATATCCCTAAATCCACAAGTTAATCATCAGTTTCTCTATGAAAGTTGCTATAGTGAGGGTATACTCCATTTTCAGACACATCCAAAACTCATATTGTTTCATAGTATCTTCATTGTTGTGTGTTCAACCCCTATTTATTCGTGGTTCAACCTCCATTTTCAGTGCTTAAACAAACATAGTTAAGTCATGTAAAGTCTCCATATGGAATTTTCCCTGGAATGGAATTACCCCTAAATCACCAATTTTAGTAGGATGTTCCATTGTAAACCATCCATGTTGGGGCCCAAAATGGATGGTTTACAATATTGGAACATCCTAGGGGATCCCCCCATCTATGGAAACGCCCACGTGTTCAACTTGTTTCAACCCCGGTGAACCAGAACGACCCTCAGCTGAGGCACCCGTGTGGTGGGCCCCGATGGAAGCAAAATGTGGACATGGCGCACGCCGGCCCTGGAACTGCATCTGATAGGAAGTCTGAGATATTTTGGATCCTCTTTGGTTACACCAACAAAAACTGCATCTGGACAAAATCTTCAGCAAAACTATATAGTATAACTCTATTAAATCATAGTCTGGATAAAAACGGATCCCTTTTGGGGACTATAAAACTGACATTGGCTGATGAATCTCCAAGATGTTTTTTGGGATATGCCAGGGCCATGGTTTCTGCGGGGGGTTTAACATTAGGGGGGTGGGATTCATGAAGGCTGGTGAGCTATAAACCATTGCATCCCCATTTTCATATCCCATTCGCTCGCCATTGCTTACGCCTAAACTATTAAACCATAGGAGTACCTGTAATGTCCCCATGTTTGATGGTTAAAACAAACCTGGGCCCAAATTCCCTTCCAGCGGGGCAGGCTGACCCGGCTGCACGTTTGGGGTTTCGTTGTGCAATGGTCTCTATGCTCCTGATCGCTCTCCTGTCTCCACTGTGTTTCCGATCTGACATAGGTGTTTGTAGCTGGTGCAACGGCCAGGGTATGCTGACTGTATTTTTTGTATTTCACCAACGTACGGCTTGTCTCAGTGTCTCATGCATGGGCACTGCTTGCCTCGTTTCTGGACACGAAACCGCAAAGTTTCGAACCGATGATGCTGCTTCTCATCAGAAAGGCTGTCAAGCCCGTTTGGCCTTGGATACTTGGTGCTTGGTTCATGTTGGGCAGGTTGACCGTGCTGCCCGTGTGGTGTATCTCAATAGCTCAGGTCAGTTTTGGACGTTGCGCGGGCAGATTGTTGAGCAGTCGGATGCTTTGCACTTGTCATCGCTTATGCAAACAGTTCTTTTGAGAATCAGCACAGCTTTGGCCTTCGCCCTATGTCCCTGGTATGTTGCGCTTGCTGTTTTGGTGGCCGAGCCTTGGTTGACCCGCATGGTGTGTTTGCACGCATCATGGCCAGATTCATTTCTGCTTACCTTGTCCCGGCGTGGCATTCCTAGCACGCACGGGCAGAGGCAGAGTGAACAGTTGCGCGCTGACAGGGTTTTGCTTGGGCGACAAGCATTCACGCCTGGATTTGAGAGCATCATCGTTGGACAATGCTTACCCTTGGCCGCTCCACAAGAGATTTGTTTGCTCCGGGATGCTATGCAATCAAGTGCTCAGGCCTTGCGACTTGGCTTGGAACAGGTTAAACAAATGCTACGTTGGGATGTCGGAGAACATCATGTCGGGCTTCTCGCAAACAATGCTCGGCTCTCCTTCCATCAGTGGTTTGTGGATGGCATGGAGGTCAGTGGTGATTGGGGTCCCATTTGGCTTCGTTCCTGGCTTGCCTTAGCTTCGTGGCCTGGCACTGTGTGTGTTTCTCCTTTGGCATGAGGTGAGTGGTGGGATCTGCTGCCCAAACGAGGTTCGCTCAGCTGGGCGTCGTTAAATATGGTGGTCTCGTTCTTCGCAATGGCCTTGCCATTCCATTCGTTTGAGCATCCCTTCTCTAGGCGGTGGCCCCTTGATCACTTGCGCTATGCCCTGTGGCAATGGCTTCTTCTTTGCCACATGCCGCTTCGACTTGTCAATGGAGATAATTCGCTTGGAACCGCCAAGCGGTTGAGATGCAGATTTGTGTTGATTCCCTTTCAGCCAATATTGACACCGCAGCTGTCACCCGTGCAGCTTGTGAAGGTCAGATAAGTGCCCTGGTTCTCAGGCCGTTTCCGCCAGAGCCGACCCGGCATGTCATACAGGAAACAGGAAACATGATGGTTAAAACATGTTCAAGCCACTATTCAGCTATTAAATTGCCATTCATGTCCCCATTCTTGACAGTTCAAACCACTGCTCAACGACTATAAACCACCATTGAATCACCATGTCTTGATGCTTTTTGACCACCCGTCTTTCGGACAACTTCCCCGGTGCTGAGTGCGCCCGGCTTCAAGGCTCCAGAGACCTGACGGCAGTTGTTGAAGCTAATATCCATTTCTGGGTCAATGGCTGGTGACATTTCTGGTGACATCATTTCTGGAAAATCATTGCCAATCGCTGGAAAAGAACCCCAGCTTGAGCATTAAAGAACATGAATTACCCTCTGGTAAACTAACATAATTAGCTATGGAAAATCACCATCTTTAATAGATAAATCAACGAACTAAGTGTGCAACTTTCAATATCTATGTTAAATTACCAGAGGGTACATGTCCGCTGCAAACCCCACGTTTGCCCGCAGATCCCGCATATCCTTTGACTGCTCAAATCCCTGCATAGGGCGAGCGTTTTGTCTTTCCAAAACCTAAAACCCTAAAAGCCTCAATCCCTAAAAACCTCAAAACCTAAACCCTAAAGTCAAAATCGCTGCGTATAGCCAGTGTTTTCATTCATCCTCTGGCGACAAGTATATGATATTGTTTTGGGTGTGTTATTTGGATGTGGGCGAACGTGGGGTTTGGCGGGAACATGTCTAATATGATATAATACTACTACTACTACTAATAATAATAATAGTAATTAATGATGATGCTGATGATAAGAATGAATAATAATGACAAAAATAACATATATATATATACAAAAGAATTACGTACATAATATTTATATATATATATATACATATATTATACGTGTGTATACTGTATGATACTGTACGTATCATATTAAATGTAATCCATCAGCGTTTTCCAGGGTTCCACGGTTTCGTCTCGCTGAGTGCCTTGCATCCGCAACCAGAACTGCTGTCGGGAATAATGAAACAAAGATGGATCACATATAATCACATAATATATATGTATATACACAATATTTATAATCATTATGTATTATTATTAGTTATTACATTTTATTACTATGCATAATATATATTATTACATATTACTCTGGGATACTAAATGCTAGTGTATCTGTTATGTCCTTCATTGGTACAGCTCCTTCTTTGATTACATTCCACCAAATTCAAAACACGGCTGCACCTGGGTGTTGTTGGCACTGACCTCCAACCTGTGGCTGCCAAGAGGTGCAATACTTCAGATGTGGATGTCTTCAGCACTTTCCAAGTGGCTTATGGGATGTGTTCCAAGTGGATCATTGTCCCAGATATGGGACATGGTGTGGTTCTAGTTGGGATCAGAGAGCAAGTTGGGCTTTGATTCTCCAATGGCTAAACTGGAAATCTGGCAAATGATGAAAAATGTTGGTTCCAAGAATGATTTTTTGATTTCATAGACTTTCATATGCTGATACAACATGCATTGCATTGCTACAGGATACACATCATTTCACCGTGTTGCTGCTTCTGATCTGGCTCCTGGCGTTAGAATTAGCTTTGAACATAGGCCAAAATTCGAGGGTTAATCAGCATTTTCCAGCATTTTCCATCATTTTCCATCATGTTCACCATCAAAATCGCTATTTGGGTGGTGTATAGCTGGATATAGCTGGATGGTGGCTCAATCTGGAGAGCACTGGAAGCCAGCTGAGTTTCCTGGCCCAAAGATGGGAATTTCAAGGCCGTTGGGAGATCTCACTGAAGGTGCCTTAGGCTGAGAAGGGGGGCAAAGTCCACGAGAATCCTGAGTTCAACCAGCCAAAAAACACACTTGGAACGTTGAGTCCACCAAAACTGGAAGTTTGACCCACTACACATGGGATTTGTTTCCAAAAAAGACAGCAAATATGACCACCTTTTCATAAGGATATTTTATTTGGAACAATCATGTCGGTATCGTGAATTCTTTCTTCCCCCATCTTCAAGAGAAAAAATAGGAGCATCTTGCATATTCTGTAAGAGGGGGCCAGCCATTCCACTGAAGCGTGTGTTGTTCCAGGTAAGACTGATTAAAAATATTTTGAAAATCATGTCACATTCCCAAAAGTTTGCTTCTATTCATGACTGAATGCAATATTCAGATTTTCAGACCTATTTAACAAAGGTTAGAGGTCTGTAACTCACCAAAAAAACAAGGACCAAAAACTGTCCAAAGTGTGCAAGTCAGCAGCCCAGTGAGTTTTCAAATGGATATGACATTCCTCAAGGTATGGAACAAACAAAAGAAACAATTAAAGTTAACATAACTTAACCACCAAGCAAACAAACAAAGCTTTATCGAGTTGAATGCGGCTGATTTTCTTAACCGTCCGGGCCTGCAAGAGCATGGGGAAGTCCGCGAAGAAAACGCTCAGCAACTGACGCTGAACCGCCTTGGAATGGCCACCATAACAGGAACATGAAGCGATAAGCATGGCCTAAGCTACAATTTCAATCAATTTCATACATCAGTTGGCAAACATACACTGTTTGGTGATGTCAACCCAGCAACTGAAAGTATTTGTGAATCGGGCCCATCTCTCACCCTGATCAGCAGCTGTATCTAATTCCTACATATTTCTACTATATATATATATATATATACGGTAACTACATTTAAATATACGGATTTTTAAATATACGAACAGGTATTTTAGACTACCTCCGGGAAGGTTTTCCTTGGCCCGCCCAGCCATTTAAACAAACGGAATCCAATTCATTCAAACATACCGTAACTACACTTAAACATACGAACTGGTATTTCATACTACCTCCGGGGCCTCGCGGTTTGGCCCGCCCTCCACATATTTAAATGTCGTTACCGTATATATATATATATTATACATATACCAACAGTTTTCTCATGACGGTTCTGCACACCAATTATCTGTCTTATTTTTCCATGTTAGATCCAACATGTTCAGTGCCATTATGAAAAAGTCTATATGGGGCTGTTTGAAAATATGGTACCCCGATACCACAAAATCCATTACAGTAGCTAGTCATCAGTTTCCCCATCAAAATTGCTATGAATCTACACACCCATATCCATTGCTCATGGGTGAAATCCCCTTTTCGACGGAGGAAGATTTTTCTGTCCACTCAAAATATTTGTAATTTGCAGGGTCGCTAAATCCCCTGTTCTTGGTGAAAGCTCCACATTTCTTGGCGAATCATCATTTCAGCTGGTTCAATCCATATATTAGTAGTGAGGCTAAATGGCCCAAAACAGTTTCTCGGAAAATTGGATAAATCCATTGGTTAATCATCATGAGACCGCAATTTTATGTATAACATAACCCATTTTCAGACAGACCCAAATAAATAATCTTGTTGTTTGATTTTCCCAATATATACCAAGAATTGTTTGTTAAATCACAATCTATTGTTGCTTACACATCCAAATGATATCGTGTTGGTTAATGTCCCCATGATATCCGCATGAACAATTCCCAAGTATTCAAGCAGTATTCGTCTTAAACATTGTATCCCCACGATACACATATTATATATATATATATCTCTCTCTCTCTCATGATTACCATTGTTCTCCCTATGGTTTGCCCTTAAAGGTGGCTAGCTGGAAATTCCCCAGCTGTGATGACACCGGACATTCGGACAATCATTCCAGGGTTCCGCCGCAGGTCTCGGTCGTTACATATGATGATTGGTAATGATGTAGTAATGATGTTTGGTAATTATTGATGATGAAAAACGTATATTGGTACTATTAACATCATTAACACCTGTTAACATCTATTAACATCTATTAACATCTATTAACATCTATTAACATCTATTAACATCTATTAACATCTATTAACATCTATCAACATCCATCAGCTTGATTATAATATACTGTATATATATATATATATATATTGCTACTATTACCATCATATTGACTATTGGTACTATCAACAACTATTGGTACTAATATATAAATAACATTTATTAACATCATATTAACTGTTGCTACTATGGCTAATAATGCTACTATTCACACCATCTCAAAAACTATTATCCAATGAACCCAATGATTGTACAATAATATGGAAAATAATTGTCCGATAGTAACCTGGTTGGTGGTTGGTTGGTGGTATACCTACGCCTCTGAAAAATATGAGTTCGTCAGTTCGAATGATGAAATTCCATATGGAAAGTCATAAAAATCCATGGTTCCAGTCACCACCAACCAGTAACTATTGGTAATAGTTAACAGATTGTTAATTATTACCAATAGTTAACTATTAACATATCATCCATCCATTTATGATAACTACTACCAACTGTTACTATAGGTATTGTCCTAATCATTTACAGTTACCAATAGTTACCAACTGTACTATAGTTATCATTATGCCATTATCATTACCAACAATTACCCTCTGGTAAACTAACATAACTATGGAAAATTGCCATTTTTAATGGGAAAACTCACTATAAATTGCCATTTTCAATAGCAAACTGTTAAATTACCAACTATTACATTATCATTATTCCATGATCAGTTGGTTAACAATGATAACTATTACAATGATAGTTATAATTAACTATAGGTATCATTTGTCCAATTATTGTTCCTAAAGTTACCAATAGTTACCAACTATTACAATGATTGTCCGAAGCCATCGCTGCCTCGCCTCGAGGCTGATGAATTTGGCCCCGCCCTCGTGACGCGCGAGAAGACCTTTGAGCCGCTTCTGCTGTTCCAAGGCCTCGGTGATTTGTCAAGGCTTCCCCGGGTACCCAAAATGGGATCTTTTAGGTCATATAGGGACTCATGGATGGTTAAAACCTATGATTTTCCGCATATTTTGGGACAATGTATAACCATGATGGTGATACATTCCCCCAAAATATGGGAATGTCATGGAATTTCATAGGTTTTGGATGTTTTGGAGCCCATCCCCAGATGAAAAGAAAGGGATTTCGCATGATTGAGCCATCAGAAATGATGTAACATGAGGATTTATACATATTTATACTTTATACCATCAATATTCATCAATGATGTTCAACAACAATCAAAAATGATGAACAATTTCATTCATCAAACTGAGTATGTAATGGAATCAACCGGGAAATTCACAGTTGAAAGCTTGGTTGTTAAATCAACATCTGCTGCGATGTCCTGTAGATATTCCCTTCAACCCTTCAACCACGGGAACGCTGGTTTAGTCTCACCCATCTAACTAGTTCCAGGATAAATCCTGGCCAACTTGCCCAACACGACATGAAAATCATCCACTGATCCTCAGCTCAAAATAATTCTAAAATGTACCCTCTCAGAATTTAAGCTACTGTAGCTGTGGCTAGTGGTTCATCTAGTTCGATGATTCACCTGCACCTATTTCAAATCGTGAATTTCCATCGCTATGATAAATTTTCAGAGGGTCATCTGACTAACATCCCATTAATTCAAATATCCATTCCAGTTATATGGTTGGTAACGGTTACAGGCCGTTCAATTACCAGAGGCTAATCATCCCATGTTTACTCACCTTCTCTATCCTCACCGTCCCTGCCCTGTCCTCCGGATCGTCACTCAGCAACTCAGCAAAGCGGACACGCTCCTGCGATGCACAGGACACTCTCCATCCATTTTCGTTGGATATTTGGTACTACATATATATATATATATATATACACTATATCTATCTATATCTATAATATATCTTAAAATGACAATTTGGTTCATGATACCACAGTATTACACTGAGACATGGAAATCACTGGAATCGCCGGCCATGATGTCGCCATTTCTGGTGGGCAAAGCACAATAGTTCACAAAACCGACATCCTCACGATTTTCGGGATGAACCACTGTACTCTCCGAGTATATTTGGTCAGGTCACTCCGAATATTCAACTATGTTCAGATATGTTCAGAATCGTATATCCAAATGTGCCATAGTCAAACCATGGGATGTGGCTTGTGGCGAATCCACCATCGAATGATTCTGGTTTACAGGGAACATCTTGGCCGGAAACCATGGTTTCATATGGTTTGACGATCAAATATGGGGGTTTTCGGTAATTTGTTCCCTTAAACCAATCCAACTTACAATAATTCCGCCTCCAGGAAGGGCAGCATCACCGAGACGATGTAGCGCTTCTCATTGACCTGGCAGAATTGGCAGAAATTCCCCGGAGAAATTCACGACCATTTTTTGGACCCAAGGGAAATATTTATATATAATTGTAGTACCGTTCGTATATGAGTATGGATAGTGGTATATATATATATATGTGAGTATATGGTAAATGATCAGTGCAAGTTGTAACGGACATAACGTCAACTGTAAATATGGTTGGATATTAGGATGTGCAACCAGTTGCCATTTGTGACTTGTCAAGAGCCCATTTATGAGGCTGACCAATGGTTGAAATCTATTCTAAATTGACCTATGGTAAATAATGTTGAGCAATTGACCGCTCCGGGGCTATGAGATAGACATTGATTGTTTACCCAATGGTATACCCAGTAGAAAGCTGGGCATTCTCCACTTTTCCAAATCATGGATACCATCTATATATAGAATTCCAAAAATATTGAACTATTGAACTGTGTATAATATAAACATATACGTATATATATATATATGTTGACTTACCCTGGGTCTCCCCAAAAATTGTGAATTGCATGTCAACTTAGGCTAGGAAATGATTTGCGGTGAACTCTGCGCTCCACCTAAATGATCCAAATGAATCTGTTCCAAAATAAGCGACTGGCTCAATTTCAATGCATTTTTTTTGGGAGTGTTGTTGGATGTTGTTGGATGTTGTTGGATGTTGTTGGATGTTGTTGGATGTTGTTGGATGTTGTTGGATGTTGTTGGATGTTGTTGGTTGTTGGTTGTTGGATGTTGGATGTTGGATGTTGGATGTTGGATGTTGGATGTTGTTGTTGTTGTTGTTGTTGTTGTTGTTGTTGTTGTTGTTGTTGTTGTTGTTGTGGATGTTGTGGATGTTGTGGATGTTGGATGGTGTTGTTGTTGTTGTTGTTGGTTGTTGTTGGTTGTTGGTTGTTGGTTGTGGTTGTGGTTGTGGTTGTGGTTGTTGTTGTTGTTGTTGTTGTTGTTGTTGTTGTTGTTTTGTGTTGTTGTTGTTGTTGTTTTTGTTGTTGGTTTTGTTTCTAATTTTCTGGCTCTGTTTCTTGGGCTCCCAGCGCAAATCTTGCATATGTGCAGGGAAAGGAAGAGGAAAGGAAGAGGAAAGGGAGAGGAAAGGAAGAGGAAAGGAAGAGGAAAGGAAGAGGAAAGGAAGAGGAAAGGAAGAGGAAAGGAAGAGGAAAGGAAGAGGAAAGGAAGGGGAAGGGAAGAGGAAAGGAAGAGACGAAAAGGAACGCTAGCGGCTAGCGGAAAAGGAACAACAGAGGAAAAGAAGAGAGGAAAGGAACAGAGGAAGGAAGAGAGGAAGGTAGAGAGGAAAGGAAGAGAGGAAAGGAAGGTAGGAAAAGGTTGTATTCTAGTTTGGGCAGTTTCCCTGAAATTTCGGCTTCGTTTTGGCTTCGTGACAGATCACCGACAGAATCCACATTGCAAACAAACAGAGAAAGAAAAAGAGAAGAAGAAGAGAATTGAAACTAAAAGGAAGAAGGGAAGGATGAGGGCGGAAACGAAAAACAAGAGCAAACGCATGAAGCAGCAGAACAAATCTATCTTCCAAGAAAAAGACCGAATTTTTCGCTGTCCGGCTTCGTTTCCCAAGTGAAGTGCCACATACGTTCCGAAGTCGCACTTTGAGTTAAAATCCGTGACGTAGACATTTGGCCATTTGGCTCCATTTAGCCTATAGCCATTGAGACATGTTGCTTTCCTCATGTCCTCACCCTGTCGCACCTCAACGTGGATGAAGCTACTGAGGTTCCAGAAAGGCGAGCCATTCCTGGGTAAAGGCCAGAAATTCCATGCATTTCCTTCGGGGATCCCCGGTTTGGGCATGTTTCAATGGGATCTTTCTTTAACTCTTTGACAAATTTGAATAGCCTGAGTGATCTGAGTGGAAAAGAACATCCGTTGATGCCCGATACGCTGCAAAGATCGTTTCTTTGCTTGGTAGGTTTCTATAGGTTCCTATACCCCCCTTGAAAATGACCTTTGCTGCGATGTCATTCACTGAAACTGCGATGCACATTCTCCAGTAAAAAAGTGTACCAAAGCTTCACCGATGATGGGGCATTTATGGCAAACATAATTGACCATTTTTACACTACTTGGGGCAGCAGCTGGATTTATTCATGGGTATAACTATGTACTATGGTACTTACCACCACCAAGTTGGGGTGTAACATGGTCCTATACCTATGGTGAAATTTATCCACTTGTAACTGGAACTGCACCTTCGAATACCACAGAGTTTCCCATCCTGCGGTCCTTCTTTCATTCAGTAGCAAGGCCAACGTTGTGGGCACGGTGGGTGGTGAGCTTTTCCTGCCATCGAAACGGGACAAAGATGTTAATATCAACTGTTTGATTTAAGGGATGTGTACCAATTTTTGTGCAAATCCATACCTTATTGTCTAATGTCCCAAGGTATACCCCTTGATTATGTTTCCAATTATTTTGCTTACTGTATCTCTCCATTTCTGGTTGGTTTGATGCCTATTTTGATGTTTGAAACCATATTTTTGTATGGCTCAGATCCCATTTATTGATGGTTAAAGTACATGTTCATATCCCACTATAATACATATATATATATATATATTGATACATTCATGGTAATATCCAATGTATTGTCGGTCATATCATATCCCCATTGTATGCATACTAGAAAAACCCTTGTCACCATTGTTCACTGATATTTTTGGTGAAAACCAATAAACTACATAATTAATAGAGGTGGAGGTGACATCACGAGCTATAGCAGCCATTCATGACAAACCATTGAAAATACATGGAAATACTCCCATCATATCCCCATCATCTTTCCATTTTTGGTTGGTTATACCCTCGGGCAACCAAAAAATGGCTGGAAAATCATCGACCATTTAGTTCGATGATTAAACTATAAAATACATTAAAATACTATAAAGAATGTTCATTTTAGCCCGGTGAATTCTCCTTACTTACTTCATGTCCATGTCAACTTGGGTCCGGAATCGGTTTGGGAATTCCTTTTTTTCCGCGTCTTGGGATTTTGTTTGGGATCTGCTGTTCCATCCGTTTTCCGTTTGCCTTGCATTTTGCAGCATTTTGGAGCTGGAAGCTGCCATTTCAACGGAATTGCAATTATCCCATTATTAACCCATATTAACCCTACTTAACCCATTCAAAGCAGGTTTTTTTCCTAACCCACTTAGATCCCCGTGGGACGAGCGCCTCCCTTCCAAACAGAACTTGCGCAACTTGTGCAGCTGGTCGCCGTTGAAGCGTTGGTTCCGATCGAAGTCTGACGGCGCGATAAGGGTGAGCAATGTCCGGTGGGCTGTTAATTGGGATCTAATTGGGTCACTGGGATATATTGACATAATATGTATATATATATATATAACATTTTGTATATGTATATATATATATATGTAATAGACATACATATATATATATATGTGTGTGTAATAGACATATATATATATATATACACAATATGTGTATGTATTTATATATACACAAGAATATACAAGAATGGAAGTTGATGCTCTGTTGAACTTGCATAGTTGATTTGTTACCCATGTATTTCAGGGAAACGACAAAAGAGAGAGAGAGAGAGATATATATATATATATATTACAACACTGAATCTTGGAGGGATCAGCTGATTTCCGGCATGAATTTGACCCAGTGTCTGGCATCAGAGCATGACACGAAGCATGAAGAACCTGATTATTATGTCATCCTACTTGAACATATCTATAGTCTATACTGGTGTACAATATGTATATGTATCAGCAATGTATAGGCCACGTTAATGATTACAATATCAGTCAGTTCAGATACTATGAGTTTAGAGACTTGTTTAGCGTGGGACTGGTTGAAAGTCAGGGACCCCTGACTTCATGACTTAATGGTTTGCTTATGTTACTTGGATGTGCATCCCAGTTGAGCCCCGTGGTTTAAACGTTTTATATATCCCATATAAATAATTACGCGCAACGCCTGGGCTTTGCCCAGGCGTTGCAGCATAGAGGTTTCCCATTCCCAAACAAATGTTGATGCAATTTCACAAAATTCCTATGGGAAAAACTAGGGAATATTAAACTCCAACCCCCCTTAAACCTTAAATTCCTATCGGAAAACAACAAAGGTACTAGGGAATATTAAACTCCCACCCCCGTTAAACTTTACATTCAATTGTGAAGATCAACAAAGGTACTAGGGAATATTAAACTCCCACCCCCGTTAAACTTTACATTCAATTGGGAGGATCAACAAAGGTACTAGGGAATATTAAACTCCCGCCACCGCTAAACTTTACATTCAATTAGGAAGATCAACGAAGGTACTAGGTAATATTAAACTCCCACCCCCGTTAAACTTCACATTCATTGAAGATCTTCAATAAGGGTTCAATTCTCCCACCCCCGTTAAACTTCTACATTCATTGAAGATCTTCAATCAGGGTTTAATTCTCCCACCCCTGTTAAACTTTACATTCATTGAAGATCTTCAATCAGGGTTTAATTCTCCCACCCAATTTAAACTTCTACATTCATTGAAGATCTTCAATAAGGGTTTAATTTTCCCACCCCGTGGAACTTCTACATTCATTGAAGATCTTCAATAAGGGTTTAATTCTCCCACCCCCGTTAAACTTCTACATTCATTGAAGATCTTCAATAAGGGTTTAATTCTCCCACCCCCCGTTTAAACTTCTATAATTCATTGAAGATCTTCAATAAGGGTTTAATTCTGATGATGATGATGATGATGGTGGTGATGATGATGGTGGTGGTGATGGTGATGATGATGATGATGATGCGTCGCCTGTCGTCATTGCGGGTCCGGGCAAAGCCCAGGCATTTGCCGTATTACGCTATATATATATATATATATAGACACCCGTTATATATATATATAGACAACTGTTGTATACCTGGCTTAATGAACACTGTGCTCCTTACCCACTTACCTATCCCGCAAGTATCCCAAATTGCCCGAGTCTTCGGCGACCTTTGGGTTGCAGGAAACGGCAATTTCTTCCCAAAACCTGGGATTTTTGTGTGGCAAAAATGGTCTGTTGGATTATGGTGGCAAGGAGAATCCCGGCTTTCGGTGATGATGATGATGATAACGATCAGTCTTATTGTTGTAAAGTACGAATTACTATCTACTAGAATCTATTATGATAGAATTATGATTCTTACAACTATTTTGATGATGCTGACGCTAATGATGAATTAATGATGGATGTTGTTCTGGTAGGGTGGTACCGATCTTGATGCCCATGCACCTCAGGGATCTGAGATGCGGGAATGTCAGGCATGGCGTCATGGATGCCTATGCGGAATTGATGACAGTCAAGCAATATCCAAATAATCTAAGATATCATAAGATATCTAAATACTTTCTCAACCTTAAGTGACTTCTGCGCAGCCAATAAACATCAAAAAACGATCTGAAAGTCTCTTGCTGTTGGCACCGAAACGGTGGACATGGCTGGGACACCAGGCCCATTCGTGCTGATAGCCTGTGTATTCCTCGAAACCCGGTGAGATCCAAACCAAGGGATCGTCCTTCGCGAGGCAACCGAGGAAAGAACTAAACAAAGACTACTTGGCCCCCATCTTTGCTGGGACGTATGTATATATATATATATATATTATTTATTTATTTATATTTTTTTATCTATTGATGTATTTATGTTTTTGTTTATTTATTTATTTTCATATATATATATATATTCATATAAATATTCATATATATATATATTCATATATATTTAAATGTAAATAATCATATTTATATATAAATAATCATATATATATATACAGGAAAATAGTATACAACAACATAATATAATAAACATAAAATATAATCAATAAATATATATATATAATATATATACAATATAGAATATAGAATATAAAAAATAAACAATAATAAATATATAATACTACATATTATGATCTAAGGAAGTTTAGAAGTCAAACTTCCGACAATATGGGCAGATGAAAAGCAGAGATGGGAGGAGTCAGAGAAGAGAAGAGAAGAACGAAGAGAAAGTCTCAGAAGAAAGAAAGTCGCGAAACACTGTGTTTTTCCAATGATTTGTGGCTCCGAGGGTCGAAAAGTAGGCTCGCCAAAGCGGCGGGTGCGGAGCCAGCTGGCCAGATGAGAGATGAAAAGTTGCACGCCGTTGTGGCGCGAAGCACATTTGCAAGTGAAAAAGCTAAAAACACCGCACGTTCGAAGCACTTTTGGAAGTTGCGATGTCGAAAAAGTGCACGCCGTTGTGTGTCGCGAAGCACATTTCCAAGTCAAAATGATAAAAACACAAGGGGTTTGGACCACTTTTGGAAGTTGAGATGTCGAAAAAGTGCACGCCGTTGTGGCGCGAAGCACAACTCGAAATCAAAATGTACAAAACACCTCAGCTTCGGAACACTTTTGGAAGTTGAGATGTCGAAAAAGTGCACGCCGTTGTGGCGCGAAGCACATTCCGAAGTCAAAACACACCAGGGTTTGGACCACTTTTCGAAGTTGAGATGTCGAAAAATTGCACGCCGTTGTGGCGCGAAGCACATTTGCAAGTGAAAAAGCTAAAAACACCGCACGTTCGGAGCACTTTTGCACTTTTGGAAGTTGCGATGTCGAAAAAGTGCACGCCGTTGTGGTGCGAAGCACATTTCGAAGTTGAGATGTCGAAAAAGTGCACGCCGTTGTGGCGCAAAGCACGTTTCGAAGTCAAAATGCGCAAAGCACCAGAAATTCGGACCACTTTTGGAAGTTCAGATGCCGTTTCGCGTGGCAGGCGCAAGGGATTGTGCACCTTGTCAAAAGTGAGCAAAACGTGAGGGTTTTGTTGCATTTCCAAAATCCATGGCAGGCGTGGGACATTTGAAGAGGATCTACAAAGATGCATTTTCCGTCGCAGGCGCAGTACAAGAGACATCTTCATCAGAGCTGTTAGGAGGTCCGGGCGCTGATTTCCTGAGAAGGGTTGCATTTTGGAGCATCAGATCTTCAGGTTTGCTGAAATGATTTTGCGTGACAGGTGCAGCACTTCGTATGACCTGGCACCATTTTTTCGTGGCAAGCGCAGTAGTGTAGACAAATGGACTGGAGAAATTGCAGAACGCACAGGTACGAGGCAGTCAGCGCTGCACGCAACTTTCCATTTTGGAAGGAAGTCTCGCAGAATTGCTTCGTTTTTGATGTTGTCAACTTTGAAAAATGAAGAAGTCTCGCAGAATTGCTTCGTTTTTGACGTTGTCAAGTTCAAACAATGAGGAAGTCTCGCAGAATTGCTGCGTTTTTGATGTTGTCAAGTTCAAAACCTGAGGACGTCTCGCAGAATAGCTTCGTTTTCAAGCTTGCAGATAAACAGGTAGATAGATAGACAGACAGAGAGAGAGAGAGATAGATAGATAGAAAGATAGAAAGATAGATAGATAGACTTAGATAGATGGATGGATGAATGGATGGATGGATGGATGGATAGATAGGATAAGACAAGATTAGATTAGATTAGATTAGAATAGAACAGAATAGCATAGCATAGAATAGAAAGATGGATAGATAGGTAGATAGATAGATAGATGGAAAGATAGATAGATTAGATAGATTAGAAAGATAAGATAAGAAAAGATAAGGTAAGATAAGGTAAGATAAGATTAGGTAGATAGATGGATAGGTAGATAGATAGATAGATAGAAAGAACGCTAGACAGATAGACAGATAGACAAGATAGACAAGATAGATAAGATAGATAAGATAGATAATATAGATTATATAGAAAAGATAGATAAGATAGATAAGATAGATAAGATAGGAAAGATAAAAAAGAAAGATAAGATAGATAAGATAAATAAGATAGAGAAGAAAACAAGATAGACAAGATAGATAAGACCGATAAGATATATAAGATCGAAAAGATAAAAAGATGGAAAATATAGATAAGATAGATAAGATAGATAAAATAGATAAGAAAGAACAATAGAAACGATAGATAAGATAAGTTAGATAGATAGAAATATAGATAGATAGATAGATAGATAGCTAGATATAGATAGATATAGATAGATATAGATAGATAGATAGATATAGATATATATAGATATATATAGATAGATAGAGATAGATAGATAGATAGATAGATATAGATAGATATAGGTAGGTAAATATATATGGGTAGATAGATTGAGTAGATAGATAGGTAGATAGATAGATAGAAAGATAGAAAGAAAGACATATAGATAGATAGGCAAATAGATAGTTAGATCTAGATAGATATAGACAGACAGATAGATAGATAGATAGATAGAGATAGACAGATTGATAGACAGATAGATAGGTAGGTAGATAGATAAGATAAGATAAGATGAGATAAGATAAGACAGGTTAGATAGATAGATAGATAGATAGAAAGATAGATAGATAGATAGATAAACAAGATAAATAAGATAGATAGATAGACAAGATAAATAAGATAGATAGATAGATAGATAGATAGATAGAAAGATAGAAAGATAGGTAGATAGATAGACAGATAGATAGATAGATAGGTAGGTAGATAGATAGATAAGATAAGATAAGATAAGATAAGATAAGATAAGGTAAGAATTGATAGATAGGTAGATAGATAGATAGGTAGATAGGTAGATAGGTAGATAGGTAGGTACATAGATAGATAGACAGACAGAGAGAGAGAGATAGATGGATACATAGATAGATAGATAGATAGATAGATAGATAGATAGATAGATAGATAGATAGATAGATAGTCAGAGAAAGAGACAGAAAGAGAGAGAAAGAGAGGAGACCTCAACCACCTTTCGATCCAGCAGTGGCTTCGCTCTGCCATCCGAGATTCACAACAACCAACCTCTCCTATAGGTTTCCTATTTCTGAAACTTCCGCCACCGCCTTGTGCGGTACTACTGGAATTAAAATATATATAATAATCTATATATATATATATATGTAGAGCCTATAACTATGGTGAATTATCTACACTTGGTTGGCTGGAACTGCATTTAGAAACAAATGAATCAACCATGAACTGAAACACCATGAGAAGCCGGCCAGTCAAACGATAAACAGTTCATTGCCCATCCGTCGTATCTCGTAGCTTTTGCAGTTCAAAAGTGTTCAAGGCCACTTTGCTCACATATGGGATTGGCTCCGCACAAGTCCTTCAGGCACTAAGGAATTTACCACCTCATCTGTATGTGTATATATAACTATATATAACTATAGTGCAATTAATCAATTATATATAATTTTAATATGTTCTATTAAAACTATATTACATTATATATATATATATGTTATTATATATATATATATACATTCCATGGGAAGCACTTTCCAAAGCAAGTTCGTGTCCAGGACCGCTTCCGGCTCCTCCCCTGAGGGATCCACGACAGTCATGATGATTTCCTTCAACCTCTCCTTCCCAGGGTGCCCAAGGTGCCCATAATGTCTGGTTGGTGGTTTCAACCCCTCTGAAAAATATGAAAGTCAGTAGGAATGATTATTCCCAGTATATGGAAAAATAGAAGCCATGTTCCAAACCACCAATCAGTAATGTTAAGTCCGTCAAATGTCATGGTTGTAGCAAATAAACAACTAGACAACGATATTTTATGTTGTGAAAACATGGTGATTTTACGAATCGTAATTTCATCGAATGCCCCGGGCCCCAGGTTAGGTTTTAAAAGTTTCCCCTTCGATGCTGTCCAATGGCCATCCACCATGGTTTATGGGCGGCTGTTTGAGGGCGGTTAAAGAGGATGGGATAAACCAACCAATCATGTAACAGTTAGTAGTGAAAAGGGATCAAAGAGTTGACCCACGGAGTTGCAAAAATCACTGGTGATAGCTGAATGCAACGACAGGTGGGTATACCCTTGTCAAAAAACAAAACCAAGTTGTTTACCGTCATATCCGTCATATTTTCCTGATCAAACTTGCAAATGGCAACTATGGGCTATGGGATAAACATGTATATATATATATATATGCGTGTCTGTCTTCCCTATTAAGAATTCCCGAATATTTTTTTGTTAAGGACAAAGTATGGGTTTGTCCGAAAATAGGGTACCTCTCAATTTAACAACGTAATGGATTATGATGGATTATAACGGTACATCAACCACTGCCTGAGAAAGCGTGAGGCCTTTCAGCAAGTTTTGTTTCCCCAGCCTCAGCTCGATCATCTGCCAACACTCGACGCAGATCGGCCCGGAGCTTCTGGTGGACCAAGGGCTCCAAGACCTTCAGCTACCAGAGCCACCGGAAAAGGATCCGTGATGTATGAGCATTTATGAGCTATATATAATTCGGGGTATTATATATGTAACTATGTATATATATATATATGTTATATTATATTAAATTACATCATATATAACTAGATACATATATACATACATACGTACATATATGTATATATATATATATATTATCTACATAACCATATATCCATGTATATTATGTTCAATATTATTTATCGTTTGCTATCCAAAGTAAATATCTGGGGGTATAAAATGGTATACTATGGTTTTATATCGAACATGCATATGTATATACAGAAAATTTACGGACATCTATGGAACATCCCGGTTATAGACAATTTAACCGTAACCTTTGGCAATTTAACATACCGAAAATGGATGAACATGATCATTTATAATTAAGATAAATTGGCCTTTTGGACATAGTGACTGTCCATAGTATTCCATAGTTATGTGAAATTACCAGAAGGTACAGCTGGCGGGACTTGCCTTTTCTTGGCAAATATCAAATCAACAAAACTGGTGAATGTCAAATCAATCCTGAATCCTCCATGATTCTCCGTAGTAGTGCAGTACTAGAACATTTACCAACATTCACCCAAAACTGATCCGAATGTAACCGTAGAGAATACGCAACCAAGAAAAAACATGCACAAGATTTGGATTCTAAGAAGAATTGGGATCGTACCAACAATACAAAGTGGCATATTGGGACTATTTCAATTAAATCGAAAAATGTTGGCAGCATGAGCAGTGAACAAACATGCGGAAAATTGAAAGTGTTCGGAGGCTGAGTCACACAAAACCAAAACATGGGATCACTACTATAGACTATATACATATAGTATATATATATATATCCGCAAATGGGGTACACCCAATAACTGCCATTTTAATACGGTAAATGAATGTGTAAATATAATAAATGACAATAAATAAACTAAGAACTTCCGGGGCTGGATTGCTGGATTCAACCCTTTCTGTCGGCTAATTGAAAAAAGAACCCCAGGCTACCCTGGAATTCTAACCACTGGTTCTTATTCCCCTTTAACGGGTATCAATATACCAAACATTGATTATTGATATATGATATAAATATGTAAATGCACGGTAGCTACATTTAAATATACGGATTTTTGAATATACAAATAGGTATTTTAGACTACCTCTGGGAAGATTTTCCTTGGCCCGCCAAGAAAAATAAACATACGGAAACCAATTCATTTAAACATACTGCAACTACATTTATATAGATATACGAACTGGTATTTCATACTACCTCCGGGGCCTTGCGGTCCGCCCTCCACATATTTAAATGTCGTTACCGTATATATATATATATATACCTAGGTCTTCGTTCGTAGCACTTTTTTCTGGGAGACTAGGTTGTTGACTTCTTTTTGAGATATCGGTCAGAAAAAGTAGTTCTTCACCAAAGCGCCTACTTTTGCAATTTACCTATGATATCCCTGGTTTCATTTCATGCTGCATTACAGTACCATGTTACGCATTCAACCTCATTCAATCCTATGTCAGTTGAATTCCCTAATGTGGGCCATTGAGAAAACGAAGTGAAGCAATGACAAGTGGCCCGCAAATCGACAGGGTCAACCACCACCTACCCTCTATCCACCATAAGCGAACAAAATCAAAAAAAGCTAAACTCTGACTAGCCATGTTAGCTGGTCAATCGGCTTTGAAGTGCCACTAACAGACTCTTTGGCTCACCATTTCTTAGATTATGTTCATTTTTGTGTGCGATGTGCACGTTTTATGCGAAAGTTCGCGCCTACAAAAACCTTCAAAACTCCCTCAAAAAGCTTCAAAACGGCTACAAAAACCATCAAACGCCTACAAATCCCAAAAACTAGGTCACTTTGTTTTTTAATGTTTTCAGCAGTATGCAAAAAAATGGAAATTTTAAGCCTTCTGCTTCTTTTTTGCAGAGTTCTCACGGAATTATGTTTTTGGAAGAAGCATGGTCATGATTGCAAGTTTGAACACTGTGCGTGTGTGTGCACATCACCATGCGGATTGGGATGCACGACTTATTTTGTGAGAGACCATTTGAAACCAGGCTTTTTCCATGAGCGAAATCTATAATCAATTCAGGGGGTCGGGGAATGACAAAAAATTCAAGGTTGCAGTGGAGGGCATAAAGCTCACGACCGGTTTTTGGAGATATCGACCAAAACGTCTACTTTTTGAATTAGCGTCCAGAAAAGTAGAACACTAGGGGTCGACCAAAATTTCTTGATCTCTTGAAGACCTAGGTATATATATATATATATGCGAAAGCATAGCGCGGGCCCCAGGGAGATTTAAACCTTGATGCGGTCAGCAACGCTGATGATGACAGCTTCAGTCAGACGCCCGCCCGGCTCACTGATGGCCATCTGACCCCAGAGGCTGCCCTTGGCTCGTGTTGGCTTGTCTTGCCTGTGCTGCCTTGTTTCGGGCCCTAAATCAAGAAAAACTTTGCGGTACCTAAAAAGTTGTTTTTTCCAACCAACTCTTTTCCGAATCTAATACCATGCCAAAATGAACTTTCAAGCCCTGGCATGGTGGAATATCTGGCCCTTACCTCTGTTTGGAAGGCCTGCACCTGAAAAAGCTTTTGGGGGCCTGAAAAGTTTTTTTCCTACCAGCTCTTTTCCAAGGCTGGAAGCACTATTTATACCGAGTGCTAAATTAAGGATACCCGTTAAGAACTAACCCGTTAAGAAGAACTTGAGGGTACCCTCGTTCATAATTCCCATATTTTCCACCTATAGCACTTAAGAACCCCAGGGTAGGCTGGAAAATTCTTAATCGGTTCTTATCTAACGGTTCCGCTGTACCCCAGTTTCTGGTATACTCGGTGCTGCCGTAACATTCATGGCTGATAAATTCGCCTCAACTTGAGTTGCATTACAGTAGCCACTGAAGCATGCTGCTGAAGCAGCAACATCCCGTCCCGAAAATTGCATGGGTCCATTTGCACCCCGTCTTTGCTCCAAACCCGATTCACCTTCACTCACTTGGTTCCACACTCCTTTGAATGCATGAACTTCCACAAGTCCTGCAATGGTGCTTGAGAGGCCATTGTTGAAGCCTTGCACAGAATCCAAAGAAAAACTCATATCAAAGGCATGAAGATGCATAAAGGTGGTGACATGCCCCCTTGAAATCCATTTGATCCATTTGACATGACCGAAGCAGTGAAAAAACAACACTCTGCAGGAATCATGGAGCTCTTCGTGTGGAGAGCTCTAGGAGCACCTGACTTGCCAGACTTATCACAATTCATAATTAAACAGTGTTCAAAAAAACTTCTATCTTCCCTTTGATACTGCTTGGCTTTCATCGGTTTTCCAAGGCTTTCCAGATTCGTGGCATTCCATGTATATTATTTAGCGAAGTATCACAACCGAACTCACCATTCACAAACAAGGCTTTTCAACACTGCTCAATTGGTAATTTTGGGGACGCGGCAGTTGTCATGGAAAACCTCAGAAGCCATCAATAAAGACCTTCATATTTGGGTTTGTCTGAAAATAAGATACCCCATGTTCATTTTATTCCCCAGCATTTCACCAATTAAAATTGCATTTTGGGTGAACACTTATCGCATTTGGTCCAAATCCCAATACCGATCCCCATCATCAAATTGTCGTTTAAAGCCCCATTTATTGTTGCTTGAATCCCTATGTTGATGGTTAAAACCACATTTTTGATGGTACCAGTAAGTCCCCATTTATTGATAAAACACAATTTTCAACCATATCCCCATATTGATGGTCAATGTTGGTCATATTCACGTTATATTTCCACTTTTGGTTGGCTACACCCCCAATTATTGTTGGTTAGGTCCCACCATTTTCAGGTCCACCGCCTATCTTTGGCACAAAGAGATCGCCAACATAGTCCTGGCTACGGTGGGTACGGGCCCTTTTGGGATCAATTTTGGTTTTGTCTGGGAAAAGGGTACCCCCACATTTTGACGGGTTATAATCATCATCATCATCATCCTCATCATCATCATCATCATCAAGATCATAGTCATAATAATGATAATAATAGCCAACCTAATAATAATAATAATCATCATCATCCCCTATTAAAAGATGGTGGGGCATACCCAATGTTCAGACACGCCCATATGGGTATGGTTTAAAAAGAGAACATCGATGGATTCAAAGAACTGTAAGATTAATTGCAAAAGTACAATGTCTGATATACAACTGCAGAACTGGGAGCATGAATATATGATCTGGCTGGTGCCGTGTAGGACAAAATTGCTGAGTGAATCAATGGCCCGAAAAAAACATGCAACACCTCGCTGGTCAGGCTTCCAGCTCTAGGTAATAGTGAATTGAAAAACTGGCAATAGGGGTTTCGTCATGAGGGATCTCCAAGTCACCATGGCTTTCAAATCATCCAGTCATGGTCATCCATGACTCATCCATGACTGGATGAGAACTGGGGGTACCACTGGGTACCACCATGACAAAACGGAACATTTTCCATATCAATCAGCCATATTTTCCATATTTTCCATATTTTCCATGGGCTTTTCCATGGGCTTTAACGAACATTTTCCATAGAAAATCACCATGGAAAAATGGGTTCCCATGCGCCTCACAGGTGCGTAAGAACGCAGCAAAGCTCAGAGCGTAAACTTCGCAGGCCTAAAAAGATGGTTTCAACCATCAGATCACATGCAAAGCACAAAGCGTCAGGAATTTCTATTAGAAAATCATGTATAGAATCTATAGCAAGCTCCAATTTTTGTATTCCAGGATGCTACTTCGATATACTTCGATACTGTTTCAGCTTTCTGGTCCTTTTCATGCATCTGTGTAGCGTTTTTTAATTGTGTTAGGTGTCGAAGCTGCTTATGATCCCTCTGTGATGCCAAACGTGCACGCAACAAGCTGCTTAGGTCGAAATGTGGGCCAAGTGATGTAGTCGAACATCCTGAAAAGATTGCCAACACAGACAACATGTTCTTTGTTTTTTCTGAACATCATCATGTTCGAAATAACACTATAATGGTTATAGAAATTCCCAAGTCTTATTGTTGTTTCTCATTTTCCGTATCGAAACTGGCATTTAACCGGGTTTTCGAAAATAAACCGATGTTGAGATGTAAAGCCGATGTTGAGATGTGAACAGAAAACCCTTCTTGGAGAAGAGGAAGTCATGGACTCATTGTAGTGGAAGTTCCAAGTCTACGGACTCTGACGCGGGTCGTTCTCGTTCTCCAACATTCAGCTTAAAGTGGAAATAATCTGCACCGTAAGATGCCACGGAAACCCAGCAAATTACAACAATTACACGTTCAATTACACGTTCAATTGCATATAATCGGGTATTATATACATATAAATATATATATATATATACTATAAAATATAATTATATAATATTATATATCATGATATAAATTATAAACATGAATAAACAAAACACTACCAATTGTTGGATACATTTTTTTTGGCGATGATTCCCTTTGGCGATTAAACCAATGTGCAGCTGGTGAGCTGTGCCCACCTTTTGCACGTTCGAGAGCATGAGGGGCTTGCCGACGGGGTCCTGCCAAACGGCAGCAACGGTGACTGGACTCTACCATGGGGATAAAAAAACAATCTGCTGATTATATATGATTATATGGGAATGGATCAAATTGCCTATGAAATACCTTTTTGTTGGTCGATTAGTCGATGTTCTATGTTTTTTTTAACATTAACCAACAGTATACCAACAGTCAGTGGGCAGATCATGGGATATACCGGGAACTATCATGCAATATGGTGATATCATGTGATATCCCATTTTAGGGGATGAAGATCTCCAAATCCAGGCGATCGGAACAGAAGGACAGTCATCCCCAGGAGGTCTTCGAATACCGCGCAGGGATGTCTCGATGTTCGTTGTAGTTGGTTGATGGGTTGCCCTACTACGGGTTATAACATGTTATAATCATCCCCAATAACCTACAGGATTGTAGGTAGTATCACTCCCTAGAATAACGCATCAACATCCATCAACCAGTCCCTAGAATAACGCATCAACATCCATCAGCCAGGCGTTTTTGTTGCATAGATCACATGTTTTACACTGACCCAATGACCTAACTACCTAAACAACGACTTAACTCATGTGCCCTTTTTCACACATGTGAAGATGTTTTCCGATTCCTGTTGGCGAAGTAATATTCATTGAATGGCATATTTAAGGGTAAAGGCATAGTATAGGCAGGCAGTATAGGTCCAGTATAGTAAAAGTTATGTTATGTCATGTTTCCATTCTAGTTTCATGGACACAGTTTTTGTTTACCCCTTCCCCGTCAACAAGAATGCAATGCAATCAAATATTCCAGAATAAAGATGGTTTGAAGAGCCAGTCATTCACCCACCAGTCAGACATGTTTCCAACTAAAAAAAAACGGTCAGATCATGTTTTTGTATCCTTCATGGTGAGTACATCTCAATCATCTCACTTTATTCACTTTCCAGTTTTGATAGATGATTATATATAATCACAAGTTATATATGATAATCACAGGTTTCCATAGGCCATGATTTGTTGCTTGAGACCCGGCGTGACCGTTACAGTCTCCCAAGGCCTGCAACCTTTGATACCAGCCCATAGGGTTTCCTAAGACCACAGGGCATCGAAGCCATGCTTCAATTATATAGACATATATAGACTATATATATATATGATATATATATATATGATATATATATATATGATATATATGATATATATATATATATATGGTATATATATATGGTATATATATATATGATATGTATATATATATATATACATGTGATATATATGATATATAATATATATTTTTATATGATATATATATATATATGGTAAATAAATATATATATATGTGATATGATATGTATGGTATGGTATGGTATGGTATGGTATGGTATGGTATGGTATGGTATGTATATATATATATATTATGTATGTATATATATATTATGATATACATATTATACAAGTATATATATATAACTAATCCCACCCAAAAAAAAACAAACTCCCATCGGATGGCCTCTCGGGCCTGGATCAGAAACATGCCCCACTCATCCAGGGCCTGGATGAAGTTTGGGTGGATCTTTTTCTGAGCAAAACTTCGGAATTAATGGGATTTAATGGGATTTAATGAGATTTTTGCTGAGATTTTCGCAGCCTTGTAATGGGATTGATGGGTACCATGGAGGTTTCCGTTTTGTCATGCGGGTACCCCCAGCTCATCCAGTCGTCATGGATGACTTGGAGGTCACCCATGACTTCTCAGAAACCCCTATATGAAGAGCATAAAGATGAAGTGAAGTTTAAAGCTCCAGAGATGATCTATAGGATAGTTAAAGAGATGAAACTATATGAATTGTTAATGAAGCTTAATAGCATCTCAAAGCTGCAAAACATTATGAATGACAGATATGGGCTAGTGTCAACATAAGTGGGCTGTTAACCAAATACCACCCCCAAACAAATTAACCTGTAGTGATTGCACTACCACGCAACTCGGCTGCCGTGATTGGCAGTGTTCAACCGGACCGTTGTTCAACTGCCACCCCTCTTCCAACTCGGCAATGGAGACGTCATCAACGACTATAATTTGACTATCAATGGCAGCTCGTTCTGGGGATCGGAGGGTAAGTGTCATATACAGAGCTCTGCAGAGCCAGCAGACCAACTCCTCTTGTACAATCCTTGTGTTGATTTGCTGGGATGGGACGAGTTCCGCCCCAGAATTCTTTGGCCAATGTGCATTTAGATTTTGGGTTGCTCAAACCGCATGATCGGTTCGGTAAAACCCCCAGTTTTGTAGCCTAGAGAAGACTTTTCTGCGAGTGAACCCCCATTGTTCAGCATTTGATGTCCAGAGTGGTCCAGATGAAAGAAAAAAGCAGAGGGCAACTCATAGCCGCTTTGTACCTCAAGAGGTTCCCCCCTGTTCCGCACTAATTGTCTTGGACAATGTTGAGTAATGTGCGAGGGAATCCGCAGGGGGGCGGTTGCCACCCAAGAACAAAAGAAAACCAGTGGAAGAGGCCCTTGAGGCTACGTCATTGGAAGGTACCAACGGCAGCAGAAAAACTGAAAAAGTGGTAGGGCATTTTCATGACTTACCACTTGTTTTTTTGGCCAAAGCCCCTGTTCTCATCGGTTGAACATTGATGTGTGGCGAACTCCCATTTGTATGCTAACCTAACCATTGCATATTGTATAACTAGACTATATATATATATATATGTGTGTATATAGTGTGGTGAGGCCAAAAACAAACCATCCCCCATTTTACCAGAAATAGGTTGTTTACAGTACCATCCCCAGATGTAGTTTTATTAGTGGCTTTTACGCCCCCGAAAAAGAAAAGTAAAACCCTATCATCGGCCCATCATAGTAGTTGTCTAAAGCCCAACATCAAAAATCAAAATATAGAATTACATCAAATAGATGTTTCATGAGATGGTTACCTTTACATTAATACATATATATATATATATATACAAATGAACATATAGATGTGCCATGATGTCTCGTCATTTCCTGTTATTTCTGGTGGTTTTTCTCGCCATGGCACGGCCCCCGTGGGATCCCCGGCCATTCCCATCTCGTCTTCAGAGAGCTCAGTGATCTGCGTCGAAACCATGGAGCTTTGAAAACCGGTGAACAAAATATGGGTTGACTATAGGTGAATTAATGGTTCAATATATGTCAATATAAAACTATCATAAATGATTATCATTTGATAACCATTAATAATTGAACCGTCCCCCAGCCATCACCATCTTTATAGGTGGCATGGTTACCATTCCCAGTCATGGCTGGTAAAAATGGCATTGATTTACCACAAAATAATGGCAACCAATCATGAGAAAGATCACTGAAACTAATCGGTGAATATTAGCATGTGTTATTTATAGTTTATTGCATATTAGATTCTAGATCATATTATATATGTGTGGTTTAAATCTATTCAGATTTTCATGATGTTCCAATTCTGTCCATTTCCTGGAGTCTTCTTGGGACATGGGAAAATCGGAATTTAATATTAGGGGGATACAGTATCGGATATAGGGCAGTATATATAACCAACCAAAACTGGGATGCAACCAATACAAGCATTATTGTACATATATATATATATACATATGTATATTATATTATATATATAAATACATATGTATATTATATTATATTATATTATATTATATTTATATATATACATATGTATATTATATTATATATATTATATAATATTAATATAATATATATATATATACGTATATATATATTTATACGATTGTATACCTATGTATATATACATATATATATATGGCCATGGGGATCATAAATTAGGTTGCAATAGACCCACAAAATTTGTCGTTTTTAGTAGCTATCCATCCACAATGTCTTTTTTTTGCGTAACTCATGAGCTAAACGGCTCAACACATTAGCTTGGGATTTTGAATGCAATATCACCAGCAACTTTCGGAGTCTTTGCGCGTGGACTTGTCGAACCGCGCTTCAAATGCTGATGAAACCAACCATAGCGGGAATATAATGGGAATAGAAATGGGATGTAACCAACAGTATGGTGAACAATAATGCAGCGGAGGATCAAGCAAATTGGAGGTACAATATCAAAAGCCTGTGAAATGTCTACAGGCACAGGAATAGTCCCCGAATGTGGCCTTGTATGGTACAAATTGGTACAATACATCCAGGTCAGGTGACTTAGATGGTTTGTTTGAAATATAGGATGTCTTGATATGTCTTGATGTTCCCAAAAAAAACGAACAATTTTGATAAACTGACAAGTCATTGGTTTGGGGGTGCCCAATTTCGGACAACTTGTATACCTCACGGGAAAAAACGGCCCTCATAAACTGCATCCTACGACTCGAATCAACGCGAATGGCTCGCGCCATAGTGCTGGGGGATCCAGAATCAGAAACACTCCAACCGTAGTGGTTGATGAAATTGAGTATGTTATACCATATTATACCCCGATGTGATGATCAATTCTTAGAGTAGGTATCACATGATTCCAGTAGTCAAAATATGTAATAATATGTTATACTATGTTATTTTTCCCCTAATCTTAAATCTCAATTCCATCTCCAATATCAATCATGAGAATATTGAGAAATATTGCTAAGCCTCATCAGCTGGCATTGTATCCCAACTTACCCCTTTCGATCCCAACGGACCACGTCGCCACGTCGCCACGTCGCCTGGTGCGATTTGAGCACCGCCGGCATAGGCGTCTCGATGGGGTGCAGGACCTCGCGAATGCGCTGTTGAATAGCCCTGGATTCATAGAATTTCAACGGAAAAACTGAAAAATGATGAACATGTGGTGGTCGAAATGATTCAGATGTAAATCTCTGTTGTTGATTTGTTGAGGTTCTAGCCTGGACATGGCCCCGTTTTGGGATCTAGCGGCTCTAGCGCTGATTTCCCAGACCAACTACCTCTGGGTATGGTTATGTAGCTACCTCCAGAATGCAATTGTTGTCTAAGCTTGTATCCAAATTTTGAAAGCCCGAAATGGCATGGTTCATCATGACTTTCCCAACGGCCATCAACCAGGGCATCCCCCACAGACAAAAGGATCAAGCTCCAGTGCCCACAAGTTGATTGGTTTGGGAGAAAATATGCAGACAACTGTCGCGTTTTTTCCCGGTACAAATAGGGCTTTTCCTGTCATTCTTCTCTTCCTCAACAAAATACCCTCCAAGAAGCCCCATTTCTAGAAGTAAATAGTCTTCCACACCCCCATCTAGTAGGGTCTAATTTAGTTGGAGAGATGGTAATTCTATATAATTCTGGGACGCAAGTGTTGCTTTTTTTCGACCAGTGCAGATCACTGCACTCGGCTCCGAACTGATAGCAAGTAGGACCGATCGCTGCGAGGCTCTTTCAGGTAGAACCTGCCGCTTCCGCTTAAGCGGAAACTGAGCTGTTTCAAGGGAAAAATACAGTGGCTTTTCCGTTGCCATCCATTGCCGGGTTGGAGAGTGATATGACAGCTTCCCTAATGGAAGCCACGAATAGACAGATGCAGTATGATGCAGTACTTTACTACACAGGGTTTTCAGATGGCATTTGATACTAGAGGGAAGGGAGTGCAACACAATTTGGTTGGAGCTGAAACAGTGAAGAAAAACCTGGGTAACCACGGGGTGGAAATCAACTGACGTGATTGTTTTTGAAATCATGCTCCCAACATATCCCAACTGACCAATATGTTCGGGATGTGTTGAAATTGTGACTTCTTAGTGGTTGAGCCACCCCCATTGTGAAATTTGTGGCATGGGTATGATTGTTCAAAGGATTTGGCACCAGCAGCTATATTCGTCAAATGAAGCCAAAATGCAAACACACAAGTCACGCAAGTGAGAAATTTCCAACATCCAGAGTGCCTGGGATTCTATTGAGTTCTATACATATGTATGATTATGTATGTGTATATCTACTATACATATATATATATACATATAAATACATTCATATCAAACTTTCAAGGTCATCTGTACCCCAGGATTTGTTTGTTCTGTAGTCATACGCCCTACATCGGGCCATTGGCCCTACATTCTATAGATGCACCAGAATGTGCATAGGAATATTTAATATCACCCCAAACTACGATGTTATGGGACATGTATGTAACTATTGTAATATATTCATATATCAAACAGCAACTACGATGATGATACGTAACGTCGACTAGTACCCATATGCTCCATGGTGCTGGAATATTTACCCACATTTACCACTAGTACCCATATGCTCCATGGTGCTGGAATATTTACCCACATTTACCACCAAACATGACCCAAATGTAGCTAAATATTCCATACATGGAGAATATGGGATATACTGATATACTATAGACCTTCAACATCCTTAAACCATCCGTCACTGAGAACGCCCAACATCTCAATGAATCCAGAAGCTGCCATGTGATAGCTAGTAAGTTCCATCCGCAACAATCAAGGACCATAGTAGTTCCAACTAGCGCCAATAGTTATCAATGAATACCCAATAGCAGCCTTTTGTGGCTGAATAGGAACCATGCCCAAATTACTATGTGTTTAGTTAAATGGATTCATCACATTAACTAATTGTCCTATAACATCCTATACTTATTCTCAGCAAATTTTCCGTCATCTGGGCACATCTACTATTGACAACAAACATATCCGAAACCACCAACCTAGAGAACCTCACAGAAAACCTCTAACACAACATGATTCGAGTATACTCGGATAATTCATGGGTTTCTCTTCCAACAATTTCAACATATTTCCCGACACGCAGCGCCCTGCGCGTACGTCTGCTGCACCACGAAGAAACGCTGACCGTTCCGGCGTTCCAACAGAAGCAGGGAGGCCTTAGGCGGCGATTTACCCAAGTGAGTCATATCGGGTTTGAATTGTCAATGTAGTAGTTGGACCACGACCCTTATTTGGCCGTGTGGTTTTATGTGTTTTTTGACATTTTTCATGCCACTTTACTTGTGTTTTGACATGACCTTCACCTTCATGCTACGTCGTTTATGTAGTCGGAGGCACACGCACTTGCCTTTGTCTACATTTTTGTATATTTCTGGGGTTGAGGGGGGTTGGGGGCGGGTGCGTGGGGTGGGGGGGGTGTAATAGCGTTCTTGTCGCGCGCTTCTTTGTTTCTTCTAACACGTTCTTGGAACTTCAGACACGCTCGTGATGCTACGCTTCTAACAGGTTCTTGGAACTTCAGACACGCTCGTGATGCTACGCTTCTAACAGGTTCTTGGAACTTCAGACACGCTTGTGGTACTACGCTTCTAACAGGTTCTTGGAACTTCAGACACGCTCGTGGTGCTACGCTTTTAACAGGTTCTTGGAACTTCAGACGCGCTTGTGGTGCTACGCTTCTAACAGGTTCTTGGAACTTCAGACACGCTCGTGATGCTACGTGTCTAACGCGTGGCAAATCCCAGCTGAGAATCGCATGCCAAATGGTTGAAAATACCCCATGGTAAAGTGTGTCATCAAAACAAAGCATGAACGAAAAAGATTCGCAAAGGTAGAAGCCAGAACATTTCCAAAGTAGCCGGCACGCAAATTGCTGACCGTGGATGGCTGTCCTTGAAAAAAATCATTCCAAGTAGCTTTCCTAGACGTCTTGGCTGCCACAACCAAGTGAAAGAACATCCTGAGCTGAAGAAATTAGTTCAGCAGTTCATGTGGCGAAAGCTTCTGGGACCGTGTCAGCCAAGTGTCTTCCTTGCAAGGTTGGGCAAAGCCGCCAAACAAGTCCGCTGAAACGATGGAAAAAAAAGGGCCAGTGTCGAGCAGATGTTGTGCAAACAAAATGTAGTTTTGTGAAATTCCAAAACCCTGATTTTCACACCTAAGATATCAAAATCGATACGGCGCCACAACGCCAGACACTTTTTGGAGATGTCAGAATGCAGATTGTACCACGGCCAATAAAGGGTCGTGCACCTAGATGTTAGATGTATCTGTATGCAATACAATACTATATAGATATGTTGGAGTAGTATTTTTTACGTGTACATATATATATATATATATATATTATATGTGTGTGTGGTCAAGTAACAGGCACCAAATAGCGGGAACAAAACAAGAAGCATACACACAAAGATAGCACGGGAACAGTAGCTGTGAAAAAGAGCTACAAGCCTCAAACAACATGGGTTTCTGGCATGTTTTGCTTCATATTGTGCATTGCTAGGTGAAGGAGCCAACATGATAATTTCACATACCATACATGTGTGTGTGTGTGTCTGAAGTTTGTGATAAAATCCATGTATCTTGGGTATCTTGTTTATTGTAATAAAGACATGCGGTAGGTAGATCATGGTGGGGGCTTGAGCATTTATGTAATATATATATATATACCAGCATGGCGAAGCAAGATGGCTTCCTGAGCAACTCATTTAGGGATGCAGATCAGAGTCCGGTCCACCAGAAACTTGGAATGTTCGGATGTCTACAGGCTCTTAATCGAACCTTTGGGCTTGATAGTGCTGCAGGATGCTGCAGCTATCTTCGGATTCAATTGGTAAGTAAATCATACATAATTATCTCGGGTCTGGTTGTTGTTATGCAGGGACGTGTCGCTGTGTTTTCATTCAAACCCAATGATGGTCTTCTTCGACCAATTCCAAAGTGGGCTACGTACCGCCATCGGCACAAACACATCTTGCACCTTCAAGGCATAATAGAGCAAGGAATTCAATGGTCTGCAAAAATACTACACATCAAATCCTCCAAAAATCAAAAACTCGACCAGTGAAATGGGGCCCCATCAACCAATGGGGTGATGGCGATGATTTTTTCGCTTCTTTGATGGCGATCAAGTGGGGTATCTCCCCCCCTTCTGTGCCGCCCTGGCCATCACATCCCCATGGGTCCTGCAGGGCAGAGGGTCCTCGAAACAACGATGTTTTTCTTTGTTTTTACAAGCATCATTCATGTTCAATATGATATACATGGAAATACATGGATAATCGTTTATATATTATACATGGATAATTGTACATGTTAAACATAAACATTGTTAAACCGTTAAACCCATTTAAACCCATCATTTATCAGACTCGGTCGGTCGTTTGGCATCGTTTGACCAGGCCTGTTCTGCTCACTGAATTCCTGCAGACGAGCTGACCTGAGTCAACGGGGCGCTGCATATCACAGTAATGTGGCATAGGACAGTCTGACCCAAGGCAACTCCCAAATCCACAAGCCTATATGGCATATATATGTAATATATATATATATATATATTACATATATATATATATATACATATAATAATAACAGTGATAATAATACATACAGATACGTTATATATATATAGTATAATAAATATACTTATATATATATATGTATTATTATATATATATATATATTGTATGTATTAAAATATTTATGTATAATTATATATATATATATGTATTATAATATGTATGTATGATAATATATATATATATTATAAGTTATAATATATATATGTATGTATTATAATTTATAATATATATATATATATGTATTATAGTACATATCAAATAAAGTACCACTTATATAAATTTTAAAAAATATGATATCGTGTTGGATGATTTCTGGCTTTGGGATGCTGATACCTCGGACCAAAAAACTGCTGCGTTGTCAGAAGCTATGTTGATCAAGCTCAGTCCAGTGCGTTTGGCTTGAATAGGAGGCAGTTGTGGGTCAAAAGCCTGGTACCCTAGGTACTGTACCCTAAAGTAGCTGGTTCATGAATAGTTTTTCCCCAACATATTATCATGGGTTTTGACCCATCTCCAAATTGACCCATGTTCTTACTTCGGCATCTCAATGCACATTGTGCCAATAGCTCATGATCGAAATATCTCATAATTTAAATATCCATAGTCATAGTGTTTTTCGGGCTCACAAGACAGAACTCTTTGTGCCGCTATTGAAGCAATGGCAAGACCGGATAAATAACTACCCCCTCCCTCCCCCCGCCATAGGTCAAAAGGGTCAACAATGTTTTTTTTGGGGAGTTAAAAAAAAAAAAAACATCCCGATTAAAAGAAACTCCGCTCGTTGATGGTGAACCGGTTTTGCTGGAATTGGGTTCAAATAAGCACCGATAGAGTGTCAAATTTATGGGAATTGAATTCAGTAGGCAATCTGATGGACTCAGTTTACAATTACTATCCATGAAGGGTCAAATGGTTTAAATTTGGGGGCAATTCGCTACACATGGCCATCAATAAGGTAGGGGTAGCATCCGCACAGTCCCATTCATTGGGTATCAATAATTAAAAGATATTTAAAGTAAAAGGGATTCAAATGGAGTAATACTAAACTATATAGTACCACCGTAAATCTGGGGGGTGACCCATTCTTGAGTGGGGGAAAAACCACCTGATTGACTTTAGTATTGCCCCATCGGGGGACTATTAATCCTGATTTGACATAATATAATTTTTAATTTTTAAACCTCATTTCTTGAGCTGTTCACAGTGCACACCCATGCAAGTCCATGTGCGTTCTAGGAATGGCAACTGGAATGTCCAACTTGCTGCCCCTCAGAAGCCCCACTCTTCATTGTTGATCGCCTGGTCAATGCGTTGCTTCTTGGGCCTCAGCTCAAGGATCAACGATTGATTAACCGTTTGGTATTGGAACATCTTTGAATTGCATTTGTATTCCTTGATTGCCTGAGCACAAACTGATATGTTTACCAACATGTTTTGGTAAACATTGATTATGTTGCCTTGTTTCCTCAATAAACATTGACGATTTCCCGCGATGTTCTTACAAAAAAAGCCTTCCATTGATTCTCCTAACGAACGGTTTTCATGGTTTTCCCTGATGTTCTTAATCTAAAATCCTGTTTCTATATTTCTCCCAGAGATTTGTAGATGTCTCTTCCTGATGTCCGTCCTGAACATCGGGATTCCGGGATTTTCATGATTTTCCAACGTCAGTTTCGGTTCCCAGTTCTTTCTGCCCCCCTCAGCTGGTAGAGAAATCTCAGTGGGCTCAAGGCTGGAAGAGTTGCACGTTCCTGCGGCCGGGAAGAAGGGTCAGTCGTCTACAAATTCACCGAAAAACTGGCAATTGTTTCCAAATGATGTTTGGTGATGTTGGTGTCCCTACAAAAAACATCAAAAAAATATGCTGTGTTTGATGTCAAGTTATGGTAACCGGTAACCCTTCCCAGCGGACGTAACCTGGCAAGGGCAAAGTCAGCATCAAATCCACTAAGTCTCTGCAGCGCTTGGCCTGAGCATTCAGGATGGGCTATTCGTCGTGGTAGTTTTCATACAATATCTTGGACATTAAAAACAACATCGTTTCCCTCGTTGGTCAAATCGGTTAACTGATTTAATGCCTCGCCTCGTCAAATACGGTTCCACTGTAGTGCCTCGCCTCGTTAAATCACCCAGAGTTCTGCACCGCAAAATCCTCTCTCCTCGGCATGTCTTTCTCTTGTTTTCCTCTTCTGATGATGCCACTTTCTCTCGATCCGGTTTGCGCTTGTCATCTCTGAATTTTGACAGCCCTTCCCGTTGACAGCTTTGGAACCCGAGATCTGACAGCCTCTTCTCTCCTGACAAAGCTTTCACAGGAGCCGACTTGTAGACCCAAAACTCCGAGAGTGCCACTTCCAGGGGAGTTGGCTTCTAGGCGATCAACTATTGCAAACCCTCTCATCTTTCTTGCGGCTACAGGGAATGGAGCGCCCCCCCCTATGGTGGTTTAACATGGTTTAACTGGTTACCTTTCGCTTGCTAAGCGGGTGTGATACCATTACACAAGTGGATCCCGGCTACCAGGGGAGGTCTGGGAATCTTGAAATTTTCCCCTTTCCCTGTCTCCCGACCAACTCATCAGACAAAGCCGGCTGCGCCAAAAAGCAAGTTGACTGTTAGGCTCAGAAAAATGTTTTTTTTCCGCATGTCCGTTGTGGATTGAAATGGCATGAACCCTTTGTGGGATGAAATCGGGCGTTTTTTTGCACTGCGATTGTGGGATCGGAAATGAAAGGTTGCAATTTCCCCTTTGTGGATTTCCCTTTTTGTGGAATGGCTCCTTGTAGGATGAAATCGGGCTTTGCGAAAAGAACATTTATATATATATATATATATACATATTTTGGATTTAAGATCCTTTCTTTTTTTGCACATGCTTGCCTTTCCGGTCCACTCAAAGTCAATATTTGGGAACCTGAAATATTGTTCTTCTCAGGTCCAATAACTTGATGAAACTGAACCTTCTGGGGACTCCTGTCTTAAATCTGCCAACCCCACCTCGATGTTGACGTCGCGAAATCTACTCACTCCACCTCGTTTCCTCGTTTGACCTCGCTCTAATTTGCGTAGAATTATAAGGGGATATAAGGTATATTAGTGATTACCACTAGAAGCCCAACTTTATTCGTTAATCAAATCTGTTTTGTGCCGGTTCCAATTTACCCTGGGCAAAATCCCCATCCCTTCCTGTCGCCAAGGCACTGATGAAAACCAAGGGCAGATCTTTGGAACGAACGTCGACCACCCAACATGCCAAACCTTGTTCCTCCGAAGGATGAAAGGGCCACTCGGATGGTGAAATTTGGGAAAGTCTTGGAACAATTGGATGAAGCCGTTCGAAGATGGATCATGTTTTGCAGCAGTTCAGTTTTGAGATTGATGAGTTCTTAAGGGTTCATCATAGTTTTTCACGTCTTGGTTCCCAACAAAATCCGATTGAACACCATCATTGAACATCAATGTGTCTTGCCATACAGCCTACACCCCTGCCTGGTCGTGTAAGGTGGGCTGAAACATCTCCTCACTGGGCGGATTCTTCAACCTGAAGAGCAACCTGCCGAAGAAAAACGCCAGTGGATCGCTGTTCGGTATAGGACAATATTGTTTAGTGCCTAGTAAATGGTTCATATACCCGAGTTAGCTGCTGGTTTCCCACTTCAACATGAAACGTCATTGAAATCTCACTTCTTCCATCTCTCCTTTCAGGTTTCGGCACCAATCATACAACGTTATGTTTTTGTATCACCCAGCTGCTCCTGCTAGAGTCGTAACACGGCGGGTTGATGTGTGTTGATGTGTCTCAAGCGGGGATCGCCATCCCAGTGATTCCGAGTCGCCTCACAAGGTGGGGCCATAAACCTTGAAAGTCCTTCAAAGGCGCTAAGCCCAGACGTGGCACGAAGTGTTGCCCCACCATGCCTCGAAGGCCAAGTGAAAAGTCACTTCAAGGGGTATATGCTGTGGCCAATGAGGTTTCAGCGGCATACAACCAACAAATACAAAATATAGAAATAATAGTAATACAGTAATAAGAGTCATAATTAATAATATTATAAACAAAAATGATAGTAATATAATAGTAATAGTAATAGAAATATTGTAATAATATTATAGTAATATTTTTGTAGTAGTAACATAATAGTAACAATAGAATATGTATATATATAATATGCCAATGTTCAATACCTGTTGTTGTCTATATTGGTTGGATGAATCAACTATTGGTGTTCAATACTTGCAACTATTGCTGTTCAATATAATGTTGATTGAATATTCAACATTCCAATGTTTTGCCTCTATAAGGGCAAAAAACCATGGAATCCGAAATATGAAACAAATGGGGAAATAACCAACCAAAATATGAAGATTATCAACTGACCAAACTCTGGATTTCTGGCAAAAAATAACGTGGTGGAACAATGGGCAGGGTCAAACTTTCAGGGCACTCTCGGAACCACGGATGGATGGGCAGTGTTCAGAATCTAACTGCATAATCGGTGCATCTTGAGAGGGAACCCAATTATATAGACCATTTGCCCATTGTTCACTCATCTACCTCAATCACGACACAATCTTCTGCACAAAGCAAAACAGTATAAAGATACATATGGATCTGTCAGAGAAGTGTAAAATTACCATGCCCCCCACTACAAGAAAAATATTATGTAATACTTTACCATCTTTTTTACATATTTTCAAGGCAGCTACTACAGCTAGCCCCGAATTTTGGGTGGACCCGGCATCTTCGACAGCAAGTCACATGTGGGCACCCCTCTGCCGCACTCAAGAAGCCAGGCCTTGGACCAGCAGGTGATTACAGAGATCCCCACGGTGATAGATTATTCTGTCATAGTTTCTGACATCTCATCTGGAAGTATTCTGACATTCTATTCTGGCATTCTATCTGGCATCTAATTTTTGTCATTTCTGGCGCTCGCGGTTGAAGCCCGGCAGTGCCCACTGAGATCTGAAGCTCGCGGTTGAGGTCCGGCAGTGCCCACTGTGATCTGGAGTTCGCTGTTGGGGGAAGGAGGAAGGAGGGAAGTAACTCTGATAAAATCTAGAGACCCTCACTAGACAGGTGGGGAAAAATGCCTTACTTCGAGTTATTCTCGCCCTGTAACACTAGTACTAGTCTGACATAGTTTCTGTCATACTATCTGGAAGTATATATGGCATATGTATATTATGACGTTCTATCTGACATTCTTTCTGGCATATACTCTGACATACTCTGACATTGTATCTGGCATTCTTTCTGGCATTCCATCTCGCATCTATTCTGACATACTTTCTGGAGCTTTCTGGCATATATTCTGACAGTCTATCTGGCATTCTATCTGGCATCTGTTCTGAATTCTTTCTGGCATCTTTTCAGGCATTCATTCTGGCATACTATCTGGCATCTATTCTGACATTCTATCTGGCGTTCTGTCTGGCAGTCTGTCTGCCATTCTATCTGGCGTTCTATCTGACATATATTCTGACTTTCTGTTTGGCATTCTATCTGGCATTCTGTCTGCCATTCTATCTGACATGTGTTCGGGTCCAGGCGTATTCCACAGTCTCCTGGGCTGGCGATATGGAGTTCGGGTCCAGGCACGCTCCACACCATCCTGAGCTCACGATACGGTTGTCGGGCCGATATTGTGTTCGAGTCCAGGCGTGACCTACTGCATCAGGAGCTGGCAGAAGCAAGAGGCGGAGAAGGTGGACGAGGAGGAGGAGAACGAGGAGAAGAGGAAGGAGGAGTTGTACCTTTGTTCAAATCTAGAGACCCCCTGGCAGGTGTGGGAAAAAAAACATGCAGCATCCAGTTTCACTGAGCAGCGCGCAGCAGTTCCCAAAACTTCTGTCATCAAGTTGTACTGCCAAGGCAACCGAGGTGCCGGAATCAAGGAGTTTAAGATCGCATGGGCTTCCTTCTCACAAAACTCCACGTTTTGCGTCCTCCAAACCCGAACGGACCAGTGATGGATCCACCCTAGATGGCTTCAAAACGTTGGGGGGTTCGCAAGAATCGAACACTAAACCATAGCGAATCATATAGATGTAGATTATGAACATTTGATATGCAATGATATGGAGGTTTCCCAAGCTAGAGCCCTAAGATCATACGTTTCCATCCTAAAATGGTCTAATTTTGGATGATTTGGGGGTCCTCCTATTTTAGGATACAGTACATCCATATGGATGATGTCGTAATTCTGATCCATATCCAGGTGAATTATTGAATCCTCATGGGGAATAGATGGAACAGGTGAAATTAGCTTTAAACATGTTGAACCATACTAATTAATGTGGGCAAAACGATAGTAAGCCACCCATTTGGGAATAGTTTATACCTGTATACCATCTATTTATTGTGATTTGGGGATATTTGGGGGATGGTTTATTCTTGTTTTACCCACAAGCAGGTAGCAATTACCAAGAGATTGATTGAACAACAATTCTCACAGGAACCTATGACTGTTTGTTTGTTTATGTTTGTTTCCACTATTTACCCTCTGGCAATCAACATGGCTGGCTGGAAACTCACAGTTGAGTTTGATGATTTTCTTAAATGCCGATTGAAATAGCGGATTTCCCAGCTAGCCATGTTTGACTGATGGCAGGTAATTAAAAGTAAAAATCGAGCAAAGTACTGATAATTTTAACCGTTGCAATCTTGTTTTTGTTACAATAATAAATCATCCAATAGCTCAGTCTGAGCTGCACAAGCACAAATAACCCGAAGCCAGAAACCAATCGCTGAAGATTCCCAAAAAGGTAAGTGGCATATTTTGTTCCATTACGCATCGTCCACTATTCCAAACATATGGAATAATAATTGTCAAAATTATAATCACAATTGTTTGAATATCAAACAGGATGATTTATGTGATCTATGCCAATAATAATCAAACCGTCGATCCAATTGGTTTTCTCCAGCTCTGGCCCAGTTCACATCGCAGCGACGAGAGCATCCTCTCCATTAACATAATCCGAAGTCGAGCAGTCAGCTGCATGTTGGTCTCCAACATGTCATTGTTCAGCAGGTCCTCAAAGGGCAAACAATGTGGCCTAAAATATTTATATGTATTATATATTATTATATAAAATAAATGTATACATACATATATATATATTACATACAAATGTAATCAAATGTATGTGTATACATATGTACATACATACGTATCTATACATACATACATACATACATACATACATAGATACATAGATACATAGATACATAGATAGATAGATAGATAGATAGATAGATACATACATACATACATACATACATACATACATATATATATATATACATACATATTATGTGTATATATCTAAATAAGAATATATATATATATTTATATATGCAATCGATACGTTACGTAAATTAGCAAATACATATACATATGTAAGACAAAAAATGAATACGTACACAGTGGATTAGATGCAATGAAAAGTCTTTGGTTTTGCACTTTCCAAACAAATGTTGCTAGTCAAACAAGTCCATATAGTCTGTATCCGACTCTGGCTGGTTCGAAAGTTATACAACCATGGAATGGACCATGGGTCAAAACCAGGGTATCAACTCTTGATGCGACAGATGACAACACGACTGTTCTGAGCCGTTCAATCTGGGTAAATTCTGATGACCTGAAATTCGCTGACCTGAAATTCACTGAAATTCACGGCTATTTTGAGATACAAAAACCACTACGAAGCATCATTGATTTACCCAGGTTTCATGATTCAATGGATACTAATCTTTGACTGACACTCAAGGTAAACTCCGGCAGGTTGACACTTTCCATGGCTATCCGTCAACTCACCGGGGGTTGGATGTGCAGAAAACCAACATTTGTGTACCCATAAATGGAATTTTAATGGTGGCGACTATCATCCCCAAATGCTAGTACGAGTTGTGTATAGTTGTGTAGTCTGTGTTGAATCCCACATTACCCACCCAAAAAAACACTGCTGGTGAAGCCAATAGACCCGCAGCGCAGGCATCTGCGTGTACAACGGCAGGCAAACGGCCAGGATGAAGTGTTTGGCCTCGTGCTCCGCACAGAATCTCCAGCAGCTCTCCATCCTTCATAGTTTTACAATCATCTTACACACATATATATATATAGATATAGTATAAGATTGAAAAATATACAGTCGTATAAGATTATAAAATTGGCGCATGATATAATAGGATATTATCAAATTTATCGTGGATAACCGGATAACCGTGATCATGGATAACAATAATGACACAATAATGAATATATATATATTATATATAGTGGGATCATCATCATCCAAATCATTGTTACAACTTTACGTGGCCGTCTCCAAGCCTGGCCGTGGGCTTTTCGTGGTCGGGCTTCCGGGCTTTCGTACGGAACCAGCTTTGGCCAAATTCGTTGACGTGACAATAAGATTTGATGTATCTTTCCGGACCAAATTTGGTCTTGTCTCCAAATTTTCACTCAAACTTTTGTTGAGTTGAGGCCAAAGTTTCAACACTGATGCAGGAATCATTTACCGCAAAATCTCAACGTGGAAATCCAACCTAAACAAAGGTAGTCACCGGAACCGACATGAAAACAGCAAACCAAAGGAAGTTTTCTGCATGTTTCTGCAATGCTCAAGCCTTTCTTTGAAAAATTGCACCTGTGTCAAACGCCCACAGTCATTAGCAGTACAGCACTGCAAATCTTGGAAGGTTTACAGGTTCACTTTCAAAAGTGCCTTGAGGTTGTGCCACAGCGCAGAATGGACAACATTACAATCACTTAAAATGTTGCACAGATTAAAAACATGTAAAAACATTGATTGATCGGTCCTTACCTTACGTTGGTATTACGAAACCATGTGAAACCCAATGTTTTTCTTCAAACCATGGGCTATATTTTTCTTGGTTCTTGTCATTCCGAGCATGAACCAAATCAGAAAGGATTCCCGGGGACGGCTCATAACATAAATGAGGATTTTCCGATATTTATTTATGTACATAATATATATATACACATACATATATAAATATATATGTATGTATATATATATATCCACAATTGTGGATGACACTATTGGAATCCAAAGGACAGAAAATATCTCGAAAGGGATTACCCTCTGGATCCCTCTGGACATTTCACATATGATATATATATAATATATATATATATGATGTTCTCATTAAAAGCCTGTTTATAGGTGATTTCCATTGATTTCCCAGTTATATAGAAATATCCAGAGGGTAAATCACTAGCTAGAACCAATGTCCTCTTGGAAAAAAAATATGGGCCTCACCATCGATTACCTATGGATCTATGTCTGATGGGGATGACCCAACCCATGAAATATAACTGACTACTTGGATGTGCATCCCACGAATCGGATCCGTGGTTTATCCCTCTGGTAATTTAACATAGCTATTGAAAATGGCTATTTATAGTTGATTTACCAACTAAAAATGGTGACTTTCCATAGTTATGTTAGTTTACCAGAGGGTAATCCCAACTCCCATATTTCATCCCATATATTGCCATATATAAGTAACTGACGAACGGTATCAGTAAACAGCTCAGATCTTAGGCCACCCCTTGGCTCGGCGCATGGCCCGCATGGCCCGCATGGCCCCCGCACGCTGAAGTCAAATTGGCTTTCAAAGACGGTGGGGTCCTCGTCTGGGCTCCGGACTCGTCCGGCGATGTCAGTCGTGGAGAACTCTTGGTTTTCGTGCTCGCATGATATATATATATATTATCTGTATATATCTATATATATATAAAGTTATATTTGTATGTATGTGTATATATATATTAATATGGATATGTATATATATAATACATATACATATACATATATACATAATATATATATATAATTATATATATAATTATATATATACATACAATGCCAATGGTTCATGAATCTTAGATGGTTCCATAATATGGTTTAAAATATATCATATATCCAATGGTTCCATAGACAATGGGAGAAAATAATTTGAAATAAATATCAAATGATCGTATATGATAATATATGAAGGTTTCTTATCCATGGGGTACCCGGTACCCTCATCCATTTTTGTTTGGGATTTTCCACGAAATAAACCATCCAGCCATTGGGAATTCCCATTTATGGAAACCCTACATATATATCATATATAATGGGATATATAGACTTATATAGTCGGATATGATGAGAAATTTCATGGTTTTCAATCGAATAAAATTGTAACTATCGTTATGAGTCCAGCAACACAGAGAAAATAGGGTTTGACAAAAAAAACAGAGAGCAAACAAAAAAAGCAAACTAGAAAACCAAAACCAAGGAAAAACCAAGAAAAAAAAACAGCACGCCGACAAGAGAAACAAAAAGAAAAGCTGAGGAAAATGCAGGTTTTGGTTGTTCTTTTTTTTAAAATTATATTGGTTTGTGTTTTTTTTTGTTTTTTGTTTGTTTTTTGTGTTTTTGTTTCTTGTTTTTTGTTTTTTTTGATTTTTCTGGTGACTCTTCCTGTCGAGTTGTTTTTTTGTTGATTCGGTTTTTGATTGTGTTTTGTTTTTGTTTTTGTTTTTTTGGCTAAAATCCACTTTCTCTGTTCTACACGGGGTCATAAAACTATCGCCAGCCAACCAGAATTGGTTACACATCCACAGCTTGGTAATTTCAATGCATGGCCGGGATTGTATGGAGATATCGCTCGGAAGATTAAGAAGAAATAGTACTAATATCAACCAAAGATTGACGGATGGTTAAACATATCGCCCTGGACAAATATGAAAGTCATTGCCATCATCCCATCTCCTGTGGTTTGAAAAGGACATCTTTATCATCACATGTTTCAGTTACTAAGCAAAAACTTATGGCGGAATTCCCATCGCAAGTGGGGTCGATAATCCGGTGAGCATGGCCCGACAAAGCACATATTGCCGGTCTGGCCCTCCTTGACAGCAAAATCATTATATATACTTCCCAACATATGCTGAAACCATTTATAATTTAGCTATATCTACATACACCCTCCGGCAATCAAACATGGCCATGGACAATAGCCCATATTATGTATATATATGTATGTATGTATATATTATATATATATCATAATATATCTATCTATATATTTATATGGCCATTATATATACAGTATATAGATCATCCTTCCATTTCAATGCCCATATATCTGGGGACTTCGCCATCTCGCCATCCTTTTCGAGTGCAGGTCCTGTAGCCAAACATGCCGTAGATAGAGACAGCACCAGATGGGCTGTTTGCTCTTCACGCTGTACAACCGCAGCAGGCTCATCATATGGCTGGCTGCGTCCGCGGAGCCCCTGTCGGGATGACATGATACCCTCTGGTACACAGTTTTGCTGCAATGGAAAATCACCATCTTTCATAGGTAAAGCATGTAGCTATGCTAGATTATAGTGTTAAAATATCGGAGGGTGAGCAACATGAAACATCATCAAACATCACGGGTCACACTAAAACCGCAGAAAGAGTCAATAATCTTCTGCGGCTCGATGTGAAAGACCCGGAGTTGCTGATGGTGCCGAGTCACTGTTCTTTTTGCCCCTGGTTGCAGCAGAAGTCTTCGATGCGCGAGAACTCCTGCGGTTCGGGAGCGCTTGAACAAAACACATGGAAGATGGCAATCACCTGTTCAAAATGGTGTTGGTTCTTATATATCTTAAGATTTTTTCCTCACATCCAAGGGTTCAAAAGTAATCAAGGGTCACATGTTATACTAGTGGCGCTGATCTGTTCAATTAATATTGAGCCATTTCGAAAAAATCGTGAGTCAAAGAAGCTGAACTTGGCACCTGGCTTGAGAGTTACTTCCAATAGCGCTACTCTTAAATTTACTAGAGAAGAACCGCCATCCGGATTACTTACATTACGGATAACATGTGATATAACATGTGACCCTTGATTACTTTTCAACCCTTGGATGTGAGGAAAAAACCATAATGAAAAATCACATCCTGTGAGGCAACCACAATAATCTGCTATGTCCGCTATGTAGATGTAATTCCAGTTCATGATTATAATATACACGTGGGAAAGATGGGGCTTGCAAATATGAAGATGTGGGTTTAAAATTTCAGCACCTGCCCATTGAAGACGCGGTTCGGCAAGGCATCCGGCAACATCCTGTCAGCACTTGATGGACTTTCACGCAGCCCAGGAGTGGACTGCGGCATATACACATCATATCATTATTCTATGTGAACATGTCCATCAAAAAGGGAATAGACAGGCAATTTAGAGGGGGATGGTGATGGTGAACCAGATTTTCTGCACGTGTTAGGTCAAATCCATGGCGGATTTCACTAGTATCGCCTAGAAAGATTATGGTAGTATATGATTTTAGGTGATTTTAGTAAGTATATAAAATCCCATAACATCCTGCTAAAATAGTGATGATTTACTTGTCTATCTTTTTGGGGGTCGTATGTTCATGGATGAGCCGATAAGAAGACCAGCATCCAACATGGTGGGTACAGTATGGGCCCCACCAATGTCCCACCCACCAGTGTTTTTTTCTTTTCACCGTCTCAGAAACATTCAGAGGTAAATTCAAACAAAAGGAATCGCATCAAATCAAATCAAATGGATGGACCAGCCGAAGCATTTTGCTAGGCTGCACACACACACACACATTTTGTGCAGTTGGTGTTGATGTTTCAACGTATCTTTTGCTCCGGCCCGGCTGAATCCCCTTCTTAGGCCCCAGCAAGAAGCGGAAGTTCCGTCCGAGGGCCCAAGCGCGCCAATAGCCAAAGAGGTCTTCCAGACCTGGTGGATGGGGTGCTACCAACGATGTCAGTTGCTGTCACCTGTGCGACCTGTCCTCCCTTCATTCCCTTTTGGGGCTCCAACACCATTCGCCAAAGATCGCCATCCAACAGCCCCATCACCGAATAAACTCACCTTGAGACATGTAAGCGATGGGGCAGTCGGTCTCATCGGGGTCCAGGATCCTGGTGGAAATTGAGGACGGCGGCCGTGGTGGCTGTTTTCGGGATGCTTGGAACATATTATACCATATCTGAGATCTGGTTGGTGGTGCAATAACCATCTTGAAAAATATGAGTTCGTCAATGGGAAGGATTATCCCATCTATGAAATGGAAAATAAAAAATGTTTGAAACCACCGAGCAGATATTATATCATATTATTATACCATATTATACCACCCAAAACGTGCCAGTGCGAAGCAACATTCCATACAGATTCAATGCTTGGCTTTTTTTCCAACCAATCTCACGAAAGATTGGCCAGTACGGCCCTGTCAGATGGAAGAAACACATGTTCGAAACCACCACCCGGTCAACCAGTATCTATCGTTTCTCTGCTCCAAATGATTGGGTGTGGGTCAAATTCGGGTATATGGACATATAATATAGACATGGAGCCACAACATTGGTCATTCAGTAGATCGGCACTATCAAAAAACAATCTTTTGATGGGGTGATAGTTTTGCAATAAAGGCAGGGTTGCTCCTAACATCATGGAAGGTGGGGAGGTTCCTGGCTCAAATCCACTGCTTTCTTGAAGACTTGGTCCGCGAGGAAACTTGAAACTCGGATGACAACTACAAACCAATGGCCAACAAGGTCAACCACTTTCAAACTTTGGATATCTTTGGTTGCTTGTAGATCCCAACATACCCCGACATGACCAACAGCAGCCACCAGCTGCTTCCAAGGATCATGTAGGGCTCGATGTTGAACAGCTCTCGTCGGTGACTCCGATCACCTCTAACAACAGTTGGGGGAGCCCCCCCCCTGAGTATGACATGACGTGACATGGTGATTTGGTATCAGAATTCCACTTTGGATTGAAAATGAAAGTTGTGGAGTGATTCAGCTTGATCCAGTCCAAGATTTGTCGAAGGGACTTATTTTCAGCTAGGTCCACATGAGATTTCATTTCTGTTCTCATTGAGCTTACCTGGGGCCAACTGAGTCACTATTCAATAAATGTGCCACCCCAGCCAAACTTCTACCTGTGTGGGCATGGCATGATTCATCTGCCATTCCAAGCAAAATACAGTAAGGAACGAGTGGGCATGACGTCCATTGATCGTGGAATGAAGGTACCCTTGGAGCCTGATTAGTCAATACAGTCCCCGCGGAGGGTTGCAATCCCGTGGAATCTCCTTCCTTTGCCCAGCCCCAGGCCTTTCTTGCCATACTTCCAGTGACTCATGAGCACTTGACTCTCGTTGGCCAGAACCTCCTCCCAGAAATAGTACAGCTCGTAAGGCAGCCTGAACAGGATCACCATGAATAACAAGGTTCATTGCAGGGTCAACTTGGACAACCTCTCAACAGGATTCAACAAACTCTCAGAACCACCAAGCAAAGTAATGTATTATGGGTAAACCCAATCGTAGACAATCTCCAATTTCACCAGACATGAATGGTATAAACATGTATAAACCATCCCAATCGGAGCTTATGATTGAGTTTACCCCCAAAGTTGATGGTTAAATGCCAAAGTTTCGACCCATTTCCGGGTGTCAAGTCCAGTCAAGTGGCGCCATGGCTGATCCAAAGCGCGGGACAAAGTGAATTCCTGACGTCAGCGCGATGTCTCACCGAAAGAAGTGGGAATTCAACAGGATTTGACCCTGGTTATGGCACAGTTTTTGCCTGCAAACTGGGGACACCGTGCGGGGACACCATTAAAAAATCCAATGATTTCTCATCATGTTCCCATGAATTCCATAAATTGGATTAACCAATTTAACCAATTGAGATGATGAAGTAATCCTACCTTGGTTTTCCCAGGTCAAATGGAAAATCCTCGAGGTCAACCATGAAGTAATCCGTGGCTCGGAAAATCCAAATCCGGTGAACCGTTTAGGGGTTCATGGATATGTCAACGGTGACACTGATGTTTTTTTTTTCCCCCCTTATGTAATGTTATATAAATGTGGAGAAACCAAAGACATGCCGCGACATGCCCATGTTTCACTGCTGGAGATGGGTGGCATAAACCCTGACCCACCCCCCAACCCCCAATAAAAAGGACTCTTGCAGGTGCCGTGACCCTAAAAGGTGACGAAAATCGAACGGTCACCAGATACAACACTCATGCACATTCACAGAAAACATGCTGAAAAAACATGAAAAAACAAATTGACTTCTTTTCCCCACCTTCAACGTCAAGGTGTTGAAGCAGAAACGGCAAAACATCGTGAGGAGTGTCGGATTGGGGTCCTTAAGAAGCAAAACCAGAACCAAAGTGCCCAGAACTCAATGGCAAATCCCTTCCCTCTGATGTTGAAGACCCCCTCCCAAACGAAACCCTGGTTTAGTGTTGCATCTCTTCATTTTGGGGGCCCTTGCAGTATGTCATATTATGTGCTGATGTGACACATATTTGAAAACATCAACATATACATCAACCAATCAGATCCAATCAAAGTATCTTAATTAGTCTTGTCCTGTCACCCTTTGCCCCATCAAATGTCCCGCCTGACCAAACATCGCTCAGGGCTCGCGCCAATTCCCTGCGGCTGAATCAGTTGACTTTCTGTGATCCCCACCATCAATGACACAATAATGACATATTATATATATATAATGATTCATAATCTGACATGACATAATTCATGGCATGTACATACTCTGACTCTCTTGTCTGACATGTATTCTCTGGCTGAATTGAATCTGACTGTTGTGACTCGTATGCGTGCATTTATACATAATATATATATATATATCATATTATATATATATATCATCTATATATATATATATATACACATATTCTGACACAATGACACAACTCTGACATGAAGGCTGAGACATAGTTTGACATGTATTCTGACATGTAGTCAGACTTGTATTCTGACACGCAGTCTGACTATTGTGACATATTCTCTGACATTTATCCTGACACACACTCTGACATAATTACAGTTTCCTTTTTTGTCACAACCTCAATTCTGTTGCGTTCAGAAGTCCCAAATGGTCATAGGATTTGTTTTCTATATCTGAAAATGTGGCAAATGGTTCTCTTTTCACATGACCATGAAATGGGGGTATAGCCCCAGTATCTGAAAATGTGGCATACTGGACTCCCCCCATTCTATGGTCCCATGAGAAGCTGGTAAATAAGCAGTTGAATCTCCATGAAACATACATTGAGTACATAGAGAAACATCAATAAGGAGATTGAACAGCATAAACAATATCCAAACCAGCAAAGCCCATTTAAAAACATTATATTCCAAGGTCATTATTGATTTTACATCCTCAATTTTGAATCACAAATCAGAACCATTAAAACCATGATATATCAGATTATGTCTCCAATTTTGGGTCAAATAAATAGCACTTAAATAAAAAAAACATTGGTTGAATTATCCCCAATTCCCACGGATCCGCCCATGGCCTACACCTGAGCTCGGTGGCTTCCAAGGCCCGGCAGCGCATTGCTGAAGCGGCGCCAGCGTCCCAAAGCTCAAAGAGCTCCGGCAGTGAGCTGCATAAGGACACTGCGCGGAGCCGTGGGAGATTTGGGATGAAAGTCCTGGAAAATGACGATGACAAGTAGATGGATTTTCCCCATGGGATGAAGCTATGCAGTTTCGAAATTTGAGATCAAGCTATACAAAATGGGGATACCCTCTGGTAAACTAACATAACTATAGAAAATCACCATTTTCAATGGGAAAATCCACTATAAATGGTCATTTTCAATAGCTATGTTAAATTACCAGAGGGTATTACCAATGATCTGGAAAATAGGAAAATGGATCCGGCGACTTGAGAAAATCACCACTGCAGCATGATTTCAGTTGATGGGTGATTTCTTCCATGATTTCTTCGATAAAAATTCAATGGGGGTTTCACAGTTTCACCATGAGAATTGATGAAGAATGAGGATTTTAATATATTTTAATTATGAACCAAGCTCAAGATTTTGATCATGAAATATTTTTGGGTGTCAACTGCAGATGTTCCCTTCATCCAGTTCTGGGGTGATGGAATAACCCTGGGGATACCCTGAAAGTTTGTCGAATCTTGGCTGCCCGAGGAATAACTTTTGGCAGTGTCAGTTTTGCTTTGTTCTGAGATATTGTATGATTTGTTCTCTTGGTAACTCCTTTATGTGTCATGTTTTATATTACATTTATATACATGGTAATATGTTTACATCTGATGGATGTTGAAGACAAACCAGTGACCTTGCAACCCGGAAAACATGCGTAACATAATCCAACATAGTAATATCCCCAAAGTATAGGTTTATCTCAAAATTCGAAACCGCATTGCATCCCAAATATCCCATGGATAAAATCAATGTTGTCATCGTCATTTTCCAGGACTTCTCCACAGAAGTTGCCACGCCTTCAGAAATGCGCCGGGTCATCGCCACTCGCAATAGCCTCGGTCTGTTTGAAACTGGGGATACCAAAAAGAACATGAAACTGGTATATAATTCTAATGGGAACAAAAACACAATGATAATCTGGTTGGTGGTTTCAACCCCCCTGAAAAATATTCGTCAGATTGGATCATCATCCCAACTATTGGGGAAAATAAAAGCCATGTTCCAAACCACCAACCAGACAATGATAAACACCATGATCAAGCAGCCAATTTGGGTAATCTATGGTGACCTGGTCAACCAACCGAACCAACAATGGTAGGGACCAGGACCTTCTCAGGTCCTGACTCGGTCGGAAGGTTCGGTTGAGTCTGACCCATGGGGCCCAGGTCCGAGGCTCTCCTAGTAGCTGTTTTGCGCCAGAAAATGTCCAGTTTTTTGGGGCCCAAATTTCATCAGGGGATCTCGGGAGATTGACACGTGGATCCGTCACTAGTAGGTCACCTGCAGAAATGAGGTATGGGGTGGACACGATCAACAGAGTTCTGTATACCAAAATGATAATTTAACTACTAGTACATAAATGTGTTTAAACATTCATATAACTGCAGGCATGGACATGCGTGTGTGTGAATATGGTTATAGCTTACTGTAACTCCAAAAAAGATCAATTTTAGTGAACAATCCGATACTGAAATAGTGATTATGCCCACTTTTCTACACCTTTGGGGGTTACTATACTATGATAAAATAATGATTGTGTTGGGATGTATTGGCTATGTGCTATCCTACTGGAGTTTCTCGAAGTGAAATCACTGGATCTACCTGGTAAAGAACATGGGGCAAAACATCTCCTAAAGTACAACTAAGTACAAGTATGATATATTTTCCCATGCGTTTTTATGTTTGAATTATTGTGAAATCCCCGTTCACACTCGTGAATTAGACATATTAATATCATATGTTTCATGGTGAATCAACTTTATGTTGCTTAAATCCAATGGTTTTTGCTAGTCAAATTCCAATGTCTGCACGTCCAAATCCCCATTGTCGCTTGTCCGAATCCCAAATCTTGTCGATGACATCGCACTTTTTCATGCTGAAATCACAATTCTTGATGCTTCACTCCCCATGTTTGTTACTTTCACCATCTTTCACCACTTTCAAAACCACACTTGCGCGAAAAATCCCCACTCCTGCGGGCTGGAGATGGAGGTAATGGAACCTCCTCGGTGTGGAAGTGGTCCTGAACGAACTGGGAATCTATGGAAACTGGGAGAGGATCAAACTTGATATGGCGATGTGTCAAAACCCTGGCACCCTAGGTCCCTAGATGTCGCTACCCGAGAATAGCTGTTAATGGATTCTTGTTCCCCCAAACATGGCAATTTCATAGCTTTTGAACCATCCCAATATAACTGATAATGTGGTGATGCCAACCATGACGGTTGACGTCATGGTTGGCATCATCCCACTGCGAGGGGGTATACATCGACGGGACAGTTGTCAGTTGTGGGTCCAAAAAACCTCCTCCTCAGCAGTGGACAGTTTGGATGGATGATATAGTACTGATTCATATCTACAACCTGTCCCACTCATTAATTTGATCCGTCACGATATCACACGTATGATACGTATTTCAGTCAACTCAGTCACCAATAGAATGTGGGATTCACCCAATGCCATAAACCATCCCCAATAGAGGTTTATGAAATTGGGTGTATATATATATATATGTATATACAGTATATAATATAATATAGTGTAGAGATCATAATAACAATCATAATGACAGTAAAAATAAACATAGAGTATATGTATATACTATATATATATAGAGTAATCCTGGAGTCTAGATAAAAACATGTTCATATTCAATTTTCAAACGTCTTTAGTAAAACAATATTTTTCTGACAATTACTATAGTCACAGTCTATCTACTTCAGGATGATTATGTATTATTTTTTCCCTTTCCAATCTTAGAAACCCTGCACAATAAAAAACTTAACTGGTTAGCAGACATTCCTATTTATTGCAAGGATTATAGCAGACCCCTCCAAAGTTGACCCAGTATTCTACCGCCAAAATTAGTGGCCTTAAAAAGATATAGATATAGGGTGTAGGTCAAATTTGGGTACCCTAACAAGTAGATGGTTAATACTAAACCTACACTAAAATCTGTGGTTCTTTCTGGGGCTTCAATTTTGATCCCCAAATGCCATCATTTGTCTAATCGCCCACACACACACATGGGGATGTGTCAAAACCTTGTACCCCTGGTGAACCCCAAAATAGCTGGTAAATGGATGTTCATCCCACTAAAAATGTATCTATAGGTATTGACCCATACCCACATCGCTCAGTCGCCGGGAGTGACTCAACAGCTTCGCTCAACGCGGTCCTCTACTCCCTTCACCTGCTTCGCTTCTTGCGCTTGCATCTTCCCCAACTTGCTCCTCGCCGCTGGCATTCCCTAGTGGGGAAACCCTAGGCTTGATGATCTACAAATGATGGTTGTTTTTCCACATCTGTTAGTTTAAAAGAGGTTAACTACCTTGTCAGTAGCTGGGTTATAACGCATGATTTATACAGATAGTTGATATGAACCCATGGAAACAACATGACTTACCTGCCCATCACTGCATGTAGCCATGGTTATAACTCCCATGAGTTGGGATAACATGTATTAAACCGTAGAATTTGTTGATTTTCTATGGCCATATAACATCATAGCACTATGTTATAACATGTTACAACCACTTGCCTAGGATCATCATAACCAGGCTTTTCCAGACTTGGATGAAGGGACAATTTCAGGAACAATCAGGTTAAGTGGCAAAGACCAGTAGAAACCTCGGAAAGGCAGACATATTCGGTGAATGCCCGTTATGCCATATAAAAGTGTATCCAGTTCATCCAGTTCCCATAAATCTCTACACAACTGCCAAGAATCATCATGGAACCCCCATCCCCTATATTTGAATAAATCCACCAATTGAAATAAGCCACCAATCTCCATTAAGGCCAGGGATGATTCCCCACCATTTCCCAAAAAAAATCAAGCGTGAAATTTCTTGCGACCTGAGGTCGCGACCTAATGCATCTAGAGTGATGCCCAAATGTGTATATATATATTAAAACTTCATTATACATCATTATATAAGTATTATCGTATAGATTTGTTGGCTAAGGCATATTATCGAAGGAAGTTTAGAAGTCAAACTTCCGACAATATGGAGAGATGAAAAGCAGAGCAGGGAAGAGGCATAGAGAAGAGAACGATTAGAAGAAAAAAGGTTAGAAGACCCAGAGTGCGCCTTATTGAAAAGATTCAACAGGTTTATTGGTTTAGAGGTTCACTGTTGAAATGCAAGTTTTATTGAAATAAACCAACAGGAGCTGTTGGTTTGACAGCTTAAAATCTGTTGTATTTTTCAACACAGGTCTGTTGAAATTTTCAACAGGATTTCTTGGTTTTCAAGACAAAAACAAAGACTCCTGAACTTTCTTTTTCCACATGTGTAAACACACATAGCAGCTGTTCCCATGTGCATGACACTGCCCATGAACCCTGGAGCTTCCTGCACCCCTTGAACTTCCTGCAGCCCTGCATCTTCAATTGGGTCCTGTGAAAGGGGTCCTGCAAAAGGGCTCAGAATGGCAGAGCTGGATGTCCTGGATGGTTTGGAGCAGGACAGGATCCGCAACATCAACAGACCAGGATTGCTCCAATACTGGTGCTACATCCAGTGCAACAACTGCCACAGGGGATGGATCTGGAGGAGGAAGCTGAGCACTGCAGAAGACTGGACCTTGAATTGCTACATTTGTGACAAGTCATGGAGGCAAAACTACTGTGAAAATGGTGGCTGGCACTACTGGGACCCCATTCGGAGAAGACCTGAGTTCTGAGCCAGCCACCTGCATGGCCCTGCAAAAGGGCCACCCTGGGCCTTGCAAAAGGGCTCCACATGAAGCATGGGTCTTGAAAACGGGCTCCCTGAAGCATTCAAAAAGCTTCCAGGGAAAAATGTTGGAGCAAGGTGTTGGAAGCTGACTCCACACATGGCCACACAGCAGCAGCCACCTCACAGCATGTGTCAGACTTGCAGCATGGATGCAGGCCTATGGGCTCACAGTCATTTTTCAAACCTGTATTTGGCCTTGGGAAGGGGCTCCCTTGGGTCCTGCAAAAGGGCTCAGCTTGCAATGGTTCTCATGAAGGCTGTGCAAAAAAAGAGGAGTGGCAATTCAGCACCACACAAAAGGATTCCTTTTCCTGAAGTTTCCCAAGATGCCTTGGACAAAGCCATGCATTCCTACTGCAGAGCTATGGGGATCAAAGAGGCTTTCAACATGTACCAGTACAAGAACCTCCAGGCCCAGCAGTCAGAGAGCCCTCAAAGCATAGCCCAGCTTGCAAGGCTTCTGGAGGCGCTCCTGGGTGTGAGCAGCAGTGCCAAGATCAAGTACAAGGCATTGAAGCAATCCTTTGTTGTTCTCCTGCAAACCTGGGGGGTGCAGCTTCTCAAAGCCCACTGGGAGATGGATGACAGCATGCTTGCTGGCAGAGCTGCTGACTCAGTGGGTGTGCTCTTGAAGCACTGGAGAAGACGCTCATCCAGTGAAGTTGCTTGGGGCAAGTTGGTTGGGAAGCTGGATGAGTCTGAGGCAGCTGCTCTGGAGAGGCTGAGAAAAAAGACAACCTGGGATGGCAAGCAGGAGCCCAAAAAAAGGCAGCTCAAACTCCACAACTCTGAGGTCAGCCAGGACAGCCATGGATGGCCAAAAATGGTGGCCCAGCCTGTGCCCAGTGAAGCAGAAGACTCAGGTGATGAGGAAATGGAATCTGAAAGCCCATCAGGAAGTGGCAGCAGCTGCAAGCTTTCAGGTCTGGATGAGAGCCCCCCTCCTTGTTTGAAGAAGGACTGGAGGGCAAATGCCATGAAAAGGCCAGCTGCTGAGTCTGAGAGCATCATGAAGAAGCCTTCTTCAAGCTCTTCCAAGTCTGAGGAAGTGAAGGCCAAGCCTCCTTTGGGCCCTGGGAAAGGGCCAACCTCGGGCACTGAGAAAGTGCTCATTGACCAAGGCAGTATCAGCACTGGTGGTGGCAAGAACCAAAGCTACTTGCAACATCAGCCTGGGCCTGGGAAGAACAAGAGACTCATAGCTGCTGTGACCTTGAGCCAAGCCAGCAGAACAACAAAGACCCACCAACAACTGGTTCAGCTGTTGCTTCCAAGTGCCAAAAAGCCAAAGGCAACCAAGGCTGATGTGCTGGCAGAAAGAGAGAAGCTCTTTGCAAAGTTTGCCAAGTAGGCCATGTAAAAAATGAAGCCCTGCAAAAGGGCTCTATAGGTCCTGCAAAAGGGCTTTGCCACAGCCTTAGACAAAGGCTTGACCATGAAGCTCAACATTTGGAAGAAAAATGCCTGGTAGTGTATGCAGCCTGCAATGGAGCATGCTGGGTCAAGTTACAGCAGCATGGTGGCACTGTGCCATGACCTGGCTGTAGTCACTGTAGCTTTGGCTCAAAATAGTGTTTGGTGTTTTTGCCCCTTTGCAGGGGCAAGGCTAAGCTATCCTGGGCCTTGCACAAGGGATCCATCTCAAGCAGGCCTTGCAAAAGGGCTTCTGGGCACCTGTGAAAGGGCTCCAAAACATGGAGGCTCCCAGCTCCTCAGATGGGAGCAAGGCCAGGAGAAACAGAACTCCAGTGCCCAAGCCCCTCTGGGCAGACATGGTGGACCCCAGCAGGGAGAAGAAGCAAGTGGAGAAGGAAAAGGAGAAGGATGCCAAAGAAGAGCCCATGGAGGAGGAGTGGTGGGAAAAGGACTGGAAAGATTCCAGGAAGACTTGGAATGACTGGTGGCAAGAGAAAGAGGATGAGTGGAGTGACTGGAAAACATGGGAGAAGGAGGAGGAGGAAGCAGCTGCTGCCAAAGCAAGAGAAGATCAGAAGCAGCCTGCAAAAACCAAGAAGGAAGAGCCAGAGGAGGAGAGAAATGTCCTGAGGGGCCCTGAGGCGAGGTGGAAAAACAGAACTGGGTCTTCAAAGCAGAAGTCCAAACTCAGGTGGGCTGAGAACAAGGCACTGGAAGAAGGAGAAGACCCAGAGATGGTGAAGCTGGGTGCTATGGGGGCCTCCAGGATGAAGAGGCTGGTCAGCAGGCAGGAGGACAGAATGTCCCACAAGGAGACTGTGGCAGCTGCAGAGAGGGCAGCAAAGGATGCAGCTCAGGCAGCACAGTCTGCCAAGGACACTGCCCAGCTGTGGGCCTGGCAGAGCTGGCAGTGGCAGCAGGCCTACTGGGGCCAAGGACAGGTTTGCACCACTTTTTTGGGGATGGCAGAGTCTGCACTTGTTTGAACTTGATTCTTGTTTGACCAGGACAGATGGAGCAGGCCTATGGGACCACCTGGCCCAATGCCCAGGCCAGCACCTGGCAGCCTACTGCTCAGGCCAGCAATGCCCAGGCCAGCACCTGGCAGAGTCCCTGCCAACCCACAGCCCATGGGGCCTATATGCAGTACACCCCCATGTGGACAGCAGCCCACAGCCCACAGCCCAGAGCGCACAGTGACTTCCTGGACTCCAAGGTGGCTGGAAGCAAAGCAGCTGGCACCAATGCAGCTGGAGGAGGAGAGCCAAGAGCCAAAACAAACCCCAACCCTTACAAGTAGTTTACACCACCATCCATAAAGGAGCTTTTATTTTGGAAGTTTTATGCACTACTCATGTTGCAAAATCTATTTGGCAACATTTTCTTTGAGAGGGCCACCAGTCAACCTTGAATGCTTCTGGTGACAGGCACTTGTCAATGAAATTGTTGTGGGCTATGATGGACTATGTTTCAAAAATAAAAACAAGGAATTGTAAGGGCCTTGATGGGGTGCCACCTCATTTTTTCCAAACCACACATTTCTAGGGACTTGGTCTGCAGTAACCTTTGCATTGGCCCTGCCTGTCAGGAGAAAATCCCAAAAAAACGACCAGGGATGACAATGCTGAGGAGGGCAACTACCTGAGGGCAAAGTCCAGGGCACAGCCTCCCAAAAATTGGGAAGGAGCCACCAGCTCTGGTGGAGATGATGTTGGGTGGCACATTGCACAAAGGAAAAAGCGCAGGGGCAAGAAGAAGTGAGCCCAAAGCATCTGAGGATGGAAAGAAGGCCTTGCAAAAGGGCTTACAAATCTGAAACCAAGGGCTTTGCAAAAGAGCTCTGAAAGGATAGGTCCTGCAAAAGGGCTTCCAATTTCTTTCTCCAAAATATGGGCCCTGCAAAAGGAGCTCCAAAAAATGTACAGAAGCCTTAAGACAAGGCTGGACTGCCACAAGGGCAAACAACATAGCCCAAGGAAAAACATGATGCACCCTGAAATTCAAGGGGAAAAATGGTGGCACCCTGCAATTTTCAAAACACTGCTTAACCTCATAT